AGTACTTGGGGAAAACCTGCCTTGGTGCCACTTTGTCCATCACAAATCCCACTTGACTAGACCGCAGCGGTGGGAAGCCAGCGACTAACTGCTTGCGCNCTTAAGCTATGATGCGGCCTTTGAGATAATACTGGTGAATTTGGTGATACCACTGGTATAACGTTTCACTGTAGACTGTACACTGCAACATCTCATTACATCTGTTCTCCCTTCCTGGTGCAGCTTCTTGGCATCTGCAATCTCTCCAAAATAGCCTATTCAGGTATATCTCTGACTTTGTTATCTTTGTTGCTGGAAGAAAGAGGAAAACTGCGCAGTTGGGATTCCCAAAACCGATCATTCATGAATTATGTGGTTATAATTGATTAGTGTTTGTCTCACATGAGAGAAACTCATCCACTTTATAAAAACAATGATCGAGTAGGTAAGTTTTCAAAGCGCTTTTGAACTTATGTAGTACCGGTATTTCTTTAATATATTGTATCGTGTTTCGTTACTGAAGACGACGTAGAGATTGTTAATTGGTTTATTCAACAACCTACAAGTAACGGCTACAATTACTTATCACACAGTTGCGGGGTTTCACACTTTATAACCCTAATCACAATAATCTGTTAACACTGTTGCGGGGTTTCACGATTTATAACCCTATTCGCAAATCAGTTCACTATCTTCAGTAGGCTACACGAATTCACAGTACGGGAGCTATACAAGTCTCTCTGTCTCACACACTCCCAATTACACAGTTACACACATGTCCGGTTCTTCTTTCTGCGACGGCTGCTATATTCCAACTCAACTCACAGGCTGCTGCCTTGAGAACCCTTGATAACACACTGGCTCGACTACTACTGAACTCGGCGATAGCCACATTACAACGCTGCTCGCAGGCAGCGCAGCTCTCTTATATAGTGGCTGTGTGTGCCTGTTACGTAGCAACGCTGTTACCTGACGCCGTCTTCCGTCACCGCGCGATGCACGTTACGTTACCGTGCGGAGGGGGGGAGGGGAGCGCTGACTCATCCGCCACGTCACTGTGGCCTGAGCTGCCATGTTACTGCTGGGTAGGGAGGGGTTCTCCGTTGCGCAACATGTCACACTGCTCCCTCCTTAAGGCTGTTTGTCCCGAATAGCCTAACGGTGCATCCCTGTTAATTTTCTTTGGAGGCTGTTCTTGCAGCATCTCCTGTTTTGGCTACTTCTCGCAGCGACTATCATCCGGCCGTTACAATATCGTGGCAGATGATTTAGCAGTCGAAGTCCTACATTGTTAAAGTTGTTCTTGCATAGACTTGTATTACACGGGACGATGTGCAAGTCATCTTTTTTCCTTGTGTTGTATGAGTGTAATCCTGAGTTGGTTGTGAATTCATTCGAATTGGATTTTATGTATATTAGAGTTTTGTATATGTACAAAGATGGTAGAGGTAATATATGTAATGATTTGANATGGGAATACAACTTTCAAGTGGTGGAAACAGAGCTCTCTGACCATAATGCCCAAGTACTACAAGTACAAATGCGTTATAAGAACAAAAAGGGCAAGGTAGAATAACTGAAGAGTTCAGATTAGCTAGATCTTATAGTGAGGAAAATGTACAATATCTAAACTATTTACTAGGAAAAGAGACCTGGGAGCCTGTTCTTAAACAAAATGAGGCAAATCATGCATACAATGAATTTTTAGGCATCCTTCAGTACTATCACAAAATAGCTATGCCTAAAAAATGGGTAAAAATTAAGCAGCAAAAAAAATGGATTACATTAGACATAAGGGTATCAGGAAACGGACTTAGGATTCTTCATAACTTAATTAAAGAAGGAAACATATCTGAAGAACTAAAAAAATTCTATATAACCAGTACAAAAAATACACAACAAAATTATTGGTGAGGCTAAAAAATTAAGCAACAACATGCAAATACAAACATCCAGGAACAAATCAAAAGACATGTGGGATTTAATCAAAGAAGAATTACGCAGTCAGCAAAAAGTTCCAAAGAACATTGAATTAGGAGTGAATGGAACAACCATACAGGATCCAAAAGTTATAGCCCATGTTTTTTAATGAATACTATACAAACATTGCCCAGCACATCCGGAGTAACAATCCGACAGCACAAAACAATGAAGACAGGATCACCACAATAAAATAAAACAGCAATAGCATGTTCTTAACACCAACCACTAAAAGGGAGGTGGCAGACATAATTAAAACACTGGGTAACAAAAAATCAACGGGCATTGACGATATTCCAGAGTTCATTATTAAAAAATGTCATCCTCAACTAGTAATGCTCTAACATACATTAGAAATCTGTCATTTTCATCTGGTTATTTCCCTGACCAACTAAAAATAGCAAAAGTGAAACCCTTGTATAAGAAAGGTTGTACTGCAGATGTTGGGAACTACAGGCCAGTGTCATTAATTTCGGGTTTTTCTAAAATAATCAAAAAAATTATGCACAATAGACTTTTATCATTCATAAATAAGTACAGCATAATCAACAATAAACAACATGGATTCTGCAAAGGAAAATCAACACATACAGCAATCATAGAATTTACAAAAAGGTTTTACAAAGCACAAGATGAAAAGGAAATGAGTATAGGGATATTTTTGGATTTATCAAAAGTGTTTGACGTAGTAGATCATGATATTGCTAAGTAAAATGGAAAGAATGGGCATACGAGGGGTTACACTAAGGTGGTTCCAAACATACTTAGAAAACAGAGAACAAGTGGTAGAAATTACATACAGATGCAAAAAACTAAAAACATTAATTACCTATCCCGAAAGAGACCCATCAGCTATGGCGTCCCACAAGGTTCCATTCTGGGACCAGTGTTGTTTCTGTCATACATAAACGACCTGGAGGCCAGCATAGAATGGGAAACCTACGTTCTTTGCCGATGATACTAGCATTTTTATAGCAGGAAATAGTGCTAATGAAATTCAAAGGAAAACGAATGAAACAATAAACAAAATCAAAGAGTGGTTTGAGAGGAATCGATTAACTATTAATAAAGAGAAAACAATAGCAATAGCCTTTCATCATTCTCAAAAACTACAACTTGAATGCCCTCCAATAAAGATTTATGACACTGTTATCAACTACACAGATCACTCAAAATTCCTGGGAGATAAGCATCTTAGATGGACTATGCATACGCAAAAGCTAGCAAACAACTTATGTAAAGTATCTTTTGGCCTAAGGTGGTTAGAAGAGTGACTGGACTAGAGACTGTCCGCACGTTATATTACGCTCATTTCCAATCTTTGTTATCATACGGACTGATATTTTGGGGCAACTCGGTAAATGCAAAATTGATCTTTAAATTACAGAAGAGAGCTATAAGAGCTATGACCCAGGTCCCAAAAACGACTAGTTGTAAACAAATTTTCAAATCATTATATATATTACCTCTACCATCTTTGTACATTTACGAAACTCTAATATACATAAAATCCAATTCGAATGATTTCACAACCAAGTCAGGATTACACTCATACAACACAAGGAAAAAAGACGACTTGCACATCGTCCCATGTAATACAAGTCTATGCAAGAACAACTTTAACAATGTAGGACTTTGACTGCTAAACCATCTGCCACGACATATTAAAGAAATACCGGTACTGTACAAGTTCAAAAATGCTTTGAAAACTTACCTACTCGATCATTATTTTTATAAAGTGGATGAGTCTCTCTCGTGTGAGACAAACACTAATCAATTATAATCACATAATTCATGAATAATTGGGTTTGGGAATCCCTACTGTGCAGTTTTCCTCTTTCTTCCAGCAACCAAGATAACACAGTCGGAGATGTACCTGAATGGGATACTCTGGAGAGCCTGCAGATGCCAAGAAGCTGAACCAGGAAGGGAGAACAGATGTAATGAGATGTTGCAGTGTACAGTCTACAGTGAAATGTTATACCAATGCTATCACCAAATTCACCATATCTCAAAGGCCGCGCAAGCAGTTAGTCGCTGGCTTCCCACCGCTGCGGTCTAGATAAGTGGGATTTGTGATGGACAAAGTGGCACCGAGGCAGGTTTTCCCCAAGTACTTCAGTTTCCCCTGCCAATCCTCATTCCATCAAATTCTCCATAAGCATTATCACCAGTACAGGTACAACAGGACATATGGAAGCTGATGTGCCGAGGGGACCTAATATGGATTCCACCTCACATTATACGAAATTTTAACTACTGTAATCTATTGTAAACAATTGTAAGTATTGTAACTTGCTTGAATGTGGGCAGTTCCCACATCACCCCCCGCAGAGATGGTTGCTCAGCTGTTGAAGCAATCAGGAAAATGTACATCACGTCGGGGTCACCAATGTGGGATATCATATGAAGAGACAACCACTAGTTGAACTGTCCTATAGTATTTATTACAGTTGCACAGTAATCACGGACAAACTTGAGCTTGAAGGACTGATTAACAACAATAACAACAGTGAACTCACGGAACCAGAACTGTAGAACTGTAGAATCTAGAACTGTAACTGTAACTGTATCTTCCTATGTAACCTAGAGTCGGACATATAGAAAACCAGTCACTGTCCGTACTGTTGTGGGCTTTGCCTAGCAACCGCTGTTTACTCGTTGCTAAGCAATGAAGCTTGCGTTGTCGCACTTGCTTGAATGTGGGCAGTTCCCACACAGTTATGTAATCATTATAGGGCAAGAAAATGAAACCTTGTGCAACTAGTCCATATGTCAGTTTGCAATCCTGGTCTAGTTCTACACCATCAGGCTTTGTGCAGATTCCAATCATTAGGCGCCTGAACCATGAGCCTGAATCACAATACATACAAGAATCCTGCCACAAGATACAAATCATACCAAATGGCACTAAACTATTATCTCAATGAGCCTTTCATGTGTCTGCCGTACGTTTGAAACCTCCAGATTTCCATGGTCTGTGAATGAATATTTAAGTTTCAAATACTTGCTACATATTTATATTACACTTGTGTACAAACCTCTACATAATCGTCATTAGCGTACGACATGATAGCAAAAGACCTTCCTAAACTTCCTAAATACACGTGAAATTCAAACTCTACTTTGCGCACAAAACTACAGACAGCTGTTTATATCACGGATCACTTCTCCTCTTCACAGATTTACCACCATTCACATGTCCATGCATACTTAGTACTCCGAGCTACCAAGTACATCATGATCCGTGGTTAAAGCAGTCTTGCGATATTCATAGTTAGGTTAGGTTTTGTTCTGTGACTTACGACGTCTGAAGTGTCTGAAGTTTGATTGATTGTGCATATGCGTAAGTTTGTATTCTTGTGTAAATCATGGTTTTATCAGTTAAACATTATGAGTCATGTGTCCGGTTGCTGGAAGTAGTTCGTTGGTAAGTGCTATCAAAAACTAAGAAATTTAAATTCAGATAGTTTACTTCGCGAACTTTGCCACAAACAGAATATTTGAATAAGATTTAAAAGTTTGTGACGATGGTATATTAATACAACTGTTGTGTTTCTGGACGTCCGTCAGCCAGTTTACATTTAAAGCACAGCGTTCCGGAAACTGGATTCTGTCATTGTCTGCAGGTGGAACCTACTCAGCTGGACCTAATCTACAGAGCTGGTCCCCATCCCCAGACACTGTCACCAACACGGGTTAGGATATACAAACCAGGTGTCGTGAGATAGGCACTAGCACTATCTCTATAGATCACTGTTACATGATATAGGACAAGTCAGTTACTGTACATTGGCTGATTACAATAAGAGAATAAAGTTACAATACTTACAATTGTTTACAATAGATTACAGTAGATTACAATAGTTAAGATTTCATATAGTGTGATGTGGAATCCATATTAGGTCCCCTCGGCACGTCGGCTTCCATATGTCCTATTGTACCTGTACTGGTGATAGTGCTTATGGAGAATTTGATGGAATGAGGATTGGCAGGGGAAACCGAAGTACTTGGGGAAAACCTGCCCCGGTGCCACTTTGTCCATTACAAATCCCACTTGACTAGACCGCAGCGGTGGGAAGCCAGCGACTAACCGCTTAAGCTATGGCGCGGCCTTTCAGATAATATTGGTGAATTTGGTGAATTCTCAAATGCACATGCCACCCAACTGAGTAGGTTCTGCTAGAAGATGGAGACAGAGTGCAGTCTCCTAAACGTTGCTTTAAATAAAAACAGGAAAGTGTTTTAAATGGAACAGTACAGTGGAAAATGTCCAGGAACACAGTAGCTGTAAGAATATTCGAACACTTAGCAGTACTAATAACAAACAAAATCAGAACTTCCTCAGCAGCAGATTTCAGTTAAATGATGAGCAATGTAACAGGATCTTGAAATTAGTGTCAAATAATGAATATGTAAATCCAAAACACTGTGGACTTTCTTGGTATTAATTCCTTTCATCTCCCATAAATTCAATTAAATCTGTGCCTTCATTTCCTAACTTCATATTTCCAGAACTGTTATTCTGAATACTAGACTATTGTGGAACACATTATCAATAACATTTTTTGGGTGTGTTGTAGATATGTGTGTTAATATACATAATGTTTGTTGTTCCTCCAAAGATGGATGATTAAATGCTACTCAGTATGAATATATTAATGAAATTGAGGGGAACCTCGTTTTTTATGAAGTTGTATTAACAGTTTTATAATTGTTGATATGTAACTACAATTTGAGGTTTCAAGCTACAGTTTTCCCTCTTTAATACAAATGACAGATACAAATTGTAACATTAAATTATACCAGTAGTATTCATAAAGAATAAGCCATTTTTAGAACTTAAAATAAGAAGTCACACTATGAGGGAAGTTGCACAAATGTACAGTTTGAACATGTTTGTGCTCTTTTATTTATTTATTTATTTATTTATTTACTTCATATAAGCTGATCATTATACGTGATATAGGACAAGTCATTATTATTTGCATGCTTTGGTACACATGTTGTATCTTTTTTTTTCTGGTTTTTGTTTCAGGTTTGATAAAAATGGATGATTTGCTAGATGAATTTACGCCATTAACCATGACTGGAATATCACCAAGATCAAGAAGAAATGATATTTCTTTATCACAAGTATCATCCATTAGTCGCCTGTCACAATCATATATTAAAAGTAAGAAGAAAAGTGGGTGCAAGTCTAAAAGTAACAATGGCAACAACTTGTGTCATAGTAGTACAGCAGGTACTATGACAACCACAGGAGACACATACAAGAGCAGAGATACACATCTTCAGGCAAGTGCAGATGGCGTACAGTTCTGCCCAATTTGCCAAGCACCATTTGACATCATAAAAGTTGATCCATGTGTGCATGTAAATCAATGTAATGTCACATCTGATGAGCTGGAAGGTAAATATATATGATTACAATTGATATACATTAGAAATTATGGTACTATACTATACTCGTATGTGCGATTTTTCTGAAATGAGGCATGTTCATATTGTAGCTACTAGAGACGTTCACAGAGTATATCAGAAATTCTAGTTTAAGCTTCGATAGCAGTCAGTAGTATGGATTATTAATAGGTGCACTGGTGTATATCTCTCTTCTCTCACTGAAGCATTACTGTTGGAGTGCAGCAATGTTTACGAAGAAGGCATGAAAGATAGTACTGTTATTTTCTAAGTATTCAAAACTGAGCCATAATTATGGAGTTGAAGATGCAGCAGTTTTTCTGGTATGTTTGAATACTGGTTTTGCAATTTATGTTTGGGAGATCAAATACCTCTTTTTTAGTTTTGTCATCCACAGCAAGTTTGTGCTTGAGAAGGAAGTACAAATTTAATTCAAATAAAGCTATAGAGCCAGCAGTTATTAGTAAGCCAGAAGTATTGCAGATCATTGTGAAATATGAAAGTAATACATTTGTGGGATTATCAGTGTTCTAAAAGACAACCACATAAAACTGTAACGGTTGTATATATTAAATTGTATAAATTGAATGTACAGAATAGCTGCGAAGCTATGTGGAATGTCAATGTTCAAAAGTTGGCTGGCCCTGAAAAGGGCAGTTTGTTCCGCCGTGAGTGTGCTGGCAGAATTTGCTCCTTTGTAGTAGACCAAGTCTTTTCGGCCGTTCAGCTGATTTGTCCGGCCAGTGATGTGGTGCTGCGTGCGCCGGTAGGAACAGCTGCCTATGGTGCGGGTTGGAGAGTTGTGCCAGCTATGTTAGCTGTCTGGTAGCAGAGTGTGGTTGCTGGAGAGTTGCGGCAACTATATTAGCTGCCTGGTTGCAGAGCATGGTTGCTGGAGAGTTGCGGCAGCTGTCTTTGGCGCAGTGAGCAGCAGATGACTCTGATGACTGATCATTCTGAACTGAATGTGATCACTGGTGATTGCAAGCTTTGGGCTCTGCCTTTTATACCATGTTTGCTGGGCGAAGCTTAAACTTGCAGTTGCGATTGTGAGTGCTGATTGGCTAGTGCGCACTATGATGTGAGGGTGGGCTGGACAGTGAGTGCTGTATAAATGTGAGCGTTGGCAGCAATGTGATATTGACTAGGAGTTGAGTGCTATCTGTTAGACCGGCGAAACCATGTGTTAGTATGTGGGATGTTCCCACACACTTTTATCTGTGTTTAGACTGTAAGTTCTTGTGTTGACTACCTTCTCAGATCGTGATTCATTTCCACACCATGTATCCTGGCCAGGGCTTTATATTGTGAAGGTGCATATGTCAGATATGCATTTATGCTGACATATTCAAACTGAAATGTGTCAGTGGTAGAGTGGTTTGCTGTTTAAAGAAACATTAAACTATTGAATTTTTCTTAAAAGAATGAAATTCTATGTGAGGGCTAGATAAAAATATGTTCATATGAACTGTGATGATTGGTCTTTCAGACACATATTATTTCATAATTTTGTAGTCATGGCTGAGGTACTGACTTTTAAAGAAGGCTGCAGAACTTATAATTTTTAATGGCTGCAGTAACAAAGTTAAGTATCAGCATGTTGTGTTACTAGTAAATCTTTCTTGGCTATATTTTGTACCCCTCTCTGGCTAATATCTATTAAATTCTTACTTTTTTACCATTGGATTGTGCAAAGTTTGAAAACTGTGATTTAATATTCACATTCTCATGAGATGATGCTGTGTAGTCTGGTAGAAATTATTAATGTTCCTCCAAAAAGTCCATAAACTTCCAGCAGATACATGGCCTCACATCTCTGTAGGTAATACAGGGTTGGTCTGGTCTAGAAAACCGAAATTAACTGCCATGGGGATTCAATGCACTGACCACGCGACGTTCTCTATCTGCAAAAGTGGCACTAACTTCGCCGACAAGCGGTGGTCACTCGGTCGATATAGTTTGCCTGCAGACTAAAACCACAGAGTTTGTTTGTTTTGTTTATGTGTCTGAATAATGAGTATGAGAATTCAGAAATCTTTTGGCTTATTGAAGTCAGAGAAATATAATTTCAAATTTAAGGAAGGATGTGGTAAGGAGGATAGGTTCTCTCTTAAACCCACATGGCAATGAATGTGTTCATGGCAGGTTAAAGTCTATCATATGATTACTGTGCAGATTATTGTCATTTGTATCTCAGCTTATTGATGCAAACCTGTGATTCTATTTTCTAAATATTGTAACATGTAAATCCATTGACAGACAAAGCTCACAACATACACAGGGCCAACAATACAGAAGCAGTGTTTTCTTTGTGTCTTTGCTTCTTGCGCGTGCACAATGATGTCACACAACAGTGCTTAGAAATCACATGTGATGTGTTTTCTGTATGTCAGTGTGTGTGCTGTGTCTATATAAGTGAGCAGAATTTGCAAGCTGAGCGGTAGGTGTCCAGAATATGGCAGTAAGCTGGAGGAGTACAGAAGAGTGCAAAAAGTTGGCCTGTGAAGACTTAATGTGTGATTTGAAGAAATTATGTGTGCAGGAGTAGAGTGATATTGCGAGTGTGTGATTTAGTGAGACTTTTATAGTTCCTATGTTATAAATCCATTATCAGGAAACAGTTAGTGAAGACTAGTGGAAATAGACTGAGAAGATTAGTGTGGAGTGATTATAAGTTATGTAAATACAGCAGTAGTGTAATAATTATTTGTAGTTAAGATCTGTAGGTGGTTAATAAATCCGAACCATGTCCTTAGGCACTGTGACACATGTATTTGAGCAATTTTCAGTGTAAGAATTCCAAGTGTCCTATATTTAACAGGTCTAAACTTTGTATTCTTTACATGTTTCAGAATGCCCTAAGGGAGAAATATGTTACAATTACAATCTGTTACATTATCGAGATTATGCACACAAAGCCTTGGCACAGATAAGAGCCTCAAAGGGTCATCTGCCACAGGAACCTCCATGGTGTACCACTCCAGAGACAGTAAAAAGGGTTGGAGGTGAGACTGAACAGTTTTTGCAGCCATTTACTCCTCTGAGCAGTAATAAGAAACTCAAGAGAACTTCCAGTGATGTTGCTAGAGGGCATCACTCAGCTCGCCAAAGGAGACTGTTTATTGATGAACAAGCATATGCTCCAGGAAGAGATGATACTGTAACTTCTCTGTCACAGAAAGGTGATAAGAAAAATGCCAAAACTGAGGTACATAAGTGCAGTGTGAATCAGAGTTACAATGAAAATGGAAGTATAGAGACAGTGAATCATATGACTGAAGATCCAAATTTAGAAGAGAGAAGTAACAAAGATCTCGAGTTCTATCGTGAGAATCTGGAACCTGTAATTGAGATGCGTGGATCTGAAGAAAGTAAGACCTCCATAATACCTGCTCTTGACTATAAGTGCAAAAGAAGTGAACGGACGTGTGCTAATAGTTACAGCTGTGAATGTAATCGCAAACTAAAGTTAGATGGTGCTGTAGAATATGCAACTCATAAATTAGATAAGCAGTGTGATGAAAACAGAAATGTCAGAACTGGCGTCTTACCTTACGAAGCAAAGTCAGATCCGGGATGTTTGCATGAAGTAAGTGCTACCATGTCTGTAGTTTTGCAGCCATCAGAAGGGAATTCAGTTGATGGTGGAGATAAATTGAAGGCCCCAGTAAAAGTGGATGCTAGCTGTGGGGAAGAAGGATGGGAAACAGTAGGAATTTCTGCATTGCCAGATGCAGAAGTTGGTGATGTCATGGTTTCCGTTTGTAAGTGTGCCAAGACCATGCATTTAAACTGCACACTTTCACATAAACACACTGTAACAAACTTTTCAGGTGAAACAGATACGAAGAGTAGGGAACTGGAATCTAAATTCTTTTCAAATGTAAACAAACTGGAATTACCTTACAAGATGCGTCAGAAAGACACTCCTGGAAGCGCGAACCGTCAAATGTCAATAACATCATATTTTCGATTATCACATCTTTCATCATCGCGCTCTCTACACATCCCAGCTGAAGGTTCCAGTAAGAATGTTAAAAGTAGCAGCTCTTCCTTTGCAGTGCCTCAAGACTGTCATTGCTTTGAACAAAATAGCTCAAATACAGCTGGGAAAGAATGTCTGCAAAGCTCATCAAAGCCACCAAAACAGAGTAAGTATTTGAAACACAGGATTACTTAGAATTACTTAGTTTTGGACTTTGTCCGTCATCCAGTATTCTAAAAACTAGAGAACACAGAGTTACAGAAACTGGATATGTTTCCAGTTTCCAAAGTGTTGTGTTCTTTAGTTTTTAGAATACTGGATGATATACAGTGTCCATGAACTCAATTATTCTGAGTGGAATTTCTGTGATAGTTTATTTACAGTTTCTAGCTTATCTGAATTTTTAAAACACGTTGATGGCTTTATATATGTTCTGATAGCTTCAGGATGTATAATCCTTGGTGTATTTGTTAGGTAGAGGTAAAACTATCCCTGTAACAAGCCATGGAGGCCCATAGGATTATGAAATGTCAAGACTCCCACACCTAGACAGCTGATGATGAGGTTGTGAGCCTTGTTCGCTTTGAGTAAAGGGTGCTTTACCCCCAGGAAGATTCCTAGTGCTCATTTCTGTTAGAGGCTCAGTCTACCCCAAGGCCTGACTTCATCAGGAATCAAGCCTGCAACCTTATAGCTTGTAGCATAGTGCCTCAACCAACTATGCTACTGAATGATTACATTATGATATCTTGGTTTGCCTATGTGGAGATTTCTATAACCTGTAATTCAGTAGGGGCAAATTACACTGAATCTGAATGTCCTATGCCCCACTTAAACTTGGACACCCATTCCTTCCAGGGAGTATTGTAAACTCAACAACTGAACCAGAAATAATGCAGCTACCATACTCTATTTAGCACAGGGTAAAGACGGGAGGAGCTGCTAATGAGAGTAGCTTGATGTATTAACAGTCAATATGGTAAAGGCAAAATAAAGAATTTTGACAATACAATATATTTAATAAACATTTACCAGACTGTAGGATTTGAGGATCTCAGAGCAGTGTTACGAGAGTTCTGTCTTGTGGGATAATGCCATATAGTCTGTTGAAAGACAGTAGACGTTTTGGAGGAATATGTCGAAAAATAAACGATGCAAGAAACCAGTGTGTATCAGATAGCAAGCAGATCAGAACTGGTTCACACTGGCTTTGTGCTTGTCTTATTCTTCAACCCTGAAGCTGGAGACAACATGTTCCTTCAGAATATTTTATTAAATATTTTACCCTAAAAGTGGCTTATCAAGTTATTCTGTTTGATGCTATTTAAAATCTGTATACTACATTTGGACAGTCATGAAAAAACATGATATCCCACCTGAAAACTCAGACAAGTTATTAAGTAGCAATTTAATACCACATTCAAAGTATTTTGGAAATCCCAATGCAGTTCTTTTCGTAAAAATAATTCTATACATATAGATGTATGTACGTATGTAAGGGGTGGGCCATAAAAACTGGCCCCCGCGCTGCGACCTTCGATGATCTATTGTGCTTTATACATATAGATAGTCATTGATTCAAGAAGTTTTCTCTGAACAGACTTTATATGGGTTATGAACTTCTACAATCTGAACTACTACTTAATGCCACTTGCAGGTAAAGAATCAGTTGCAGCATACTGGAAGGAGCTTCTCAGTGAGATGAAACAGAAAGGGCTGTCCACAATGTCTGTGATGAGTGATGACACCATGACAGTTGCATCTGATGGTTGCACCAGTGGCAGTAATTCGTACTCATTGCAGCAGTCCCAGGGAAAGAAGACTTGTCCAAGCTACAAAAGAATTCCAGGTGACATACTTAACACTGATACTTTTTTTCCATGTTGTTTTTACCTAGCTCAATTACATTTTATAAAAGTATTAATTTTTTAGATCAATGAATTTTCTATCGAGTCTCATGTATTGTGTAATTTTGAATTGCCAGATGGTGAAGAATCATTTTTAGAATCAGTCAAGGTTAGTTAAGTTGCTCTTACAGGTATTTAGACATATTATACTTCAAATTCACATCGAAGATTTGAAGTGAAGAAGCAGAGTGAGGCCGTACATTGCAATGGAAGGAAAGTAGGCCACCATATCGTTTTCCAGAGAAATGAACAATGGATGTATGTGAATCTTAGCTTAATTTCGTGTTCAGTTTACTTAAATTTTACAGAATTTTTAGATTTCTGCCAGTTCTCCTGTTCAAATCTTGTATAATATGGCGTGACTTTACTATTTCATAAATCCAGCATTGTTTATTGATTCCTGAGGACTTTTGATAATAGTGTGGTATCAGTTTGTTAGAATCGGTTTTGAAAGTTGTAATTGTTGTAAATTGCTTTATAATGTTTAATAATCTTATAGATGGAAGGGAAAAGGTATGGAAAATACGTTACAGATTTGAATGCCGTAACGTGTTTTAAAAAACTGAATCATAATGCAGTGTTAGTATTCAGTGTCTGATAGTTTTATAAGTAAAGTGGTAACTCTGAATAATGATAAATATCTTTACAGTTGTCCGAACAAATAAAATTATTCTAAAGGCTTCTGACACTGTTGTATAATACTCAGAATTAATGGTTTTTGGACTTTGTCCAAAACTTAGACAAAGTTCAAAAAGCTTATAATTATAAATAAAGTTAAAATCTCAATATTTTCTTACTTTGGTTTAACACAATGAAATTTATTAATTTGTCATAACAGCCTTTGTCACATTTAGTGAATAAATGTATTTAATGTACATTTATACATGCATATGCATTTCAGTCTTCAAAGGATTATTTTCATGAGGGTGTTTTCATATCATTTTATGGTTATTGGTAATGGCATAGTTGGTTGAGGCACTGTGCTACAAGCCAGAAGGTCGTGGGATCGAATCCTGATGAGATGGATTTTTTCAGTTGAGCTAATCCTTCCAGCTGCACTATGGCCCTGGTTTCGACTCAGCTTCTAACAGAAATGAGTACCAGGAATCTTCCTTAAGGGGTAAAGGGCAGCTGGTGCTTAAGGCTGACAACCATACCGCCATCTGTGAGCTGATTGTCTAGACAAAATGTGGGATCCATGATGTCTCAGCCCTATGGGCCTGCACAGCCTGTTCCAGGGATACCTTTACTTTTAATAATCGCCTTATTGTACATCACATTGCATTCCCTGGATCCACAGTTAGTAAAAATGACTGTAGATGTGGAATATGTTATATGAACACAATAGCATTTGTACAATACAGTTGAAGTTTTCACACAAGAAAAAACAGTGGTTACACGTGAGGCTATTCAAAAATACATCCTCATACAAGTATATACATCAATACTTTCAACGTATGCTGTTTACACAACCTCTGAATGGACGAGTAAGTTTTTAGGCAATAAGTATTCATTATCCAACTACAATGAGCATGTGTTTAAGCATCGTTTTAGTGCTAATTTAAATCATGCTTTTCATTCATAAGACTTTTGGGATGAGATGGCTTATTATTGAAAATTTGGATCCCAGCATAATATGAGCTTTTCTGAAAGGTTTCTAAGAGGTTGGTTTATGGAGATAGTGCTTATGTATTGTATTAACACTGTACATCTGCATTGTTCTGAAAATATTCTTCATTATTTGTAATAATGAGGATCTCCAGCAGCTGGAATAGGATTGAGGGAGTTTCTTGAGATGACACTCAAAGATAATTAAGAAGAAATGGCAACAAGTCAGTTGAGTTTCCAGATGCCAGCCTTCCAGTATATGAGCTTGGGAGCACAGGAGCTGAATTGAGGAATTGAAGCATCAAAAATATTGAGTGCAGTTCAGTGGAGTTCAAAAGTCTGGCTGAGAAGAGAAGACTATACTTCTGCTATAGTACTGCAATATTTGGAATATTTATTCATTGAGACTGTAATTCCTGTGTTAAAATCTGTTGCCAGGGAAGGGATAGTAGAGGCTGTAATAGACTGAGGACACTAGTGTTTGCAGCAGTGAATTGTAAATTGCAGAGATTAACAGTAAAGCTGTATTACTTGTAAATTGTAGTTCTGAGTGATGTGTGTAAGGTGTCAGTATATCCAATCATCCGACTTACCCAACTTATAGTCACCCCTTCACTTGAAAACTGGTATCAGAAGTGGTCAGAGTGGACACTGCTTTAGATCTTTGATCATTATACCATCAGCCTACAAACATGGAATAATTATCGGAACTCATAAAATCCATGAAAGAAAAGATGGAGATGCAGATAGGTTCTCTAGCCTCCCGGATGGATGCCCATCGTGAAAGGACAATAGCCACAATGGATGCCTGTCTAGAAGACATGAGGGTCTGGCAGAAAGAGATGAAGGCCAAGTGAGAAGCAGTAGAGGTCTGTTTAGAAAAGACAGAGGCCTGTCTGGGGTGTAAGGAGCTAACCATAGTAATTGGAGTATTAGAAAGTCCCTAACGTTCTCTGGTCTCTTAAATAGATCTGTACAAGAATTATAGGATTTGACACCCATCATGAATCTAACGATTTTCTTTTGCCTTTTGGCTGTCAGATGAATTACCCCAGAAAATTCTTCCAGACTTCAATAAAAAGGTGAAAGTAAGCAAACTAAATTGATTTGAAAGTGTCAGTATTGCTGATATGCAGCATAGATCTAACTGTGTAACGTGCTTCACTGATTGATATGGATTTCCCAGTTTAAATGATTATCAGTCTGTAAGCCAAGGAATTCTGTGTTTACTGTCTCTTCTATATATTTATCATTATACCCCATGTTTAATGGATATTGTGATGAGTTTTTGTTATAAATTGTTTACATTTGTTTTATCTAGATTCAGGGACAGCTTGTTTGCAGAAAACAAGTTACTCATTTGAGAGAACTTCATTTGTTAGTATGCAGAAATCATCTAAATTTTTACCAGAAATTATGATACTTATTTCATCAGCAAATATTATGGGTTTTGATGAGGTGTTTAGTGTAGGAGGGAGGTTGTTTATCTAGATTAGGAAAAGCAAAGGCCCTAAAATTTACTCCTTGGAGACTCCATGCTTTATTGTTCCCCAGTATGAGTATGTAAAACAGTAAAGCTGTCCCTGTAACTGGCCAGGAAGGCCAGTAGGGGTGTGAGAGGTTGAGGCTCCCACATCTAGACATTTGGCTCACAGATGGCGGTAAGGTTGTCAGCCCTACACACCGGCATCCTGCCCTTTACCCCCAGGGAGATTCCCAGTACTCATTTCTGTTAGAGGCTGAATCAACCCCAGGGCCATAGTGTGGCTGGAAGGATTAGGTCAACTGAAAAATCCAGTAACCTCATTGGGATTCGATCCAGCAACCTTCCAGCTTGTACCTAGCATAGTGCCTCAACCAACTACACTATCACATGTCCCCTGTGAGTATGTACTTTGGGTTAAATCTAATGATTTTATTTCAGTCTTTTGATTTCTGTCAAGTAGGATCTGAACCAACTTGCTGTTGCTCTTTGAATACCAAAAAATGTGATTTACACTTTTAGAAAATTTTGCTTTCTTACATTCAGCCATACACATTCACACATTTCTTGATGTGCAGTCTCTCTAACAATCAGATACTATAATGTACGAGTAATAAATACTTATTGCACAAATAAATAATTTTATTGTGATGCCATACAGTATGTACAGTTTAAGTTATCATTTGTAGAATCTTAACGTTCTTTGCATGTAAATTGTTACAGAAACATCATTTGTGGTGGATGCATTTCAGTACGGTATTATTCCCGGAATATCACATTACTTTTTGTCACACTTCCATTCAGATCATTATGGAGGACTGAGAAAATCTTTCTCAAAACCCATCTACTGTAGCAAAATAACAGGTATAAATGGTTCCAATGTAGAAAGCATTTTTCTAACCGTTATTACGAGTATACCCTTTATCTCTTTTTTTATGTTTATCAGTAAATTTGCCTTGCTTTTACCAGTCTTCACAGCCATCAGTCTTATGATGTTCTGGAAGCTTACTGCCACCAGATATCTGCACTTGTAACAGCGCCGCTCTTGAACAGGTCAATAAAATTTGCTGTTACAAGTCCCTTTTAACATTTAATTGGATTGCCAGATGTAGATGTGTTCCAAATTTGGCAGTATGGATTACCGGTATATATTGTGACATAACTGAAAGAGACAGCCGTTGCTAGGTTATGGCACAGTAAACACAATGAGATCATTAAACAAGGAGCCATTGCTACACATTGGCTGGAAAACTATGACTATGATGCAGTGTTTTCTGTTTGGTTGGACCTGAAGCTATATAATGTGAAACAATGGGACAAGCCAGGCAGTTGCAGTCATGAGTTGAGAGTCAGCAGTTTAGTTAGTTGTGAGACAGTTATCAGCCAGTAAGGACATAAGCAAAGGACAATTTTGAATCTGTTACCAGGTAATGACTGGTGAAGACAAACAGAGAGGACTTAGCTGTAGTGAGAGGTTGGGTATTTGAATTAGTGAGAGCGTTATAAAGTGTAAGAGTTCAGTAAATCTAATAATCCAAAACCCTTGTCTAGTCACTAACATGTGACTGTATCAAGGCACACATACAGGAGGTTAATTCCTTTGTTTACAGCTATATTATTGCCTGTTGATAAAGTAAAGCACTGGCCAGTGTATGATTTATCTGATAAGGCAGTTGACTGCTGCTGCACTTTCTGTTTGGAAGTTGCATCCCTACTTGAAAAATTGTATCAGTGGGACACTTTATGTGTATAGTCAGGGCTTGAGGTGGGGTGGGATGCAGCGGGATGGCATCCCGGTTCTTTTCTAAATGGCTTAAAAGCATCCCGTTACTTGCAATGTACAATACCTTAAAAGGGGAAAACCATCCCGGTTCTATTTTCATTCCACCTCAAGCACTGTGTATAGCACTATATCAGCTGCAGAAAGTGGTGTCCTCCAGCACCGAAGTTTCTTCTCCATGATATCTTATTTAATTCTGAAAGGTTTTGAGAGTATGTTGGTTGTTTCCATGAGCTCTCTGTTTCAAGTTTTCTCACAGATAAAAGTGGCACACAATTAGATCCAGGGAAAGTGACTGCAATAGCAGCCTGTAGCACCTGCATTGACTTTTCTACAGTGTATGCTGGTACAGTGTGCTAGTGAAAATAATTCTTATGCAGTTAATTCTGTGAGGGTGATTCAGAAAGTATCCACACCTTCACTCCCGTCTACAGAAGGTACAAGCATGATGACAGTTGACAGCATTGAACCCTGTGAGATGACTTGTCAATACACTGCTTGACATGACCTAGGGTGCAGTGAGTAAGCTGCAGTGAAGCAGAGAACATGGCCCCACTACTTTGAACAGAGGGCCGTGGTTAATTTTTTGTGAGGAGAAGGTATTAAAGGGGTTGAGCACATGTTTATGTGTTCTGTATGGGGAGAGTGAATTACCTCAACAGAGTGTGTAAGTGTGGATTGTCATGTTTAAGAAAGGCAGGACAAATGTAACTTTCAGGACCCATGGCACACCCATCCATGACATCAAGTGATGACAAACAGGAACAAGCCGGGGTCAGAGTTTCCAAGGATGGAAGATAGTAATAAGAAACTTTGCATCAACACTAGACTTTGGTGGAGTGTCAGCCCATTCAGTAGTGCATGACATTCTTGGTTTCCACAAAGTTTTTACATGGTTGCGTTCTGAGGGAATTGACAGAAGAGCACAAGCCTGGTTGTGTGGGCATCAGTTCTCATCTGCTAGAGTAATTGTATTATCGCAGGTGAAGAGACTTGACTACACCATTGAAAACCACAAAGTAAATGTCACAGTATGCAGTGGAAGCACCTATCATTTGCCACAAAAAGAAATCCAAGGCTAAGCCATCAGCCAGGAACTTAATGCTGATGATGTTCAGAGACTCAAGGTCCTGTCCTTTGACATTATCAGGAATGTGAAACCACAGTACCAAATGCAAGGTATTCTGACATGTTACAAAGTGAACTGAGGCCAGCTAGTTTGCACAAAATGATGAGAAAAATTATTGGAAGATGTTCTCATCTCTCACAACAATGCTACACCTCATACTGCTGCCCAGAATAGGGAAACCCTTCAAGAGCTAAAATTTGAAGTTTTCAATTTTCCAGCCTACAGCCCGGATGTAGCACTGTCAGATTTCTACTTCTTTGGATCCCTAAAGGGGGCTTTCAGGGGTCACCAATTTGCAGATAATGGTGACGAGGTGAAGGAAATATTGCATGATTGGCTTTGCACACAGCCCAAGCAGTTCTATTCTGATGGCATCAGAAAGCTTGTAAACTGCTGGCCAAAGTGCATTAAGATGCAGAGAGACTATATAGAAACGTGATCATCAATAATAGTGGAATGGATATCAACAGCTTGGAAAGAAGTGCCAGTCAGTATTACTTCAAATCGTTTTTAAAGTGCTGTTTGTCTAATGCAAAAAATGGAACACAAGATGACAGTGAACAAGTTGGCAAGGGTACATCACCTTCACAAAATGAAAGTGTGACTGAAGGATCATTGGACGAACTTTCTAATTAAATGGAAAAGATAGAAAAGAATATGCATCTAGTGAAAATTTTAAATTTCCATTTCATTCTGGTATATTTTCCATTATGTTTCACTTTAAATATATTCTAAATATTCTGTTCTTTTAATTGATGTTTGAAGTAAACCCACTGAAGTAAATAGACCTTTCCGATTTTTCTTAAAACCCTCATGTGTCTTAAGTTCAGGGACTTCTTATGTTTGAAGTAATGTTAAAGTGTTCAACATAGGCAGGGCATAATTTTGTCTTTGACTTTGAGATTTCTTTCCTTTGTGACCCTGAACTTATGTTTCGGGTCTAAGTGGAGAACCTGCCTTGAGATATTTCATTAGTTTGTCATTCCCTTGAAATGAATACAGAACATTGCTTTAGAATAGGCCTTAAACATGCCACACTCTTCTGACGTCATCACAAAATTTCATAAACACTGCATAATCTTTGCATATTATATATTATTTTATGTGACACACACATGCACTTCCATGTATTTATTTATGTGACAACAAGTGTATTATTGTCATGTTAATTTATATTTTGTGTCTTTTCTTCAGCTGCATTAGTAAAGATGAAACTTCGTGTTGATGAGAGATACTTGCATGTGCTAGAGCTGGATAATCCCCAAAAAATTAATGGTGTACTGGTCACAGCCTTAGATGCCAATCAGTAGGTGTATTTATTTATTCATGGAATATTCTTTTGTGTTTGTGGTGTTGGTTATGTACAGGGGTTGGACAAAATAATGGAAACACTACACATACTGTGTACATTTCTTTATGAATATGGTGTTGGACCACCTTTTGCCCTCAGTACAGCAGCATTTCTTCTTGGAATGGACTCGTACTATTTCTGAATAGTCTCTAGCTGAATTTTTTACCATTCTTCATGAAGAACATCTTCAAGTTGCTTTAGAGATGTTGGAGGTGAGAATCTGTTCCTTACTCTAGTCTCTAAAACTGACAAGAGTGGTTCAGTGATGTTTAAATCTGGTGATTATGCTGGCCAGGGAAGATGCTGAATTTCACCTTCATGCTCTTCAAACCTTGACTGAACAGTTCCATCTGTCTTCGTGGAAAACCACATCACTGTTTGGAAATAACATCTGGATCATAGGATGCACCTGATTACCTAAACTGTGGACATACTCCCTTGCAGTAAGTCAGCCATGAAGTCTAATAATGGGACCAACAGTATACTGTACCACAATATTACTACCAAAACAATGACAGAACCTCCCCCGTGTTTCTTTGGAATCAGTCATTCCTCACTGTAGGCTTCCTTGGGTGTTCTCCAAATGTAAACTCTTCCTGATGTAGGGAACAGCATGAAAGGACAACTCATCTGACCATACCACGTTCACGTTTCAAGTTGTCTGATGTCCAGGTTTTATGGTCATGGCACGATCATTTACGCATCTGAGCATTACTTTCAATAATCAGAGGTTTAGCAGTTGCAACCCTACCATGGATGTTGGATTTGTGAAGCTTATGTCAGACAGTTTTTGTGGGAACAGGTCTTCAGGGTGAAGATTTAGTTCTGCTTTCATCTGTGCTGCAGTAGTTTTGTGATTTTTCAAAACAATCCTTTCGTTTGCTTGCAGACTCAAGTCATGGAGTTTAGTTCTTTTTTAGTCCTCAGTGTACAACGATCTCTTTATGTCAACATTGATATTTGCCCACTGTTCCTCTTCACTGATGCTGTCTTCCCATGATTGATGTATTCCGACATAACTTTAGAAACTGTCACTCTCAATACACCTAAAAATATGGCAGTTTTTGTCACAGATGCTCCAGCTAAATGCACATGAATGATCTGTCCTCTGTCAAAATCTGACAAGTCTCCCATTTTCCAATTCTTTCACATGGAATTCTTAACACATTCACTAAGCCACTGACATGGGCGCTACAGAGTGTTAAGAAACAGAAGAACATACAGTGTTGCCAACCGAAGTTCTTGGGAGCCAACACAAACTCTTTTCCTCAGATTCTTAGTGAGTCCATTATTTTGTCCACCTCCTGTACATTGGTACTGTTACATTCAAATGCATGTAAAACAAAGAAAGATAAAGAGTCTAACATAAAGAGCCTTGAAGTTGCATGGTTTAATATTTTATTTCAGAATGTCTAATGGTTTATATTATACATAATCTGCAGTTCTTTTAAGTCTTCCTGAACTGAATATCAGTATGGTGCTCTTATAACTTCCTTTTCTTCTCATGCATATATATGTTCTCTAGATGTGTTTCCCATCCAGTTTTCAACTCCTTCATGTTATATACTTTTAATTTGATACTTTATATGGGGTATTTTCATTTGTATCAATCCTATTATCGGTTTTTAGACCTCCAATCTCTATCACGATATTATTTTTCTACCACTAGATGATCAATTTGAAACCTATGTTCTTTTCTTTTCAATTCCACCTTCCCTATTTTATTAAAATTTGTAGTGATCTTTCTTTAAATTTGCACATCAGACTGGTGATGTTGGTTTATTAATGGTTATAGCTTGAAACTCTATAGCCTGAGCACAAATGGATCTTTACCATTCCAGAAATTTGTTGAGAATTACCCAGGAAAGATAATACATCCAAACACAAAGGCATTAAACTGCAACTGTAAAGGTTTTGAATCAGAGCATGTGCATGCATTTGCAGTGATTTTCTGCCTGGGATACTGCAGTGAAGAGAATGATGGATACTATATGAAAAGCAAAATATGGCCTTGTGGTTTAATGAAACCACATCTGTGAAACTAATGCAACGGTGCTATTGAATGAAGTTCAGAGTGGATCTGTCTTCTAAACCATTCACATATGCATGCTATGATATGTTTGTGAAACAGGGATTTTTATGTAAACCATATGTGAGTGAGGAAACAGCGGAAACAGGGTATCTGTCCTTTGTTAGGAGTCTGTAGAAGTCAACAAGGTGTGCAGACTGTGAACTGAACCTACCACAGAAAACTGAAAGATTCTGTGGAAATGTTACAGATTTCAATTAATGCAAGTTATTGAACCCAATGATAAGGTCAGTAATTACATATTCTACTGTCACTTCTGCAGCAAGATGTCTACTGAAGAGACTTTTCTTGGTAAGTTAACATTCAGTAATGGGGCTACTTTCCATGTTTTGAGGAGAAGCTAAGAAGCACAGTATCATAATTTGGGGCACACAACAGCATGCCAGACATATTACAGAAGCAAATGTGTTTTGTGCCATGAACAGCCAAGGTCTGTAGGCCTTTCTTTCCTCAGAGAAAAGAAATTTATGAAAATAATTATCATCTGCAGCGAGCTGTTCTAATATTAACGTTGCTAAGTTTACCCTTTGTGGCATATCACAAAAGTGAATGCGTTGCACAAGTTGCAGTTTGTACACAAACAGTTTCGATCTTTCGTGAACTGTGTCATGCACCATACTCTGGATTCTCCAATTGATAGCTAATGTGTCTAGCAGAACATTTCAGGCTGCACTGAAATGCTACCTGAATGCACTTGGTGCCATCTTGCGATGTGCTTGGACTGCCGATTTCTTGGAATTGTTGATACTACTTAAGAATACCCTTACCAGATGGAGCATATTTACAATACACTTGCCTAAAATTTCTGTGAAGAGTCACTAAAGACTTTGATTCTGCATCCCGCAGCACACACTGCGCCTTTTCTTATGGTGATGCCATGACTGAATGACTCCCACTTTTGTGCATTCTCAACTTATGATGTGCTGCCATCTCTAGAATTCATGTTACTGTAACTTGGGCAGGTTTTGCACCACATTTTGGAAACATATACTATGACTCTGTGATGCAGCAGCAAATAAATATGTATAACAACTACTCTGGAGTTCTTATTTGGGCACTCTGTGTAGAATTAAGTAGTGGTTCACAAATTAAAATATGTAAGTGATGAAAGATACTTTGACTACGGTAGTTTATGTCTGGATGTTTATTTGTTGTATCTTGCCCAATCGCTTCACAGTAAGTTTCCAAAATGATAAAGATCATTTGTGCCTACCTGTATTTAGATTTCTCTAAAGGATCTGCTGAGATAGAATTAATTTTTGTATGTGTATGCATGCACGTGCATGTGTGGGGGGCTCTCTTTTCACATCTTTTGCTACGCACTGCTTATGCTTATACAGATGGTTCTCTCAACCTCAGGTATGCAGTCCATTGCTGTGGTTTATGGTATCTGCATTTGTTTTAAAATCTTCCGTTATCCGTACAGTTTATATTCTTATCTGTCATCTGTCATCACCTCTGTCAGCATTCTTAATTACTGGTATATTAATATGTGATATATGTTTTCTGATGCCTCTGCTTTAAGTCCTGGATACGAATCTTGTCTGCATATGGTAGAATGATATTCATGTGTTGCAAGTTGAGTGATGTACATGATCCATGATGCCATGATGCTGGGGCATTTCACTCTTTGTTGTGTTCATAATTTTGGAATTAAATATATGGGGTTCCAGAAATATGCTACTCCACCCACAATGGGTGAGTCAATGGAGAGTGGCAGAGGGTATAGAATTACTTGCATCAAGCTTACTTTGTTACCGTAGGTGATGGATTTTTAAGTGTGTAAGATACTTAAGCTCTGTTTGTGGATCCCTGGAAATATGTATTTATGTAACATATTTATTCCTAATTTGTACATTGAATTTCTAAACAGATGCTTTTGCAAGTTATGAGGTATAGGGTGATTGCCATTGATTTGCATATTAATTTTTTGTTTGATTATACCCAATTTTCTTTGACAGAATAAGTTTTTCCTCATTCTTTAAGATGGGAAAAATTATGATTTTATCCAAAGCAAAAATACTTCTACATTGCCATGAATGAGAAGTGCAAAGAAATAAACTAATAAAACATGTTTCATTTATGTAAGATTTGAGGCTTTCACGGCGGTGACTATGAAGAAAGCAGTCTTCTGGGATTTGGCGCTGTGTATATGTGGTGTTAACCGACGTTTCGGAGGAANCATATACACAGCGCCAAATCCCAGAAGACTGCTTTCTTCATGTTTCATTTAATATAAAGTATATCCTTTCATATATAGGCGCTGGAACAGAGCAGTCGGTATAGCGACTGGCTACAGGCTGGATGACCAAGGGATGGGATTTTGAATCCCAGTAGGCTCAAGAATTTTCTCTTCTCCATGTTGTCCAGGTTGGCTCTGAGGTCCACCCAACCTCCTATTCAATGGTTACGGGGGTCTTTTTCCCCAGAGGTAAAGTGGCAGGGGCGTGAAGCTGACACCTCACCTCCAGCTAGTGCCACGGTCAAGAAAATGTGGATCTATACATCCACTCCCCCATATGTCTTCACGGCATAGTTCTTAATCAGACAAGCACAGGGGCAACTTTACCTTACCATTTACCTTCTATACTTACTTACTTACTCATGGAATTGAGCCCTTCTTGAGGAGCCGCCAATTCTGCAGCTACTCAAGAATTTCCCAGCATTTTATGGAACCCGAAGGTTCATTACCGTGTTCACAAGAGCCCTCCACTGGCCCCTATCCAGAGCCAGATCTATCCAAGCCATACCATCCCATCGTATCTCTCTAAGATCCATTCTAATATTGTCCACTCACTTACGCCTTGGTCATCCCAGTGGTATCTTTCCTTCTGGTTGTCCCACCAATATCCTATATGCATTTCTCATCTCCCCCATTCGTGCTACATGACCTGCCCACCTCATTCTCCTTGACTTGATCATTCTAATTATACTTGGAGAAGAGTACAAGTTATATATCCTTTCATATATATTTTATTCTATTTAATATGAATCCCATATTGAATAGTCAGCAGAAATTCTAAGAATGCTTCAAAACAGACATTTTAATAGTAATCTTAATATGCAGTGAAACTTATAACAGCATCCAGTTTTGTGATTATTCCCATAATAATAAATTTCTTTTCATTTCAGCTGTCCAGGTTCTGTCATGTTCCTGTTTCAACTTCAGGATGGCCGAAATTTTCTTCATGTTGGTGATTTTCGAGCAGACCCTAAAATGGAGTCGTACCCATGCTTCTGGAATTTAACAATAGATAAATTGTATCTTGATACCACGTATGTTAATTCCTGCTGCACTCTCTTCATTTACATGAGAACTGAAGATTATAAATTCCTTTAGAACAGTATGAAAATAAAAGATTTTTATATGTTTCAATGTTTAATAAAATACTAGGTGCAGAATTTAGTATATTGTGGTTGAATAATAAGCCATACAAGAAACCAGCAGTAGCTCATTACAAGCTGCTGCATGCTGAACTTGCTGCCTATTTCTGCTGGTTTCTTGCTTGCCTTTTTCTCTGACCATGAAGACTGAGGCAGCATGCTTCTCTGAAACATTATTCTTTATCTTGATTACATGGTATTACACAGAAAAGATTGTACTCTTCAAGACACATCCAGATTTTAGAGGGAAAAGTTTGATCAAATTTGGCCATGCTTTTGAGCTATAAAATACATGTAGCATTTTCCAGAAAAATACTGTATCTCATACTCTGGAAAGTACTGTAATTCCATGGGCTGAATCATGCAAGGAATTCTGCACCTTCAATAGAATGGGAATGTTCAGTACTGTGTTCAAAGAACATGTATCATTTATATCCTAACATAGATTACAGTCCACATACATCCACCATATTCCTTTAATATTAATCAATTTGCCAAGAATAAAATGTTTTCTCTCCCATATTATGGTGTATGAGTAAGGAAACATTTTTTTCTTATACAAGTTCATTCATAGCTGGAGTCCCCCCAGGTTTGGAACTCTCCCTGGGCTCAATGCCACACAAATGGAACATGGACAGAAATCATGGAAAGTGATTCCCATGATCAAGCAACTGTGGAAAATATGCAAAAATTCAGCTATGTGAGAGATACAAATTTGATTTAAATCACAATACCTAAAAGTATATTCTTACTAATATGGTTCATTCTTGAATATAATTTTTATTTAACTTCATTATCACAGAAATCCATACAGCCATCAGAATAACTCTGAGTAAGCATGTTTTGTGTTGTTGCATGTATTTACATATATAAAACAATTTAATTTTGGTGGTAATGAGAGACTGTAGTAATGTTAAAAATTAGGTTATATTGCATTTTTGTTAAGACTCCACTAGTTGATAACATAGATTCACGCTGAATTCACGCTGATATATTGGTTAATCTAGGCTTAAGTATCATCTCTTGGTGATAACAGACTTTGTACCTTATTTGGATTTAGGCAGTCCAGTGTTCAGTAATTTTCTCCTTTCTTTAAGAGCAGTATATAAGTTGAACTCTGGTTTTGAGAAGTGTCAGTTTTGGGAAAAACGTGCAGCTTATATTTGAGCAAATTTGACATATACCATAGCCTCTTTAGAGGTCCCCTTTTTTAAATGTTCCTTCATTTGTGTTCCAGCCTTTGTAATTTTAGCTCCAGCCTTTTAATGGATCACATCTCTAGTTTCTGTCATATAGGCAGCCATCATTCTAAATAAGAACCAACACTGATCGCAAGACAGTAACAGTACCAGTACCTCATTTGTGCTCCTTCAGTATTGTAGAAATTCAGAAGCGGACTTATTGCAGTAATGTACAATTGTTTTTCTTTCGTAGGTATTGCGAGCCACAATACAGTTTTCCGATGCAGTCAGAAACAGTTGCAAGAGTGGTGGAACTGGCAGTAGAGCATTGCAGGGTGGCACCTGCTACACTGTTTGTTTGTGGCACCTATACTTTGGGTAAGTTCTGTATATTTCAAGAATACTGTGTTCAGAGATATGATGGCATGTAGTCTGGTAGAAGATTACCAGCATTTTGGTGGGATGTAATGTCAGTGTGTTCAGGGTCAAAGAGTAAGCCAAGAAAGCAAGGGCAAGTAATGTTTTACTGTTCAACCCTGAAGATGGAGACGGTGTGTTCTTAAATGTCAGTAAATTTCTACTGGACTACACAGTGTGACATCCCAGGTGGTGGTTCTCTTCATGCTGTGTGCCTTGTAAACCTCATATCTCACAACCTGTACTGTGGTAACACTCCAGATTTCTATTTAGGATATGCCTGGTTTGAATCTTAACCGAGATACCATCTGTGCTGATTGAGGTTCTTTGTGGTTTTCCTTAGTACCTCGACAAGAGCGCTGGCATAGTACCTCAAATTGGGTCATTATTGGTTTATTTATTTATATATGGTTTACTTAACCATGCTTTTAGTAGCGCAGACTTTTTTTTTTCCTTGGCACTACAGCCCCAGTGGGCCTAGGCCTACCTCCGTGAACTTCTCTGTTCACTTCGGTTTTTCTAGATTTTACACATTCAGTAGGACTCCTTGGGCGGGTGATCAGCTCGTCGCAAGGCCTCTACCTATACCCAAACAGAAAAACACACACACACAAACTAAACATCCATGCCCTGAGTGGGATTCAAACCCACGATCCCGGTTTCCAAGCAAGCAAAGACAGTACATGCCTTAGACCACTCGGCTACAGTGACCGGCAGACTACATAGTATTAAATAGTAGGGATAGGTGATGGTGAAGATAAAATTATCTGTAGGCATTGATTAATTAAGCTCCATCATTCTTAACATCGGTATTAGATGGAGATGAGTGGTCAGCTTCATGCTCCTGCTGCTCTACCCGTGGGAGAATCAGCCCTTGGCACCCATTGTATAAGAGATTGGTTGACCCCCAGAGTGATCTGGACATTGTGGAGGAGAGAAAAGTCTCTTGAACTGCTGGGAATCAAACCCCAAATCCTTGGCCATCCAGTCCTTAACTTGATCACTATACTGACTGAATTGGCCCAGCTGCAGGATAGGTGATAAACTACATTAATTAATGCTCTTACATATACAACATTTAGCTTCTGTCACCATCTTTTGGCATTTTTAAGAACTGCAGAGTAGTTCACACGGAGTAAAATATTTGTAGTCAAGAGTCTTTTGAACCGAATGTTCTTTGTCATCTGTCTTTTTGTATTAGGTCCTCTGGCCTGTTCACATCAGAATTAATCTGAAACTATGGATCTTTATACACAGTTGGTAGGAATTCCTGGGTGGGTGGTCTGCATTGTCACAAGGCCACCCTCTATGCAGGACAACACAAACAGAAGAAATGTGGATGGGTGTCTATGCCTTCAGTGGGATTTGAACCCATGAACCCAGTGCTTGAGCAGGCAAAGATATTTCATGCCTCCGACTGTGTGGCCACTGTGATCAGCTGAATGAAACCATATTGTGGCATGTTGACTTGTTGCTATGCAACAGCCATGAAATAAGCAAGTATACAACAGCTGTTGCTAAGTAACAGCTCCAGAAAGAAGCATATCCAAGAACACAACAATTTGATACAACAATAACGGGAAGTGGCATTTTCTACGCAGTCAGTCAGTATAAACATGACAAGTCTACAGCCAGTCAGTCAGTCACTCGAGAGTTGCTGTAGCGGAGGCTTGGGAACAGTGTGGGAACACAGAGGAAGTGAACATCCGCCATTGGAAGCCGTTACCAGAGGACTGATGAAGACATAGCAGGCTGAGAAGATATAAGTGTATGGTCTAGTGCAGGGGTCAGCAAAGATTTTTCGTAAAGGGCCAAATATAAAATACATTACACTCTGAGGGCCAAGAGGCAAACTCGAGGATCTTTAAAGGTCGGTACAGTTAAAATAACAGGTTAAAAAACAAGTTTTCACAAATTTACTGGTGAAAATGTAACATAATAAAAATACAAAAGGAACTACAATCCTTGTTTGAAACACAGCTTTAGGCTACTAATGGGATGAATGAAATTGTTTTTTTTTTGAGATAACATTTCTTCAAATTGGGGGTCAAAGTTAGTACTCCCTATCATCATAATTGATTGCAAATGTTCGTCTGTTAATGCTGACCTGTATTGAGATTTTACATATTTCATCTTTGAAAATGTCTTTTCACACAGGTAGGTACTACCAAATACAGAGATCAAACCTCAAGCATATGATCTTAATTCACCATATTCATCACTTGGAAGACACTTATAGAATTTTGTTAGATTGTTCTCTTGGAATTTGCCTTTTAGCATGTTATCACACTGTAGATTAATCACTTACAATTGAAGGTTAGGTGGAAGTTCCTCAATTGTACAGTTAAATGGATTTTCAAATCTGGAAATGTCTTCTGCACTTGCATCAGGATCCAAAAAACGTTGCTGGAACTGTTTTTTGAGCTCAGAAAATATATCACCTGCAAATTCGTGTGGGAATCAGGAATCCACTTCTTCTTTTAATGTTTGACAGCATGGGAAATGCACGAAACAGCTTGACATGATTTGTGACTCAATCAAAGCCAGTTGTCGTCGAAATGATTTTACCGCAGTATAAGTTTCACATATTAGCACTGTTTTGCCTTGTAGCTTCAAGTTGAATCCATTAAGAAATCCCATGATATCAGCAGCAAAAGCTAATTTCCAAAGCCATTCAGTGTTCGATAATAGTGGTTGAGGGCGTTTTTTCTCATTGAGAAAAATTTCAATCTCTGCTCTGAGTTCAAAAAATCTTAATAAAACTTTACCACTGCTGAGCCATCGAACTGCTGTGTGGTAGGGTAAGTCAGGATATTCGGCTTCCACTTCTGACAGAAAATCACGGAACTGACGATGGTTCAGCCCACGAGAACGAATGAAGTTCACCGTTGACACGACTGGTTCTAAAACACACGACAGATTAAGATATTTGCCACAAAGTACATGCTGGTGAATGATACAATGAATAACCATAGGCCTTGTACACCTTGCATTTTCACAAGCTGTGTAAATGCTTCCAACTAAGCCTTTACCTGTTCCAGACATATTTTACCACCATCAGTTGTCACATTTTAGCTGATTCCACTTCAGATTGTACTTCGTTAACATTTTCTCAACTTCCTTGAAAATGTCTTCGCCTGTATTTGTTCCACGCAGACTATTCATAGAAGCTAATTCTTCAGTCACTTCAAAGTCAGCATTGACTCCTCGAATAAACAGCAGCAATTGAGCAGTATCTGTAATGTCTATCGACTCATCAAGAGGTAAGGAAAACCACTCGAATTCATTTGCCTTGCTAATTAATTGGTTAGTGATGTTGCTACCAATGTCCTCAACTCTTCGGGCAACTGTTCTCGCAGAAAGGCTGATATTATTAAATAAATCCATTTTCTCTGGACACATTTCTTCAACTGCTACACTCAAACATGATTTAATTAACTCACCATCAATAAAGGGTTTTCCTTCCTTGGCTAACAAATGAGCTATTCGTAGACTTACTTTACATGCAGCCTTATTTTCATTTTTAATTTTTGTGAAGAAACTGCGTTGTAATGAAATACTCCATTTCAAAGTTTCTAATTTTTGTGATCGTTCCTTCCCTGTGAGTTGGGAATACTGTGCCAAATGCTTAGTCTGGTAATGCCGACGTATATTGTACTCTTTTGGTACAGCTATAGTATTACTGCACAATAAACACAATGCTTTGCCATCTAATTCAGTAACAAAATAATTCTCACTCCACTCTGCCTTAAAAGCACGACATTCCAAGTCCACTTTTCTCTTCTTTTGTGGTTTCGACAGCGACATGATGGATATCCACTGGTATTAAAACGACACAGAACAGCGATACACGTGGCATTCGTAACACTGCGTGTCATCACAGCTGGGGCCACGAAGGAACGTGCGAATGGGAAGCTATAGGAGCGCCACACACGGCAATTCTCGCAACTCCTCAACTCAAGGTCGGCCATTGGAGTGCGTAATCATCCATAGACAATATGTTCGAAAAACGTAGGTTTCTTCCTATAAATAAAGCTTCATAGACGCAGAAATATTAAACTCATATTATAATAATTATCTTGTTTCATGAAATATTATCCCACTTTGACATTTTTAAGAGTTTGGAAATGTAAAATCTATTCTTAGCGCGCGGGCCGCAGAAAAAGCGGCGCCTGGCCGGAGTTGGCCCGCGGGCCATAGTTTGCCGACCCCTGGTCTAGTGAACTGTAAAATGTGAGAATTAGTGAAATTGTTATAGTTACGTGTAGTCATGGATCTGTAGTAATTCAGTAAATCCAATTACCAATCAAAACCCTGTATATAGTCAATTACATGACAGTATTGCGGCGTATTTGCTCAAAGCAAGAACTGTGGAGGCAGAGAAACAGCCATTGCTAGGTAATGATCTGTACACATGCAGCAGAGGAATGCATCATGTATGCTGTGATGTCATGCAGTAGTTGAAGAGGTGTTGCAAGTTGTGTTGCTATGCAGCTGTGCAGTAAACACATCACTGCAGGAGAGAGTCAACACGCCACAACAGAGAAAGCAGTGTTCTCTGTGGGTCCACCCCAAGGCTATAGAACAAGGATCTCACACAGCTGGAATTAGAATTGAGTCGAGAGTTGAGCTCTGCGAAGATAAGTGAGAAGACATGTCAGTTACAGGAGAGAATTGAGTCAAGAGTTGAGCTCCTCAAAGATAAGTGAGATGACATGGCAGTTGTAACAGAGGGAATTGAGTCAAGAGTTGAGCTCCGTGAAGATAAGTGAGAAGAGATGGCTGTTGTAGCAGAGGGAATTGAGTCGAGAGTTGAGCTCCGCAAAGGTAAGTGAGAAGAGATGGCAGTTACAGGAGAGAATTGAGTCAAGAGTTGAGCGCGAAGATAAGTGAGATGACATGGCAGTTGTAGCAGAGAATACAATTGAGTCTAGTTCAGAGTTGGCAGTTGCAGCATAGAATTGAGAGAGTCGGCAGTCAAAGGTGTCTGAGAATAATGGCAAGAAAGGAATTTGGCTGTGCAAAGAAGACTTAGTGTGTGATTCTAAGTAACAGAGAGACTGTTATGAATCCGTTGCCAGGGTACGACTAGTGGAGAGTGTAATAGGCTGAGGACACTGTGTAACGGTGAACTGTAAAGTATGGAAATAGCAATAGCACTGTAATTGCCTGTTGTTCTGAGTGGAGTGTATAAGGTGTCAATAAACCTAGTCATCCAATCCAAAACCTGTCTAATAGTCACACACCCCTACACGCGACAGTATGCTTAAGTATCCTGTTCCCAGAGAGACTGAGCTAGGGCAACACACCCAATCACCAATGTGTTTAAGAGACACAGAAATGTTAATTATATGCAGATAGGTGTGGCTTGGAAACCCAAGCCATCTTTATGTTGAAACATACCCATTATCTATTTATGAACTCTTCAGACACCTCCTTTGCCTAAGTCTGCCATGTCATCATCCATTCATTAACCCTTTATTATGCCGTGGTGACAGGGGGCGTGGAGGTATCCCTCCTTGCCACCACATCTTACGCTGCAAGGGGTTAACACAATAATCCTTGATTACCCTCAGCTAGGATTCTCCTGGTTCTGGACTTCCTTCGTTACATACAGCTGCCACCATCTTATTATATCTTAAGAGGGGTGAACAAAGTACCAAGGGCCTGTAGTGCGGTGGTCGAGCGTTCTCTTTTGGCTGGCCCTTTCATCACTGTCACCTCTTATTATTGGCGTAGAGCGGTCGTGTCAGGTCTGACCCACCTCTACCTATAGACTGTCACACCATATATTACACCTCTGCGACAGGGGTGGATTGGGTATCTCACTGCTATTGCCAATTATGTCTAAGTGACAGGGGTGGGTTAAAAACTACTAATTCATTACGGCTGCCATTTCCCTTTGACTAGTCCCTTCGTTGACTCGGCCCACCGCCATTGTCATATGTGATACTTCGATGTAAGGGGTGAGTAAAACACAGTTTCTGTCTCTACGTCAGCCACTTTGCGTTGGCCGATCCCCACCTCTGCCATCACTTTGTTATGCTTGAAGGGGCTAATGAATTATCTAAAGTGTCTCTTCCCTTGTTCCCTCTCGGGACTCTATCTCTCTGTCTCCTATTGGTCTCTCACCCTTAACTTGGATTCTCATAACCCTTACTGCTTGTTGCATTCGGCTGCCATTGCCTGGGTCAGTTCCGCCCTTCGCTTGAACTAGGATCACTCTGGATCGGCCGTGGACAGGTTGGTTATGGAGGGGTGAATCACAATCCTGGTACATCCTACTCTAATTACCCTGTCTATTTACACTCTTATTTACAATCCTATTTACAGTATTAACAAGGCCGACTTTCATTCGGGACTACATAGTGTCTTTATGTTACTACGCTATGAATCTCCCCTTCTGGGTTGTAAAACTTGAGTCTGTCTCTCTCTCTCACTCTCCCTTCTGTTGCGACTCCTGAAGATATGCAAGCATTAATCGTTCAACGTGAACCTTTTTCCTGTCTCCATTTCCTACTACTCATTACACAATTCTACACTATTCTATCATAATACTTCACCCTTAACTTAATCTACCCCAAAGGTTATACATACTAAAGCCTACATATATTTATCACAAAAATCGAGTCACAACTATAAACACAAATGTGCGTGCTCTGCGCACTACCAGTAATCATAACACATACTCTATAACGACGGCCATATTGCCGGACTAGCATCCTAGGCAATTACTGGTTACATGATTTCTATCATTCTACCCTAAGGGCTCGCCGGGCACACTGGACATTGCTTTCACATTTACCAACAACCATAAAGTTTAACAGCATGGCTAGTACGAGTAAAGAGACTTACTTGAGATAAGAGACGCTGGCTAAACACCTCCACTTGTAAGACCCATATCGAATACAGCCTCCGGCTGTCAACTGGTTATTACATTTTCAATCGATCCCCATTGAGTTTTCTTTCCATTTTTATACATTAATTTTGCTGGCACTGCAGTTGGCAAAAAGAGGGAGGTTAACTCCTCCTTTCGTCCTCAGTTTCTAAAGCGGTATATTCTAATTGGCTAAATCCGACTTGTCGCGGACAAAACGGGGTGCCGCCCTCTTTGCATTTTGTAAATTCGCGGTCTCCCAGTGTTTACAGCGTCACTTCTAAAGTGGAGCGATTGCTTGCCCTTGCTGACTCTAACATTCTTGGCCTCGATCGCCTGTCCAAGTGTCGCCATTCTAGCTTGATTGCTGTAAATGCTTTTCGTAACGTTTAGGCAATGTTTTTCTTTTTTGATTTTCTGTCTCAAAATTATGGCGCAACACCCTTTAGACCACAACGTCAACTACATGTTATGCATGCTTTAACATTCTGGGACTTTGCTCACAAAGTGTAATTTTGAGATCTGTATGCTTCTCTAATTAATAGCAATTATTTCCCTAGCAGCATTAACAGGTTAATCCTAGTAGTGGTGACATTGTATTTTGTGTGAGGTTGGAAATGAATTTTTAAATATTATTTAAATGAATTCAATCTACTTTCCTCTTTGAATTAAAACTTATGAGATACATTTTTATATATACAAGAATTGAAGGTAATGCATCTGTAACCCCTTTTGTTTCACACTTATTCTCTTCTGAATATCTTTGGATTTTGGAAGCATTGCTGGAAATGTTGTCTTGGAATTTCTTGACAACCAAGTTAATTATTTATGGCATTTTACCAATTTATTTAATAATATGTCTTCTTAATTTTTGTTTTCATTACTGCATTTAGCCTTTAATGTCTGCCATTCTTACCTTACTTATGGGAAGACTTTTTCTCATGCTGAAGTTAAAGGGTAACTGATATATTTTAAAGACATTGTTTTGATTTCATTTATTTTTTTAAAGGGAAAGAGAAGGTGTTCTTGGGGATTGTGGAAGCTTTGAATTGCAAGCTATGGGCCCATCCTGATAAACGTAAAGTGTTGGAATGCATTGATGATGAAATCATCAACAAGAGATTGACAAATATGCAGTGGGATGCCCAGGTTCATGTGTGCCGCATGTCTGATCTAAATATCAGTGTAAGTTGAGCTGATTTTATAGCATGTTTGTCTAAGTTAGAAATGTATTCTTGCTTGCCAGTGAATGGTTCATGTAATGTACAAGCAAAATAAGATTTAGCTGCATTAATATTTTGTATTGCTGTGATAACCAGGTACTATTACTACAGTAATACAACACAACACTGTTTCCAGCAGGTGGAGTTCTTGTTGAGAACATGTTTCAGCATGTGTGTCATCTTTAGGTTTGGTTTTGATTTATAATGTCATGTACTCAGCATGACCCCTCCTCTATGGTCTAGTGGTCAGAGTTCCTGGCTACAGATACAGAGGTCCCGGGTTCGATTCCCTGCGCTGCCAGATTTTCTGAGAAGTATTGGGTCTGGAATAGGGTCCACTCAGTTTTGTGAGGATAATTGAGGAGCTGTTTCAAGGAAATAGTGGCTCTGGTCTAGAAAACCGAGATCAATGGCCATGGCGATTTGTTGCTCCGACCATGTGACACCCTCTGTCCGCAAAAAGTTCGCACTAACTTCACTGACAAGCAGCGGTCGCTTGGTCAATATAGTTCACTTGCGGACTACAGGCCATGGAGGTTTTTTTTTGTACTTAGCATAAATTTACATGTAAGCTGAGTCGATCCACCAGTAAATGTAAATTTACTCTTAAGTACATGATACACGAATTGTAACTAAAAGCTGGGCCTGAAGATGGCACACATGTGCAGAAGCATGTGACCCTAGACAGCAGTTCCACCTGCTGGAAATGATGTAGTGTTGACAGGAATATAATATTATTTATAGTGATTTACACAGAATAATGCAACAAAATATGACTCTTACTGAGAGTGATGAAATCAACAGCGATGAGATGTATCTTGCATTGGAGAAATAAGAAATGTATATAGAATTTTATGCAGAAACAAAGAGGAGAGTACTAGGTAAATCTGGGTATATTTTTGTAGTTTGTCATGATTCTGTCTGTAATGCAAGACTGTATAGCATCAAATTATTGGATGACGGTGAATAATGATCAGGCATGTTAACGCAAGAGTAACACTCTGGCTTGTATTTTGGAGTTGCCTGGGCTTGGCTATCCTCTCTGAGGTTTTTTGTGGGTTCCCTCAGCCTAATGCTGGGATAATGCCTTAAATTAAAACATGGCAACTTCATTCCATGTCCTTTGCAGTTCATTATTGACTATCATCCAATCAATTGATCCTATGCATTCTGAGTTGCTGACAATTTCAGTAAATAAATCACAGATGAATAACTAAATAGTGACTTGTTTAAGGTACTATACTGCCATTTGCCTGAAGGGAACCATGAAAAAGTTCCCAGGATAGTCAGTGTTTGAGATTTGAGCTAGGTATTGCAGTCTACAAGTCAGAACCAGTTGACTTAACTTGATTGGCACTCAGTGTGGATGGGTGGAAATCAGAATTATTCTTAAGGAAACTGGATATGTTTGCTTGGCCCCTGTCTCTCTACTATCGGACAAGTGAGACCCTACCACTAGCTATACTGCTGCCAGAATAGTCTTTCAAGTTTAGAGAAATGTGTAAGAAATGCAGATTGTTGGCTTTCTACTTCAATCACCACTCTGTATACTAACTTTTTTTTCACAAGCATACTGCTTGAATTAATGGCAATTTTTTTTTTTTTTTGCAGTTTCTCCAAAGGTATTGGAAACAGCACCGTGGAGTATTCACGCATATCGTGGCATTCCGTCCTACAGGTTGGGAGACGCGTTGTAAAAATAAGACTTCTGATGTCAATGTAACCTCTAATGGAAACATAACAATTTATGGCATACCATACAGTGAACATTCAAGTTTCACAGAGTTGAGGAGGTTTGTGCAGTTTTTGAAGCCAGCTGAAATTATACCAACAGTGAATGTAGAACGCTCCGCAAAGAGAAATGCTATGATGAAGTATTTCAGACAGTGGTTATCTGAACCATCAGTACCATCTTTGAAGCGAAAGAGGGAGGGAGACCAGTATGTTCAGCAGAAAATGACTTTGTATTCAAGGTCTCCAAGATTAGGAGACAGATAACAGGTGAAGTAAATATGCCCTTACTCTGTGTGTAGGCATGTATACTGGACATTGGTATAATATTTCAGCTTTGCCATCCTTCTTGCACATATTTTTCTTAGTTTTTTATATTAAAATATTTTGGGTATGTCATGGAAATTGACCACAAATATCCATGTAAATATCTAATGTTAAAAATTATTCTTACTCAAATTTTGGCAACTTGCTCGTTGTTACTGAAATTTACTCTGTAACATAGTACACAGAGTTACCAGCAGTGTTCTTTGAAAGTCAATATTAAACTTACATAAAAACAGGAATGATATACAAATTAGTGAAGGTACCCATATCAAATTTGTACAGAATCTGGGATGGTTTGTGGGATACATGTAAAAAGTTAGTTTATGACCCTATATGAATTTTTATTATGAATTGGTATGGCCTAAAATCAGACTTGCCTAACAATTTCTAGCCAAATCTCGGAATCTTTAAAACGTATTATTGGATGCATGGAAAAGTACATTTATGGCTATATGTAAACAAGACTTTATTGTGGATCAGTGTGGCTGAAAATCACAGTTGCCCAAGAACTTGTAATGGAAGCCTCCCATGTCAAGTTTCAACAAAATCTGTTTATGATCTTATGGTGTAAACTCAGTAGGGCCGCGCCATGGCTCAAGCAGTTTGTCACTGGCTTCCCACTGCAGCGGCCCGGGTTCAAGCCCAGGTCTGGTCAAGTGGGATTTGTGGTGGACAATGTGGCACTGGGGCAGATTTTCTCCAAGTACTTCGGTTTCCTCTGCGCAATCTTCATTCCATCAAATTCTCCATCAAAATCACCCGGGGCAGGTACAATAGGCCAATAAGTGGACCCAGCTGGTCTCCACCCTGCACTATGCGAATTATGGTGTAAACTTTACTTTACTATGATTATGACTGAAAATTACAACTTTTGGCGGAAGCATCCTATATGGAATGTGAACAGAATAAGTGAAACAGTCTGTAGGATAAATTGGAATTGCCCAAGAACTTCTAGTTGTCCCCTGTATTCAGTTTTAAGAACATGTGTCCAGTGGGGTAGGTCTTGATACTGGATCACAGACAGATGAACAAGCATATTTTCCACACAAGTGTCCTTTTACTTCCATGATTTATGCTAACCGTCTTACAGTGCATACACTTTTTTCACCCTACTCTTCTCTTTTGCACTACATGTTTCAGCACTAATGTGCCATCTTCAGGTGCATTTTCTCTATGCACGTCTAACTATTGCATTACATGCCCTGATATCTTCATACTAAAATGACTAAAATATATATTCATCATATATAATAATAGATTTTAAATATTAAAACTTTTCAGGATTTGTCATCCTTACGTCGTATCTCAATATGCGAATCACGCCAAACCACCTCTGTGGGAGCACTCTTCCTACATTCATGTGTATCTGTAACGTGAAATTGTTATTTATTAATACCACATTCTGACTTTTATCTATTACGTGTGGTTTTATAATGTTTAATACTGACTGTGCTCTTAGTTGTGTCTTGCTCCTGTGACTGCGTGCGTGGTGGGGTGTTGTTATGTTGTTCTGTGTAAATAGTGTGTAATTCGTGAAATATTGGGTTATATATTTCTTTATTTATATTGTTCATATGCGTGTTTTTCTTTGTCGTCCTATATATATGATAGTTTTCCAATGTGTTTAAGTATTGCCCTTTCTTATTTGTTGCTATGATATCCATAGTGTTTTCTATAGTACCGTATGCATGTCCTGTGTTTAATATGTGTTCTGAGTATCCTGTATTGCTGTTATTGTGTCTAATGTCATGTATGTGTTCTTTGTATCTGGTGTTAAATTTCCTCCCCGTTTGTCCTATATATTCCATGGGGCAATCTAGGCATTTCATGCTATTTAATTCCAGAATGTGAGAATTGTATGTCTGAATACAGAATTTACTCATCCTTGAGAAGTGCTTAGTGCATGTGCATAGAGCCATTTCAACCCTGGCTAACCCCCAAAATGTTACATAGTCACAGTAAGTATTTTTAGGATTGCAGTATAATAGTTGAGTGCTTCCATGTTCTGTGTAATGATAAATGTCCATCATCACCACCATCAGAACTTATCTTCAGTCCTGCATCTTTGTTCATTGCAGTAACTTGAGAAATGAATGGAAGTTTAGCTTTCTTTTGCAACTGTGCTGCATATTAGGTTCAGAAGTGTTCATCCTTAATTATGGAATAAGATGGAATGCTTTGACTTGAATGCAAAGCTTTAACACACCTTTTATCAGATTAGCAGTTTATCAGGCAGCAAAACAGGAAACCAGTATGGGGTCCTCAAAATATCCTAGTTTATCCTGGCTTTAATTTGTGGCCCCACTTAGTTAGTTAGTTATTAGAGAGGGTGGGTTTCCCCATGCACCTAGACCTGTAGTGGTCCATTGTGCTTCCCTGTATGATTTCTACCAGTCTCTATATCCTACCGGTGTTGGTGCTTACCATCAGTCCCGCCCAGCCAGCGAGACCAGCTCTACTTAGCTGAGAGGTGTCTATAATGCTTCCCCCATCTACCGGAGGTATTAGTGACTGCTGTTGGGCGGGAAACGTCTGCAATTTTGGCTCAGTGACCTCCTTTGGAGGTGTGAGGTTCTTTTATGTGCCATAAAGCTACAACACGGGACCCACGGCGTAAAGTCCCTCCCGGAGGACTTGTTCCCTGAATTTTTCCGCCCTTAAAAATTCGACGACCTCCGCCAGGTATTTGAACCCGCGTACTACGAGTCATGAGGTGGGAACGTTACCTCTAGACTACGGAGGCCGCTTGTGGCCCCACTTAATCTGTAATGCAGTGATCATGGTGAAGAACAGACACACATCTCAGTCCCCCATGGTATCCTGTAATCTAATTTGTACATCTGAATTTTCTCAAGCTATTGAAAAGTCAGACATAGCGTACTCTAGCTACTGGTAAATTTTCTACTAACAGGCTTTTTGTGCTTCCCAGCCTAGGCTATTTTTATCAGCTGTTCATGGCTGAGTCAACATGATGCAGTGCCCTAGTTACAGCTGAGTATTAAACTGGAAGTCTTCATAGCTGCATCAGCGTTACTACACCACACATCAAGCTTATGCTAGTCAGATTGGCCTACACTCCTGTGGTGCAGTATTACATCAGCTGCTTCTGGTTCTGGGCACTTTTGAACCTCGAATTCTCTAAATTTATTATTATGACCTTAAGGGCCTAACAGCATTTTTACTGTTTTTATAAATTTGCATTATATTGAAGTTACACTATGTCAATAATAACAGCCACCATACAACTGGCCATTAGTTCTGCACTACTCGTATGCCGGCGGCAATCTGCTGCTGTCTTGCTAGACACAGGACCATGACTGTGGCAGCTAGGAGCAGTAAGCCACACATGAGGCTTCCCAACATCCAGTTCCAAACAGCATTATGTCCCATTATGTCATGCTTGAAGTTGGGAGTCTGGATTTCGTCAAACCATTGAAAAGTCATTGCATAAATTGTCCTCTAGGAACTGGTAAATTTCTATTAACTGGCATTTTTGTGCTTCCTGACCTAGGCTAATTGTATCAGCTGTCAAAACTCCTATACTTTCATTGTAGTTCTTATGTTTGTATTTTGATATTGTAACCGTTTTTCTTCGGTTCTGCTAGCTCCGGTAGAGCAAACCGACTCCTCTCAGGGCGTGTTGACAGGCCACGACTTGGGTGATTAGTGGGGCTTAGGCGTAGGGAAATCACCTCACCGCCAATTAACTGTAAGGAATCTTTATTTGATTTGCACTAATTAATCAGAAACAGCCAGTATTGTTACCCTTCACAAATTCGTGGAGGTAGGCCTACTTACTGGTCTGGGGACGCACACTTAATAGTTACCACCGGCGTGTTTACGGGGATCCGAACACGTGTACCCCCGGTGAACGTAACTTTCAAAGTCCTCTTTGCCAAGCACCCTCTGAATGGTAAATTTTGCCCTGGTTACCCAAAATTCGGGCAAAGGACCTCCCACTTCAGACGATGATTGGCTGGACCGGGCAGACTGGGAGGTTGCTTATCATTCTCCTCCAATTAGGAAAGCGAATCTCCACTAGTGTACAGTTTAGGGGTGAACTTTGCCACCTGCTGCGTGGCTGTCAAACTGAGATTTTGGGTTAGCAGGAAACGACGCTGCTAAATTTATGACTCCCCCTGTCAAGTTTAGAATTTCTAAAGAACTCGGCCTTGTTTTACGCATTAAATTGAATGATTTACGAAAGGGCAGCTGGCTTCAAGCTTGACCCAAGCCACTTGCTGCATGTCTCAAGGGGGGAAAATTCCAAATTGTGAGGCGAAAGTGAGGAATTTCACAAAACCCTAACCATACACAAACATCAATTGACCTTCCCATAAACTGGACAGTTACAACATGGAATACTGTTTTCCTTTCACAATCTTCTTATGATCAAATCGTTTGTCTGGAGATCAAAAATATGGATCATAAGAATGCACCATTTATCCCACTACCATTTTTTAGTTTTGTTTCCATTTTATATGGGTCTCCAGTCCATTCTTTCTGCCCACAACGTTCCCTTTTTGGTTCTTTACAGCTCTTCGATCTCTTCCTGGCTTCTGAGTGTTCCCATGGATATCATTCCTTTGAATTTTAATTCTATTGCCATTCTTGGTATCCTTGTTCTGCCCATTTTTTTTACAAGGCTGAACATAGTTAATTCTCATCCAACTCTATTAACAGATTTTTAACTCCACTTTCTTCTATAAGAATGTTCTTTTTAATTCTATCCTTTCTTGTTTTTCCATTGATACTTCTCAGAAATTTCACATCCACTGTCAAAGCAAGTTCTTAAATGGTTAACACTTCTACCTTGTATTTTGGAGATGCTTGGTGTGAATCTCGGCTGGGACGTTGACTGTCTGGGAAGGGTTTTTGTGCTCTTCCCCTCCTTCCAGGCAGATGTCAGAACAGTGCTTCAAATTAGGCCATTGCTGACTCCTGCCACATCCTTGGAATTCATTATTCATTAATCAACCTATCATTCAGCACTACATAGTCTCGGGTGGTGACAGTGTTATTAAATAAGCCAAAAATAAAGAGAATAAATATTCATATCCATTGTTTGGATTTTGCATTTGTTTCACTTTGTAAGGGTATATGTTTTGGTTTTTTATATGTTAATACTGATTTACAAATACTTTAATGTTTGCTGTTTTGAATTGTTTTGGAATATATCTTCCATAATATGCTTTTTATAATTTTATTATTTTAACTGATTTTTTATTCCTCTTGATCTCCATTGATTTTCCCTTATGAATTTCACACCTTAAATGTATATAATTTTCCTGCCTGTTTAAATTTTATTCTGATATTGTAATTTGTTACTTTTGTAAAACTTTGTTAGTATTGTATTAAAGTACTAATCCAGTGTATTTCATTGTGAATACTGAAGAGTACCTCAGAGATTGACTGTTATACTTGTATCTTTTAGATAGCTGGTTCAGGTCTCATGAAATACCCAATATTTTGATTATGGATTTTTGTTTCTTTTCTGGGCCCCCAAAAATAGCCAGGACAGTCCTCAAAATGGGGCCATATTCCCATTTCTTTTGATTTTGATACAGCACTTTGTGGAGTTTTAGTACAGTATTCCATAACAGTGCAATGACTCTCAGGGCTCAACATTCCTCATAAAGTGTTTTTAGTGTACAGATTCAGACAAGCAAGAAGTCAAGAAAGGAAATGGGGAGAAAGAAACGACTGAAAAACTTTTGTCATTTAACTGTATAAAACGAAAATATTACCAAGAAAGATTATTCATAAATGTCTACATCCTATACAGCTGAAATTGGTTGGTGAAGTGCCATCACTGTGGTCCACTATGAAAAAAACCAATGATGGAAAAACTATTATACATTGAATGTAATGGTGTTGATATTGAGAGGAGAAGGAAGTATGAAAGGTTACAGAATAAATTTAAGATAACTTTGAATTTGCAATAGGTATGACTTTTATTTATTGTAATAAGTTTCTGATACTTCATACAATCAAGTGAAATGTTCCGAAGTTCTTCCATATCTCTGTCTTAACTGAACCAAAAGGCTTTTTTTAGTCTGTATTTAGTAGACATATAGTGCCTCATATTTCCCTTTTCTTTCACAAATACAAAAAAAAGGGGGGGGGCACTACATCAAAATCCACATTGATGGTCACCAATAATTTCAAATCACAGAAGGTTTTTAACCCTTATCATCAGTGTGATGTATTAGTGCAATATTGCCATTATTCAGTTCAAGTTGGCTGTGGTGCTCCATATAATTCTGTCACTAAAATATCCATTTATTTTGAGCCTGCTTATAGCAGTTGTACTGTTCTGTTGACTGCTCTCTACAGATTTCTGTTATGCCTTCTTGCTCAAAGCTGGTTATAAACAGGGCCCGGATTTTGATGACATGTCATCTTTTTTTCCTTGTATCCTATGCGATGCTCTTAAATATATAAATCTCGGATATGAGCTGCTGGTTACAGAAATGTAAATTTATAGGTCGTTTTTTGACATTTTTAGGTTTAAGGTCATTTTTTCATTTTGGGGGTAATTTTTTGGACTTTTAAGGGTATTTCTCGTCATTTTTGGCCATTTTAGGTAATTTTTCTTCATATGTTTTCTGAGATGTGAATAACATGGAAGCGAAGTGTTCTTTATTTTCTCCTTTAGGTCATTTTTCTGGATTTTTTTTTTAATATTTCCACGTCATCAAAATCCAGGCCCTGCATATTACATTTTTGGGTCATATTTTAGGTGATTTTTCTGGATTTTTTTCCGGCATTTTTTAAACGTCCATGGTTTATGCTAACCGTCTTACAGTGTATACACTTGTCCACCTTATTCTTCACTTCCACACTACATGTTTCAGCACTAATGTGCCATCCTCAGGTGTCTTTATGTACATTAAAACTATTGTACTGCATGCCATGATGTCCTCATTCTAAAATGACTAAAATCTATATTCGTCATATATGTCAATGAATTCTAAATAATAAAACTTTTCAGGATTCATCCTACGTCGCGCTCAAACATGCGAATTACGCCAATCATCTTTTATGTGAGCATTCTTCCTACCTACATTTGTGTATCGTGTTCTGTGTTGTGTTTTGCTCCTGTTACCGCATGCGTTGTACTGAGCAGTACAATAGTTTAACATGCATAAAGACACCTGAGGATGGCACATTAGTGCTGAAATATGTAGTGTGGAAGGGAAGAATAAGGTGGAAAAGTGTATACACTGTAAGACGGTTAGCATAAACCATGGACATTAATCAGTGTAACAGGACACTAAAATATAACATTTTTTAAATGACCTAGCAAGGTCATTCTCAGCCTGAAAAGATCAGGTTGTAGTTGAACTTTTCCATATCATCATTCTATCAATTCACCATTCTAACCTGTTATGGCTTCATCAGCTCTAAGACAGCAGCATGTAAATGATTCAGAATGTAGATGTAAATGAGTAATTTTCTCAGTGTATGTGTGGGTAGGAGGGGTGGGGGGAAGACTTTCTAAACTCCATCTAGAAGTATTAGGCAGTGAACTGCTAGAATTATAATGCTAATGGGCAAATGCTGGAAAGGAAAAGTGTTCTCACCCTTAAATTGTTGAACAGAATGGGGAGTGAGAACATGTGACTGCCACTGCATTGCCTAATCTTGTTTCGGACATTGAAACTAATAAGTATTATGATTACAACTGATATTTATACATGTTTGAAATGGAAGACAGACACTCATGATTTCTTGATATGACTCCAGAGATCATGTCTTTTTTGGCTATAATAATAAAAAATAATGGAACATACAGTCAGGGACAGACTGAGAGATACAGTCCAGCTATGAACACTCTTATATCAAATTTTACAGTAATGATGAAATGCGACCGCTTTTTTCATACAATGAGATTTCTGTGTGATTCAGACAAGACTGACAACTATGACAGTAATATCTGTGCTGTATTTTACAGAGGGACAGCAATACAGTCCTAAGAAATATAAATGTTTTGGTGTAAATATTGTGATATGACACCTCAAAGCTGGAACAGTGTAGCCAGAGGAGACATCCATTGCTAGGCAACGGCACAAGAAGCAGTGTTTTCTATGCAGTTGGTGCTGAGGCTATATAATGAGGACAAACAGAACAAAGTGACTCAGCTATGAGAAATATATTGTCATGAGTCCCATGGAACCCAGAACCAAAAAATAATTGTGCTCGCAAGTGAAGCAAGTCAGTTGTAGTTGTGAAACAGAAAAATGTGAGTCCCACAGTGCCGAACCAATTATGACTGCTGATTAAGGCCAGCAGCCATTTACCTGAAATTGAAAGCAAGTCAGTGGTGAGCTGGAAGTTGGCACTTGTAGTTTGTGGTTAGCCATGTGCACAGAAACAGAGGAACCTCCACTGTTAGAAGCCACTACCAGAAATGACTATCAAAGATATAACAAGAGACAGAAGACTGTGTGCTATAGTGATCTGCAGAGTGTGCAGATTAGTGACAGTGTTTTAATTATTCACAGTTACAAGTCATAAGCATTCAACAAGTGCAATTACCAATCCAAACCCCATGTCTAGTCACTAAAACACTAACACAGTGACAGTATTTACAAATTGTGCAGAAAGGCTAGCTAACTTACAATAAGAGCATATATTTGGAAAGAATAAACAGAATGCAAACTTTATCATTCTGAGGCAGAAAAACAGATCATCAGTAATTCCACCTGACTTCAATTCAGAACTGTTGGAGACACTGGCCCACGAGAGAGAATCATCCTCAATTCATGTCACTCCCAAGCCAGTCAAATGCCCCACCCTGAAAGGTGACACATCAATACTTATTCTGCTGCAGGATCAACCTTGTGGTGTTGCATGTCCTCAAACATGATGAGAAAACTACTAAATATATGGAATTAAACTGTAAAGTCTACCTCAGTATATGAACTGTGTTCTGTATCTACCAAGCAAATATGAACATCTAGATCAAAAATCCTGTCACACTGTGGGAAGGAATGGATTTCCAGAAATTTGTATACAAAATATATACGAATCAACAAATGTTAGTGAAAATTATTTTCTATTAGTATGAAAGTAGCACTACAGATTTTGGCACTTTGTTTTATTTCAAATGAGTTTTACAAAGCTGTTTTAGCAATCATAGTTTTAAAGCTAGTTTTTTTCAATACTAACGTCTTTACTATTGAGAACCCTGAAGCATGTGACTGCCGGTTCTGGCATTTAACCCCTACTCCTGGATGATAAAGGTTAATAACCATATAAGAGGAAGAGTATATAAAATTTTGTATATGGTTGATGAACTTCAGGTTAGCAAAAGTTACGGCAATGTTATTTTGTCCCCCATTTTATAAATTGGTACAGTAGTAGATTCTTTCCTACTGTGAACAGAAACTTAATGAATCTTTGAATGCAGGGGTTTGACACATTCATGGGTTAATATTTCACCAGAATTATAATATAGCAGTGTGAAGAAACTGGTCTAAAGAAAACACTTGTTCGCACTTTGATTCTCAACATTTTTTCAAATTTTCAGCTCGATCTCATCTTGAACTGAAAAAGCCATTCTCACACATACCCAGAAAGCTGGCCTTATGATTCCCTGATCCTTCATGAAAGGAATGTTGATTAAAAAGAGGAAGATTTTTATATAATACATTTCATGTATGCACTTCTCACCAAAACTTTAGTTGTAATTTGATGGGCTAAAATTCCAACTATTTGGGTTATCTGTTATACAGTTTACTTCTTCATTTTATGAATTCCCAGGTTTTGGTCCAGGCTGTAATCTTATACCCAGAGGACCAAGCATGTTGATAGCAGGTCCGGCTCCACCCATCTGTGACTGGTATGATTCCAAAATGTTCTTCAGGGCATTCATATCAATATCCACAGGTTCAAAAGCTTCTATATCTTCAAAGTTATCACCTTCTTCTGATACAGCACTGCTTGCAGGTCTCTGGAATTAAGTAATAATCTATATAAATAAAAATGTAAATGTTCGTTTGTTCGGGATCTTAAATCCCCGAAAATTCTTCACCGATTGCTTCGAAATTTTGACACAACATTGCATTCGAATATGCGCATGTTTTTATACACCTATTATATAGATGTCACACCTGTGACAGGTAAAAACATGCTTCTTTTGAAAAACAGAATTGGAATTTGGAATTCAGAAGAGTCGCCCCTATGGAAACGCTAGAACAGACCATTGCATAGGAAGTAACAATAGCGATACTGTATCGAATCTCCACGGTTACGACGAATACACGGAGCGTTCCCCCAGAGACAATGCAATAACAATGGGTCGTTGCGTAGGAATAGCGGAATCAACAAAGCAGCGTTTCCGCGGTTATGACAAAGGCTCATTTGCATAGCAGCGGCCGAGGGTATAAAAGGGGGTTGAATTCATTCGCCCGGTCAGTCTTGGAATAGCTGCCGCCGAAGAAGGTTGGAACCTAGATGCCAAAAGATACAGAAGTATTGGCCGAGAGATTGTGTAACCAGTAACTCTAATACTGCAAGTGGCAATAATTGTAAAGTGTGCAAGTGAATTACAATAAAGATTCGCTATAATTAATATGGCATAAAGTCACATCCACATCAAATTCGTGCATTGTTTGCAATCATATTGACCGCCTGCTCTCCTTCATCTCCAACAGAGTTATGGGAGAAACATAAATCGCACATGGCTGAAGATATTTTCCGTCGAATATGCAAGGAAAATTCCAATATGAACATGGATTTCACAGCAGAAATCTGCAACGAAGCGTTGATAATGATTGAAGATTTGTGCTTAGAAATCGCGAACAAAGTTCTCAATCAATTGGGAATGCCATCACTGAATCGATCTGCTGCTGCTTCGTTCAATGTAGAATTGTGTCGTGAACAAAATTACAACACGGGTGATCTTTTGTCGTATGTGCAATCAAATATTCCTAAGCTAACGCTTGAGCAAAAAGGCATTTACGATCAAATAATGCAAACTGTCAATAACGGGGTTGCAGAATTCTTCTTCTTAGATGTGCCAGGAGGAACGTTCCTAATTAGATTGATTCTGGCAGCAATTCGATCCCAAAATGACATAGCCTTAGCTCTTGCGTCGTCCGGAATAGCTGTGACATTGCTACCAGGAGGAAGAACTGCTCATTCCAGTCTGAAATTGCCATTGAACATGCAATTCACTGAAACTCCCACGTGCAACATTTCCAAAGTATCAGGCATGGGAAAGGTATTGCAGAAATGCAAACTTATTGTTAGGAATGAATGCACAATGGCGCATAAAAAATCGCTCGAGGCTCTTCATCGATCATTGCAAGATTTGCGTGGAAACCTCAGACCATTTGGGAACACATTAATATTGCTCGAGGGAGATTTCAGGCAAACATTACCTGTAATTCCTCAATCGACACCAGCGGACGAAATAAATGCTTGCCTGAAATACTCTACTTTGTGGCGACACGTAAAGATGTTAAAATTAACTACAAATATGCATGTCCAGCTGCAAAACAATCGATCAGCTGAGATATTCTCACATCAATTGCTGGAAATTGGGAACCGAAAGGTGCCGGTTGGTCTGACCTCAGGACGAATTTCGTTGCCTCATAATTTCTGCAATTTAGTGACATCAAAAGAAGAATTGGTTGAAAAAGTATTTCCCAATATTCAAACCAATTATAAGAATCATGACTGGCTGAGTGAACGAGCTATTCTTGTGGCCAAGAACAAAGACATCTACGAACTTAACAATATCATTCAGTCTAACATTCACTGTGAGGCAGTCACAAGTCCGTCGATACTGTTGTCGAAGCAGATGAAGCAGTTAATTATACAACAAAATTTTTGAATTCACTCGATCTGCCACAGCAACGCGTGGCTGGGTACAGCTATCTGGGATATGACACCATGTAGTCAGTTGAAAGTCAACCAGCATTTCGGAAGAACAAATCACCTCCATTCTCAGAGTCAAACAAACCAAGCTAGACACCAGCATGAAAGCAGATGGCAAACAGACTTGCTTTCACGCTTGTATCTTGCATGGATTGTTCAACCCTGAGAATGGAGGTGATATGTTCCTCCAAAACGTCAGCTAACTTTCAATGGACTATATTGCAGTATATCCCAGAAGATAGTACTCTTTCTAACCACCACTGAAAACCTCAGATCCTACAACACAGTTATATTGTGAAGAAGCACGACATTAAAAAGAACATGAAAGATATGATTTAGCTGCACTTTTAATCTTCATATCTTTCTTTTGATGTTCATGTGACAGGATATTTTGTTTAAATATTTCTGTAAATGAGTGACTTCAGTAAACTCTGGAAGACTTGCTGATTGATGTCAATATAAATTATGAAATTTACACATAATGAAAAAATTCTCATTTAATTATCTTGAAAAATAATACACTCACAGAAAGAGTGCACTGACCACGAAATGTGTATTCAATTTTTCCCTAAAATGTATTATAGCAGTGCAGACCCATTGCTGTGTAACAGTCACGAGAAAACGCCTGCTGCTAGGGCGGCAGATTCTTAATAAATGGGGTTATGCAATCCATTTCTGGGCAACATCTCAGTAAACATGTTCCCACAGCAACGGACATGATTGTAACAACAGAAGAACGGTGTTTTCTATGTGGTCCATGCTGAGAAGTTATAACCAGAACAGTTGGAGCAATTAGTTTGGTTGAGTTCTGCAAGAGAGGCTGAGAAGAGATGGTGCTATAATTAACTGGAATTATGAGTTGCTGTGAAGTATTAGCTAGCTCAAAATCTCCCAAGCAATGACTAGGAAAGACTATAAAAGGCTGGAGAAGACTTAATGTGTGCTGTAGTGATTTGTAAAGTGTGTAGATCAGCAATAGCACTGGAGTCACTTGTAGTTCTGAGTTGTGGGTATAAGTGGTCAATAAATCCATTCACCTATCCAAACCCTGTCTATAGTCACACACTAAATCATGACAGTATCTTCAAAACATTTCCCACTCATAAATGTTTATAATGTCACGAAGTATGCGTGTGACTATACATGGGGTTTGGATGGATATTGGATTTATCAACCACTTACACACATGACGAAACTACAAGCAATTATAGCGCCACTGCCAACGTCCACAATTCACAAATCATCATAGCACCCTGTAAGCCTTTTCCAGCCAGTTATGTCTTCACCAACCATTCTCTGACAACGGCTTCTAACAGTGGTGATTCTTCAGCTTCTTGTACTCAGGTCCTTTCTTCACAGCCTCCTGTGCAGAACTGCCTAACTGACTTTGTCCCTTGTTTATATCATCTCAACATGGACCATGTAAAAACACCCCGTTTCCAACAGTAACTCCATTATTGCATTCATATTCGTTGCTGCGGGAACATGTTTACCATGCTGTTTCCCAGAAACGGCTGTTGTTACAGAGTCACTGCTTGGGAGCTGGTCTATATATACACCACAATAATGAGTTACCTCAAGGTACATGCATGCATGTAAGTCTTCACATAAATTGTCAGTTATGTTTATTCTATGTTACTAAAATTGGAATCCTTAACATGAACTCTTCTACCGTTCTCAAGAAATTTAATGCATACAAGCATATGGAATGAGAAATTTTAATTTGCAATCCACAGGGCTGTAAACACAACCAAAAATGAATGCTATACCTTAACTTTAGTGCTGGCAACTTTTTCAAAGCTCTGTCCAATGGTTGAACTGGCTAGTTCTCGATCCATTTGGTCCATGTACTGCTTCATTTCTGATTCCGGTTCTCCCCCCTTCTTTCCCTTTCCTGTAAATCAGAAACCAGATCTGAATAGCTACACATATAATTCATTTACTGTGGGCACAAAGATGTCACTGTCAATGACATAGACTGTTGTATCATCATTAGAAAGTCACGTGATTCTATTTTCAAGTAACATGTGGTATCCATACACACATGGGAAATTAAAATATATCTGCACAGGACTTTCCTTCCAAAAGGTTGTCTACACAAGGAATGAGGTACCCGGGTTTGTAAAGTACATGGACTATATTTATTGTATATACAAAATAATGACACATTACAGTACTTTCTCACTCATTTTACATGGACATGCACAGGCACACACACAAAAACCCCCTCATGAGAGGTTTGGTTGGAGATGACCATCATTAAGTGGAAATCTCTAAGACAGAAGATGCAGAGTTTGTGCAATTATAGTTGAATCAGTTTTGTGTTCTGTGTATCTCAGATAACATTACATTTTATAAACTATATTCTCTACTATGGGCTCTGCTTCATATATTCACAGTCAAATCATAACACCCAACGTTAAAAAAATACAAATTACAGATTCCAAGAATCTGATCTAAACATGTAATTTTCATGAAAATGATGACAGCTGATGACAGATTGATCCACCCATTGGCAGAATCAGTACTATCTGCAACTAGCACATAAAGAACTCTACTGGCACACTGTGTTACCATAATCTCACGCATTATCATTATAATTTTATTGTACAGATTTTATATACTAATGGATTTGATTGTACAGGATACTGCTGAAGGGCTGAATGATGGAAGGGGAAGAAATATGCATACAATTTACAGATATATATAACACAGAATCTACACACAGGAGGAAAAACAAACAAACTCCACAAGCGAACTATACCAACTGAGCGACTGCCATTTGTCGGCAAAGTTAGTGACAAATTTAGCAGATAGAGTGTGTCATGTGGTCAGCTCAATGAATCTCCATGGCCATTAATTTCGGTTTTCTAGACCAGAGCCGCCATTTTTCCATTCATGTAGCTCCTCAATTATCCCCACAAGGCTGAGTCGACTCCATTCCAGATCGACTACTTCTCAGAAAATCTGGTAGCGCCGGGAATCAAACCCAGGACCTCTGTATCTGTAGCCAGGAACTGACCAGTAGACCACAGAGGTGGTCCAGGAGGAAAAACAAATATCTAAAACTTTTAGCTGCATCACATACTTCAGTTTAACTACTGGCATAATTACATAACATAGGGATCGAATGGCATCTCTCTACCACCTAGCTGAAGAAACTGCCATTAACTACAATGACATCTGCAATATGTCAGCTACCTGCCCAAAATGACTTCAGTTTCATCAAACTGCCAAAAGTTTACCAAGTGTAGGTGGAATATGAATCCATCTCTGAATCAGACATGTCAAATACAAGTACTGATGCTAAACAGAGTCAAGCGAAGATGGAAAAGTAACAACACTGTAATGAAATTAAATTGGGAAGTTACACAACAAGCTGCTACCAGACTCAAAGGTAATTTGTAATTATCTACAGCCTCACAATCAGTTTTTGTAGGAGGTGTTTTAATGTTATCCTCCCTTCTTCTTGGTCTTTTTAAGTGGCACATTTCTAAAAACTCTGTCACCTCCATTCTGTGCACATCTGTTCTGCTGCCTGCAAGGCATACAAGGCCCTTTAAATTGCCATGACTGAACTAGACTCAGAATATTATGTAAGCTGTTTAAATAACATATATCCACCAGGGCTGTTTAGTCAATTTATGAATTCAAACTGTTATCTGACCACAACCCGTCCATCATAATATTCTCATTAAAGGTCACTTTACTAATAACAGGATATGTTTAGGCAACTTCAGGACTGCAATACTCATTCAGATTAACGCTGTGTGGTGTATATCATTAAATCCTGTTAAATTATATAAACAGGACGTAACTTACAGAAGAGAAAAAAGTATTGTTTGGAAAGGGTGAGGAGGGTTTATTTAAAAGTGCACTCACATAACACCAGATGGCAGGTTGAGTAATGGATTTAAAAGGACTTTGAAAGAAGTCATCAGGGCCTAACTGATGTACTATCCTGGCATTAGCCTGGATGGACTCAGGAAAACCAAGAAAGTCCTGACTGACATCTGAACCAAATTCCTCCCAAATACAAGTTTAGAGTGTTACCTCTAGAGCACTGGTTGCTTTTCACAGAGACCCATGAGAGGCCAATAATGTTTTAAAATAATGAATACATATAACTGTAGCAGCCAATAATCACACATACTTACCTGGTTTTAACTGATTAAGATCCATTTCCATCTCATCTTCGTATGAACTCATTCCTGAGCCTTCCGATTCCAAATCCCAGCTGTCTTCGGGGATTACAAAATCTTAAACATGGAAACGTTTTGGTAAATCTCTCTTTTCATCAAAGTGAATAAAATGTCAGAAATTAGTTCAAATCAATGGGGATGTAAAATTATACTTCTGTAATATATATGTATGTTTATTCAATTCTTTCAGAAAGCCAGTGTGTCTGACTCCATTGCTTTAACTACTATATTCACAGGCACTGCAAAAACATTTTAATACTTGTAATATTTCAAATAATGTATTTTAAGTATTTCAAATCCGAGCAATAATAATGCTGCATTGTGTGTTTGGCTTTAGTCAATTTAAGGCAATTTCCATTAAAACAAATAATGCCAGAAGATTTAATTATGAATTTTCAAACCCAGAATCACACACAATAAAAGGCAGACAAGGGTTAAGCCTATTTAAGACATGCTGCATGTTATGACACAGTATATATACACTTCTACTTGAACTGGCATTTTAATTTTATAGTACAGACTTACCAAGAATATTCTGAACTGTGCATGAGAATGCTTCTGGATCAAATGATATTCTGTTTCCTGAACCAGGAGATGAAGTCCCTTCCTCAGAGTTTTTAACTTCTGTAGCAAAAGTGACACCTTTTCCTTTACCTTTCTTTATTCCTCTTTTTGGACGGACTGGAGGGGTTTCAGCTGTGTTTGATGTTTCTTGATCGCCACTAAATGAAATAAATTGGGTGAGATCAATGGCTTTCTTTTTCATATGCAAGAACTAGAGCTGTATGAATGTGCATATTTTCAAATTTAGACTAAAACTCTGCCACAGATATTTGTTTACATACACTTACACCCTCATTCAGGTTCTCATTGGGGAGCATTGGATCTGAACACAAAACAGGAAAATCTTAAATGAAGAAAATTTAACACCAAGATTATTGATATAATATCAGTTAAATTGAACATTAGATGACGGAAAACCTTAATCAACAATTAAATGGGGATTCCACTATATTTCTTTATAAAATCAAGAAGCTATTAGTAGATATGCTTCTCCCACTGATTTCACTCCCTAGTCATCAGCATTGCCACAGTTAGAATTATCAGGTAAAACTATGTGGGGAGTGGGAGGGAAAGCGGCCTATATCCTGTCATATGTTAATATATACCAAACTTAAGACTCTAACATTACAAAGTGCAAAAATTTTGATATCCTAAATTTCATTATATGGAGGATTTACTGTGCTCTCAAACTTTATATTTATATCACAGAGTAAGGGATGTATTTGAAATTTGTTCTAAACCTAGGTAACATTATGGTTTGGAAAAATGTGTTCACAAAATGTAAATTACTTTTATTTTCCAGCAGTTGTTATGATAACATTCTGCATCAGAATGGGAAACCTCGAGTGTAGAGTTAAATGTATGCATACCTATACCAACATCTTCTAAAATTATAATTTTTTCACTAATTTTTAAAACTGAGTTTCACATACTATTGTTCATCTTAGGGGGTCCATACACGTACGAGTCTGACTCGGCTCGGGTTCCAATGAGCCAAACTCATCCATGTGTGGTGAAATTAATCCAAGCCCAGCTCCTTGCCGAGCCAGACTCGTACGTGTATGGGCCGCCTTAGGGGTACAAGGTAAGTTGTGGTTATGCTTAGTTATCACTATGCTATAAGGTAGTGAGATACAGTGCCACAAAGTCTTAACTTTGGCACTAGATAAAGGTGAAGTGTCAGTTTCACATTCAGGCAGCATTACTCCCAAGAAAATAGCCCCCAATCCATCCAGCAGCTTAGACACTATACTGACTGGGCTATCCCAGAAAAGGAAAAATTGCATCTGTCCCTGAGCACAACAGCAAGAAAACATGCAGGGAGACAGTGCACACATTCCAGATGTTGACATGAGAGAGAGGCGAGTCAGCTTCATAATCTGCCTACTTCCAGTAACTGCTGGCTTGTTTGGATGCAGTGTTACAAAGAAATATCTCTGCCTCCAATAGGAATGGAAGCCCACCTGTCCACTCTACAGCTAGTCACTTCACTAACTAAACCATCTCAGATCATCTTAGAGATGTTGGGAAGTGGAACACAACTATACAGATAATAAACGCAATCAAACAAATGTGATTACCAATTTTCATACAATATTTTATTTATTTATGGTTTGTTTAATGATGGTGTCAACAGCTCAGACTATATAGTGTTTAATGGTAAGATGGTTAGTGAAGAATGAATTGGAAAGGCCATGGAAAAAGTGTGGTCATGGCCTCATTTAAGTTACTATACAATCAGGGACTGTGGAAATCTATGAAAACCCTCAATCAGGAGGGTCAATCTCTGGCAAGCATTTAATGTGAGCACCTCTCCAAGGATACCAATTCCTCCCTGCTTGTGGCAATCCCTGGATGCAGCAGGCTAGCCTGAAAGACTGTATTGGCACCATAAGGTGCCATATGACACTGAGGGAGCATGTTATAAATGGTGCCCTTGGGGAAAAAAAGCAACATCTCACTGTATGATACCCTTCCTCTCACATGTAGGGTGCTAGAGTAGGTTGCATTAGATCTCCCTAGCTAAAATCATCTGCAGTGGTCAGCAATGACCTGTCTCCATGGGGACTGAACAAGACATATCCAGGGACTCCATCTATGGAGGACCCTAGATCCCCTCCCCCTGTATTGGAGGGCTCAACTGCTAAGTCCTCTAGCGTCATGGAGAAGCAGTCGAAATCTCAAGGGCTCTGGTAAGGGGCTGAAAGAAGGCTCAGAGTGGAGGTGAGTAACCTGACCATCAAGGAGAGGAAATGGGCTGGATCACAGAAGCAGTGGGCCAGAAAGAGGAAAGCTCTCATTTCCCTTAAAGAAGCTGACATTTCAGCTGAAAGCTCTGTTGAGCGTCCAGCAGGGACCACTGGTGGGGCTCTGCTCTCCTGTCCATAAATGACAGAGGTCAGCTGGAGATATTCCATCATCAGTAGAGTAGGCATGGAACAGAACTAGGATTATCAGCTATATGCCTGCCCGCTACATTCAGGAAATTATGGACTCACTGAAGGTGTCCATCACAGATGGTGCATGTCTGGTGGCAAAAGTCACCGCAGAGAAGCTTGGTCGACTGATGGACTGGAGAGTGTAGGAAGAAATACTGACAGGCTTCCTGACAAGGAGACCATCCTTCTCCTCTATGACACTTTCCTATAAGGAGGAGCAGCACAAGATACACGTGTAGATGAACAACCTAAAGAATGGTTATCAAGAATCACTCCAAAACTCAGGCCTTGGGAGAGAGCTGGCCTGCAAGTTGTGCAAACTGACTGCTTTCCAAAATCCCAACAAGTTGTGGCATGGATTCCTGGAGTACCAGTGGAGATGGCTGCCATTCTAAGGCAGACAGCAAAACTTGGGTATGAGGACTAGTCTGCAGCAGGTATATGATCATAGGTTGGGATCCTACGGGTCTTGCTTGTTTTGGGCAAGCACAATGCCTTGGTAGAGGTCCTTCAGGCTCAGAACACACATTTTTAGACAGCTAAGGAGTGCAAATAAATCAGGGTTGATTTATGGCAGGGGCAAGAGATTTCTTTCTTCTCTATAATATCCAGACCAGCTCTGGGGCCCCCTCAGCCTCCTATACATATTGGTTACTAGGGGCTGTTTCCTTGGGAGTAAAGCAGCCATGGTGTGAAACTGTCAACTCATCTCCCAATAGTGCCAAGGTCAAGAATGGTGGAGCTATACCTCCATTTCTCATGCATCTTCAATATGTGTTTAAGTAATTAAGCACAAGAAAGAATTTGTTTTACCTTAAGGAATATAAATTATGAAGCTCCTCATCCTGAAATGTTCTCCAGCATCCTCATAATTCATTACATAAGAATAATTAAATAAAATGTGGCATACATATTCTGTGTTATAATGGACAGTACACATGCTGTAATTAACACAGCCACATGAGTTGTAAATGTTGTGGAAGTTATCCATATTTATTTTCTTTATTTGTGGTTTAACCTTTAAGAGCCGGGACATTTAAATTCCGGTAGTGGTAGCGGGACGGAGTTAATATAAATGCCCGCCATTGTAGAGTAATAAAAATTGTAATCATGTTACTCAAAATGCTGTGATTTATACAATTTTTGTGATAAACGAATGAAATAAACGCTGCTTTTATCTAGAAAGAATCTGGAATCAGATATTGTAATTTACAGATTTTAGAATCTGTAAAAATTGTTACACTGATTCCAAAAAAAAATTTTTTTCCCCAATTTTCAGTGTCTGTCCACAAATATGCAGAAAGTTTCTGCACAAAACGTTTCTGCATTATAAATGCATGCTGCTGGCATCCTCTCTTCCTATGTCTCATCTTTCAAAGGGGGAGGAAGGTAATGTTTGTCCTGCACATTCTCGAGTCACATCGTAACCTTTCTACTATTGCACGAGTGGGCGCAAGTCTTATCGTAATTTATACTTCAGAAACACGGCCTCTTTATATCTCGGGCTAGTCACAGTGTTACTCTTCTTGGAATAGCCCCGCAATGCCTTTCAGTTTTGTCTGTACCGCATTCTGAATCGGTGTGATTTATGAGAGGCCTCTCAATCTCATCTTCTTCCATGCAAAGTGGAGCTATGTTGGATAGTTCAAATTGCGATGTTTTATAAGCGTTAAGGTTCTGTTTACATCTCGGACTAAACACACAGAGCTACTCTTCTTGGAATACCCCCGCAATGCCTTTCACTCTCGTCTGTAATGCATTCTGAATCAGTGTAATTTATGAGCGGCATCTCAATATCGGCTTATTGCATGCGAAATGGGGCCATGGTGGATAGTTGAAATTGCGATGTGTTATAAGCGATACAATTAGAATTGTCCTTCAGAAACCCTGATTGTGCATATCTCGAACTAACCACACAGAGATAGTGTTCTCGGCATAGCCCTGCACTACCAGAAAGTTCTAGCCTAGCGTGTTGTGTTGTGAATAAAACATCGCAATTGAAACTAGCCAGCATGGCCTCATTTCACTTGGCAGAAGACGAAATTGAGAAGCAGCTGATAATTGACACCGATTCAGACTGTGGTACAGAATATTCTGAGTGGCGAGGAAATAACGGGCTCAGAACCCGAAGTCGACGAAGACCCATCATCTTCGTCGGCAACCTGGGGACCACCACACCAGCGTGGCAAGAGGAGTGTGAATAATTATTCAGGTGGAGCTGTGGGGTTAAATACCAATGAAGCTCCACACATGAATAAGGATTCCACCCCTTTCTGCGTTTTCATGCTGTATTTCGCAGGGATTATCCGTCTGCTGGTGGAGACGAACAGGTACTACCATCAGCACGTAGACAGACGTCAAGACGGACCTTCTCCGCGGCCTGATGTGACCGAATCTGAGATGTTTCTGTTTCTAGGAATAATCATTCAAATGGGACATGACAATAGAGGCAGACTAAAGGACTACTGGTCGACTCTAGAACAATTTGCCACGCCTTTCTACTCTAAGACAATGAAACGCGACCGTTTTCTACACATTCTTCGTTTTCTTCATTTTGCAGACAACAGTACAGAAATTGACAGGAATGCCGACAGTTATGACCGACTATGGAAAATTCGGACCATCTTCGACACTCTCAATGACGCATTTGAAAAATATTATAACCCTTCCGAACATTTGGCCATTGACAAAATAACTGTAAAATACAAAGGGAGGGTTGTTTTTAGGCAGTACATTCCTAAGAAACACAAACGTTTCGGAATCAAAATCTTCAAAATTTGTGATGCCGCTGGGTATACTTATGACATGAAAGTTTACCTAGGAAAAGACAGGACACGTGCCAGCCAAGACGTGACAGCGACACATGCTACAGTTAGGGACCTATGCAGACGTATTGAGGGCGTAGGTCACAAACTGTATATGGACAATTTCTTTTCTTCACCTGACTTGTTTGACGAACTGATGACAAAGAACATAACGTGCTGTGGAACAGTCATACCTAATCGGAAGGGCTTGCCTGATGATTTTCGACGAAGACAATTTCGACTGAAGAAAGGGGACATTCGTGTTAGGGTGAGACAGAACTTGACAGCACTAGTTTCGAAGGACAAATGTGACGTTTACATGCTGACAAATATGCACTCTCCTCCAGCAGAAGGCAGTTTCTGTGATGAGCACGGAAATGCCATCAAGCCAGCAATTGTTGCTAACTACAACAAGCACATGGGTTATGTCGACAAAGCGGACAGAATGGCAAACAGTTATAGCATCTGTCGTCGAACCTAGAAATGGACAAATCAATTATTTTTCCATCTCCTGGATCTGACGATTCTGAACAGTTATATCCTGTTGTCATCCTGTGGCGCGAAATTGTCACACAGAGAATTTCGTCTCGCCCTTGTGCGGAACATGCTGGAGCATGCTGGAAGGGGACCCCCTCGCCCTCAACGGCCCAGGGGTCGAACCCCTGCCGTTTCATCGGGGTCATTTCGAATAGAGGAGGCCAAACAACAGCACTGGCCGACTTCCTCTACTTCGAAATTGAGGTGTCAAGTGTGCTCTTCGCGTGGGAAACAAAGAACCGTCCGGATAAAGTGCATGAAGTGTGATGTGGGACTCTGCATTTCCGGATGTTTCCAAGATTTCCGCACGAAGCCAACATTCCGTTAGACGACGCAGGTGGGAAGAGAGACAACTTATAAAGCTGGTGACCAAAAATCATGTAAGTAGAAAAAGAATTTATAACTTAAAATTAGATTTTAAAAAGCCCGCCGCACGCGTGGACTGTGCGACGACATATGGCGTCATTCGTCCCCTTGACTTTATTTTAATGACGCCATATGGCGTCGCTCGGCTCTTAAAGGTTAATCAATGATGCTGTTAGCAATTCATATTATGCAGATCTGAATGGTAGATGATCAATGAACCAAGAATTGGAAAGGATGTATAAGGAAGTGGCCATGGCCTATTTGAAGGTACTATCCCAGAATTCTCCCAAAGGGTCTGCAGAAAACAATGAAAAACATGTGTGGTAGATGGGAACCTCCTAAATACAATTATTGAAATCATATATGTGTTTCATGAAAAGAAAGAATGCATGACTGGGCAGAGTAACATGAGAACACATGACTGCACATATAATCTGTAGACACTTTTACAGTAATAAAATTAAGAAATATAAAACCTCTACCATGGGTATTCAGCTCCATCTACTTCTGATAAATAATGCAGAAATTTGTTCAGCTGAGCAGAGAACTCTGACGGATTGCTGTTACTGTTTGTTTCAACAAATTTCTTCGGCCCATATTGTTGTTCCAACATTGCATCCAAGTCCTTCGGACACAACTCCAACCATTTTTCATCTAAACAAGAAAGTTCTATCTCACAGAACCACTGTTCACTTTACCACTTAACATGCTCAGACTGACTTAAAACCATTTATGATTAAACAAACTTCCTCTCCGATGTTTAAATCTGAAAGTTCAAAACTACTAAAACAAATGCCTGCCATTATACTGTCCAATAACTTCAACCATTACAAATTCCAACAAACTACTTCACCCATATCCATTAAAGAATCTTTCTCGTCTCTTCTGCCAACTTTCATGTGGCCACATGGCTAGCAGTTTTCTCACCAATATTCTGCATCCAAGCTACATGTCTAATCTACTGTAACCCTGTAATTGCAATTACCTTAACCTATTCACATTCATATGTGTATACATGCGGTGTAGCAAGACAGGTGTGTTTTGCTGACAGCCTACAATTGCAACAGAGTATCTCACTCATCTTAGTGCATCATTACGTTGCAACACTTTCTTTTTGCTCTTCCATGGCCTTCTACACATATTATATTGATGTCTGGCGACGAAATCTCTAAAAAAAACTCTGTGGTTTTAGTCTGCAAGCGAACTATACCGACCAAATGACCACTGCTTGTAGGCGAAGTTAGTGCCAACTTTAGCAGATCAGTGTCACGTGATCAGTGCAACAAATCCCCACGTCCGTAAATTTCAGTTTTCTAGACCAGAGCCGCTATTTCCTTCAAATAGCTCCTCAATTATCCTCATGAGGCTGAGTGCACCCCATTCCAGACCCACTACTTCTCAGAAAATCTGGTAGCTTCAGGAATCGAACCTGGGACCTCAGGATCTGCAGCCAGGAACTCTGACCACTAGACCACAGAACCAATAACAATATATACGAGTATTGTACATAAAAGTTTTGCTTCATTTTGTTCAAATTCTGCTGGTGATACAGTTATTGCCTGAGAAACTATCATGATGAAAATGAGTTGTCTTCCAGGAGTCAATTTCAAATAAACAATACAAAACACTCTCTACATAAAGTCAGCTCACCATCTGGAGGCGGAAGATTTCTCTCGGCCTTCTTGAATTCTTCTACATCATATTCAATGCTGTTTAATAGGGTAAATATTTCTTGTCCTATGGATGGATCACAATGTAACAGATCTCTGTGATTTATATAGTACTCTTCAGCTTTGGTAAGCAGGCTTTGATAATCTTTTGAACCTTCCAGAAGATCCTAATTATAAGAACAAAAGCATAAGTATTATGTTTTGATAATCTTTCGAACCTTCCAGAAGTTTCTAATTAAAATAATAAAAGCATAAGTATTATGTTTTGATAATCTTTTGAACAACGACAGTCGTTGTTTACTTTCCATGCAGTACAGACAATTCTTTGTAAGATGAGGCACCGACTATACAATTAATTAATTTTCAAGATCATGGGCCTCATATACATTCTTATATAAAAGAAATAACAATCTGACTTATTGTATTTGTATGCAAAGTATTTTAAATGATTAATAACATTGTATTCAATCTAATGTAGAGCAGTTCAATGGTATATGTTTGTTAATATGTGTTTGCCTGATGATGGCCGTTAGTGGCTGAAACATGTAGCGAAACCATAGCTGGGCGCTAACCTTGATTTTTTCCGTTTGTTGTGTTGTGACGGTTAACCTTTATCCTACGGCCCTTTAAACTTAGGTTGTGGTAGCGGTACGGACTTCTTTAAAGGGCCGCTATTTGAGATCCGTTAAAATTGTAGTCACTTACTAATTTTGCTCCTATTTCTGCTATTTCTGTGATAATCGAACGAAATAAACGCTGTTTTTTTCTCGAAAGAATATAGAATCAGATATTGTAATTTACAGATTGTATAAAACATGTTAAAATTTTTGCACTGGCTCCAAATAAGAAATTCCACATTTTTGTTAATTTTTCTAGATGAATTCATAGGTTCTCGGAACGGTTGAATGCATGACCACTTGTGCAACTCGGCAACACTGCTCAAGCTGTGTCTGAAGAATTTATCATAACCTAAGTGACGCACTGGCATTGGAACGCGGAGACTGGCCGAGTTCTATAATCTCAACTATACAATATGTGTACTGTTCTTACACAGTTCAAAGCTACCGTTGTTTATGAAATTGCGTGCCCGTATCAACAGAGAGATAATAGAACTTCTTTCCTGGAAGTTTTCATTCGGAGAATTTCAAACTTTGATCGTCGTGTCGTGTGGAATGTTCTAGCATATTTCAAGCCATCAGCGACTAGGTACAAATAGCTGTACCGACACTTCTGAGAGTGATGTTGAAGGTAGCGAATCAGAAAGTTATTTCGAACGAGACCCATCATTTACTCGGCAACCTGGGGTCCAGCAGACCAGCGTGGCACGAGAAGTGTGAATAATCATTCAGGTGGAGCTGTGGGCAAACTGTGGCAAACAGTTATAGCATCTGTCGTCGAACCTGGAAATGGACAAATAAGCTATTTTTCCATCTCCTTGATCTGAACAGTTACATCCTGTTGTCACACAGAGAATTTTGTCTCGCTCTTGTGCGGAACATGCTGGAAGGGGTCCACCTCGCCATCAACGGCCAGGGGTCGAACCCCTGCCTTTTTATGGGAGATATCTCGATTATAGAAGGCCAAACCACATCACTGGCCGACTTCCTCTACTTCGCAATTGAGGTGTCGTGTGTGCTTTTCGCGTGGGAAACGAAAGACCGTCCGCACAAAGTTCGCGAAGAGCGAAATCGGACTCTGCATTTCCGGATTTTTTTGAGAATTCCACACGAAGGCAACATTCCGGCAGATGACGCAGGTGGGAAGACAGACACTCCATGCAGATGGTGGCCAAAAATTATGTAAGTAGGACATAATTTTCTACTTTAAAATTTAATTTTATATAACGTTGCCACGCGCGGACTCTGCGACACCATATAGCGTCATTCGTACCGGGGACTTTCTTTTAACGACGACATACGTTGTCTTTAGTCGTTTAAAGGTTAATAAAAGAGTTGTAAACTGATTAACATAAACACAGTTTGCATATAAACATGGAAACACATTTACTGATATGCGAACAATAAAAAAGATTTATCTTTTTTTGTAATCTTGTGTATTTTGCAGCTAGATAACATAGATTATAGCAAAAATACCCCTCAAGCTGGAAGTTCTGGATAATAATAAATGATAATGAAAATCAACAATATTGTCACATGTTAGTGACTAGATACAGGGTTTGGATTGGTAATTTGATTTGCTGAACATGTATAACTTGCAACTAAAGGTAAATATAACAGTTTCATGGATCTATACACTCTAGAGATAACTGCACTGCAGCACACACAAGGTCTTCTATGTGTTCACCATTTGTTACATGGTAACGGTTCCCAACAATGGAGATCCTTCTGTTCTCATGCTTATGTCATCGTCAGCTGGCTACCATCTTGTCACTCCTCATGGCTGGAACTAGCTCATGACAGCAACTAACTCAGTTGCCTCACTTGCCCTAACTATATAGCCTCAGGTTTGACTGCACAGAAAACATCACCTCCAGCAGCTCCTCTGTTGTTGCATGTGTGAGCAAGTCACCGCCTTGTTTATCAAGCCATTCCCATGCAATGGACAATGCTTGCTCCTTCAGGCTGTTCATCTCGCATAGCCTATATGCACATTGTCTTTCCTTCCTTTCTGAGGCAACATGCCTATGAAGTCTGTGATCGTCCTTATCAATGGCACCTCTACAACATGCTGGGGTTGAAACTTCTTCCGGTCTGTAGGGACGGAACTCTGAAAGTGACCAGTGCTCCTACAACATGAGCACATAAGCTGCTGTTTGTCTCTTTTTTTGTTTGGGAGCAGGCCGGTTCCCCCACAATGTCCTGTCACTCACTTTCTGTAACCTGATAGAAGACTCTACTGTTAGCTTTACAACTTTCAGCCCTAGGGTCTGCCTGTAGGCCTCATATAGTGTCCTCTTTCCTCCAAGAAGTTGCTGGTGTTTCATGCCTCGGTCTCTTATCCCACTGTCGAATGCCTTGCCTGCTCCCCTGTAAGTGTGGCCATCCTGTTGTGCTGGAAAGGCATGGTGGCTCATTCATTCGATGGCGGTGGCAAAAGCCTACAGGAACTTGTCAATGCAATGGGGTCTTGTCTTCAGCTGACTGCAATTCACTGCAGCCACATGCTGGTCCCCAAATCTGTCCACAGTTGCCATGACAATCTCCTCATACATCACTCCTTTAGGGGCTCTATGCCCTGCAGGGTGGTAAGCACATGCGTGGCTTTTATGCATTCTGCCTTTTCTTGATTGGTCTTCATTTCTTCCAGGCCAGCCTCAATCTCAGCTCTCATCTGTTCCTGGCTGGTCTTCATCATATCCTCCATCTTTTCTTGGTCAGTCTTCATCTCTTTATGACTGGCTTTCATTCCTACTTGAATGGCTTCAACACACATCACAATGGTTCACAGAAGTTCCAAGTCTGCTATAATTTGCAATACGATCAATTCAACTGATCCCACTTCTGACATCAGTTATAAAGTGTTAGTGACTATAGATGAGATTTGGATTGGTAATTGGATTTACTGAACACATAACTTGTAACTACAGGTAATTATACCAGTTTACCAGATCTACACAGTCTACAAATCAGCACTGCAGCACACATAAAGCCTTCTATGTCTTCACTAGTCGTTGCCTGGTAATGGTTCCCAATAAGAGAGATTCTTCTCTCATACTTATGTCATTGCCATCTCACAGCTCCTCATGGCCAGAACAAATTCATGATGGCAACTAATTCAGTTACTAACTCGCCCTTGCTATATAGCCTCAGGTCAAACCACATATAAAACACCACCTCCAACAGCTCCACTGTTGTTGTGCGATGTGTCAGCCAGTCATTGACTAGCAACGGCTCGCTTGTTTACTACACAACAGACAATGTTTAAGAAGTCATGGCACAATATTGTTAACAGTGATGTTATACATGTTCTTTTTTTAAGTCCATAAATCAACAGTATACATATCTTGATTGACAGATAAAAGAAAACAGACAGTGATATAGTCAACCAGTTAAATAAGAGATTAACTAATTAATTAGTCCCAGCTATCACCAACTTTCTCTAAAGTCAAAAAATAGATTTTCACTTAAAAAGTATAGAAAGAAGGTACCACTGGTTGTGTCACTAAGGAAAACATGCAAAGCTGCATATTTTGCACCATACCTTGAAGTAGCCTGTCTTTTTTAAGCTATTCAAATACTGATGCCAGCCACGATCACCTCCTAGGTCAACAGGATTCTGGGTTTGCATATCCCCTTGAGACGTTGGTTTTGCTTGGGCAACCAAAATCTCAAATCCACATGCCTATATAAGGAAACAGCAAAAACAGAAAATGAATTCAATATTGCATTGGTTCTCTGTACAACATACTACTTTCAAGTCCATTACATGTAAAGAGTTACAACAATGAAATATATTTAGAATTAAAGCAATGGACCTTGAATATGCAAGATGCTAATGAGTTATTTTCAGAAAAGAGAAAAGAAGGGTTTTAATATTACAGGTGATTATGCCTCTTAGTGGATACCTGAAATGCCCTCAGCAGCATTCTCAATCATGCAACAGGAACTTCAATTATTCAGCTTACTTAATAAATCACTTTAGGACAAAATCATTCTATCTTAAATTACAGAAATTATAAATTTAGAAAATTAATCTCTGAAGTATAAAATGGCTGTCTGTAACTTATTTTTTCAGTGCAGATTTGGTAAAACTGTGAAAAATAAAATTATACAATTGGAAAGATTTCAGTATTCCTTTCTTTACCAAGCCTGGCTTCGTAAAACTGGTACACAACTCCCCCCACCCACATTCTGAATTCAAATACAGCCAAAACTTACCAAACAAATTAGTCCACCAAATTCAGCATGCTTTATTTCAGGTTTGCAGGCAGCCAATTGCCTGGGGCAAGGTAAAGAATTTTGTGGAATCGATTGCAAATAAATAATAAATTACACAACAAAAATTTACAAAACAGAAACAAATTTTGTATGCAAAAAGAGTTATCCATAAGCGAAAGCAGTGTTTTAATAGGAATGAACATGATGTCAAAGCTTACCAGTTTCACTCCTAGGCTATGAGCCTTGAAGTCTGTGCTGTCTGGTGGAGGCATGTTCCACCCCGTTCGTTGGTCGGGGTTAAACGTGTGATAAGTGATCATTGCATAGAGACATTTAGTGAATACCACACTTGTCATTACTCTGCTCTCAGGAGGAAAGTAACGCATAGCTTGACATGCCTGTGAAGGAAATGAAATAGTCTATTTATAACTAATTCAAAAAATATATATGAAAATTAACTACCTCACTAATTCCATTTAGCTGAGTCTTTCTTCTAAAAGCACCAAACACTCAGCCACGCAAGAATTTCCCAACATTTTATGGAACCTGACAGTTGAATACCATGTTCCCAACAGCCCTCCACTGGTCTCTATCCTGAGTCAGATCAATCCAGTCCATACCACCACATCCTATTCCTCAAAGATACATTTTAATATTATTCTTCCACCTACATCTAGGTTTTCTTACTGGACTCTCTCCTTATATATTGTGACATGTTGACCCCTACCTCCCCAGCTGCACGTAGAGGTAATGTAGCGCTCGCGTAATAGGCGAGTAATCACCCCGCATCCTGGTAGCTATGCAACGCGCGGTGACGTCACGAACGGAGCCGAAGTGAGCCGAGCGGAGCCGGCGTTAGCCGAGTCCCCGCGACCTTGAAGCTATGCAAAGCGAATCAACAGCGGTGACATCACCGAGGGATATCGCGGTTGCTAGGCAGCAGTCAACAACTCCGGACAGCATGGCTGACGACAATTGTCCGATCAAGGCTACATAAGGAGCAGCGAAGGCTATTCACAGTTAGTTGTACTGTGACAGTCGCCGAGTGTGTTATCAACAGTTCTCAAGGCAGCATCTCACGAGCAGAGTTGGAATCTAGCCAGCGGCGTGTTATGAGTGAAAGTGTGTAATTCAGGGAGACTTGTATAGCTCCCGCGTTATTAGTACGTGAAGACAAGTGAAGATTGTGTTAAGAGATTTTGTTGTAGGGTTTGTAAAGTGTGGAAACCCGTAATATTGTGATAATTAATTTTAGCCATTGTTTGTAGATTGTTAAATAAACCAATTAACCATCTCTACGGCGTCTTCAGTAACGAAACACGTTACAATATATACAGGCAAATACAAATGCAATTCATGTGCAATTCTTGTAGTCAATAAAGGCAGATCTTTTACACTGCCAATGTTACATACATATATACATACATAGCGTCACAGATCCGTTGCCCGTATTGGGCCGAATATTGAGCTTGTCATATTAATTAAAAGTAGTTGCGATATGCAACCAAGTCCAAATAGGCACAACCTAGATACAATAGGAATATAATACAATTAGGTATTTGCCATATATTCATCAATAGAACAGAAAGCTTTCAAGATAAGAAAATCTTTCAGTTTTTGTTTAAATAAATTAACATTATCCTTTAAAATATATAATTTACGTGGCAAATTATTAAAAATTTTTATGAATGTATAATACACTCCCTTTTGTATAATGGATAGTCTAGTTGACGTGACGTGTAGTCTATTTTGTACTCTAGTGTTAATTTTATGTACACTATTATTTGTAAGATAATTATTTTCATTTTCAATTACAAACATGACCATGGCATATATAAACAAACAGGGAACTGTAAGTATCCCTAATTCTCTGAAAACCTCTCTACAAGAACTTCTAGGCCTCATCATTAACATTGCTCTAATTGCTCTTTTCTGAGCCACAAAAACTCTTTTCATTGATGACGAAGAAGAGCCCCAGAAAATAACACAATATTTAAGTTGAGCTTGACAATAAGCACAATAAGCCATTTTCAACACTTGCCTACTTACTATAGGCCGTAGTTTTCTAAGCACAAAGGTTGCAACACTCAACATATTTATCACATCATCAGGGTATTTTTCCCAGCCCAAATGACTGTCCTGGCACACACCTAAAAATTTAACATTTACAGAAAATTTAAGTGTTTGGTCATTATATTTTATATGTAATGGATAGTCCATGGCCTTAGGGGTCATAAATTTCACTACATGGGTTTTTTTTTAATTTAGTATTAATTGGTTAGCTTGGAACCATCTATATAAATGTCTCATAACTAAATTTATTTTGTTATTAAGGCTACTAATATCCTGTGAAGAGACAATAAAAGTAGTGTCATCAGCATATAGAACCGTATGTGCCAACCCATTTAGAATTCTAGGCAGATCATTAATATATACATTGAACAACAAAGGTCCCAGTACAGATCCCTGTGGAACTCCATGTTTGCTGGTTTTCCATTTAGAAACATATGTAGTTGAGTCTTGAGTCTGTAGAATGATTCTTTGCTTCCTATTATATAGGTATGTTTCAAGCACTTTTAGTAGAGATCCTTTTATTCCATACTGTTTCAATTTTTGGACAAGCAGTTCATGACTGACACAGTCAAATGCCTTAGTGAGGTCACAGAAATGTTAGGATGATAATGAATCAGGAGGGAAGGCCCTAGGAGTGTAATAAGTCCTCCAGCTTCCAAATTCTGCTCAGCACAGAAAAATTGTCTTTGTCCAAATAATGGGAAGCAACTGCATCTGGTACTTATTTCTGTTAGAGGCTGAGTCAACCCCAGGACATAGTGCAGCTGGAAGGATTTGGTCAATTGAAAAAAATCCAATGACCTCATCGGGACTTGAACCCGCGACCTTCTGGCTTGTAGAATAGTGCCTCAACCAATTACTCTACCGCGTGCCCCTAAAGAAATTAATTTGACTTATTCCACATTACGCACAGGAATTAAAATACATTACAACAGACTATAGGTGCCATCAAGGAAAAACTCTCAACCACTGCTGTTTCAAGGTGGTCAAAGGTCAGCACAGACAGGAGGTTCATTAAATCACAGTCATACTGTAATTGTAGTAAGCTCATCAATTATGCAATCTCATATCAGACTTCAAAAGCATAGCCAATAATGACTTCTTACCTTCATATCAATAGGATCTCTATTACAGAAGGCCAAAACTGCTGCTGAAATTAGATTAGGCTTCTCTTTTAGTAAAGCTGCAACTCCAACCGGAACATAGGCATTTGTCCGATGCAGCAATTCGGCAATCTTGCCAGGGTAACTAAAATTAATAAATCAATGAAGATTTAAACCACCACATAAAGTGAATCTGTTATCATTCATGCATCAGACAAGTGTTCTGGCACATACCGCTAGTTCAAGAGACCCCAACAGGCCCAAAGCTTCACTGTTTTCGATACGGCTCCTATAAGAGCCAGTCTGGATGAGAATGTCAATTCCACAGTAGGGGGATAGTTAATCTTTTTTTTTTCATTTTGTGCATCCTGTTGTGTTATAATATAAAATTTCTTTATTAAAATCTGTCACAACACAACAATACAAAGGTCAAGGCTAAGACTGGCTTGGCTACATTACATGTTTCGGCTATTAAAGCCATCATCAGGCAAATACATGATTAGCATATTTACACCACTGAACTCCAGTACTGGTAAAAGTGGCTACATGATAATTATTACATTATAAAATGCTTGGCATAAAAGTACAATGAACTAGTCTATATAAAAAAACGAAAGTTATAGGGTAAAACAAGTTTAAGACTCTTCGTGTGATACTTTATATCATGAAGTCAAAGACTGAGGACATGATAATGTGCTGCCTAGTCAGGATTTTGCTCACCTCAGGAAGCAGGGACTGATGAAGTATGAAGCAATGGTGGAAGGATGATTAGCAGGGAAAAATTTAGGAAACTTGGAGAAAAACCAGTTTCAATGAAATTCATCTGCCACAAATCTTACATGCCAACAAGTAATGGAGCTTCTATCACCCATAATTGCATCTCTGGTCTATTGTTTATCAGTGCAGACTGATAGAAAAGCAGCAAACTTTCAGATTTAGCCCTTTTTAATTACTGCTGAATGATATTTCACTTCCTCTGCTGTGTATATTTTTACCATTGAAACAGCAAGCATGAAGATTACAGTCTTCTTGGTTATAAGACTATGTAGTTCAGAGAGGGCACAACATTTCATATGAATATATCACCTCCACCTTCAAGCAAGAAACCAGTAGAAGCAGTCAATGAAGTGACTCCAAATATTACCTCCATCTCAGGCTGTGCCACCTGCTTCTGCTAGTTTCTTGCTTGACTTACTGTTTTACCCTAAAGATGGAGGCAATAAGTTACTCAAAAGTATTAGGCTTTCTCCATACTACACAGTGTTACACATTTTTCATGGTCACCACTGAAAGAACCTTAATTCATTAAGTGGAGCTAGTTTTTCACACTTCAAAATCCCATCTGTAGCACTAAACACAATCAAATGAACATCAATTCTTGCTTCCTTTTCAATTTCTTTGGACAAGTCTTCTACAAAACTGAGACTAATATGCCTCTAGTTTTTAAACTTAATGCTAGAAAATGGATTGCCTACTAATAAGAAACTGGCTACTTCAGCTTCTATTAATGGAGGACGGCAACACTGTATGTGATCTGCTTTCAAATGTGGATGTCAATTTTGTAAGCTTATTCTTTTATCGCCTATGAAATTATATCTCTAAAAGATGAATGATGAGTACCATAAGGAACTACAAGGTACCAGAAAGTTTTCAAATCATTAGTCTGTTCTTAGGAAGTTCCACCAAAGAACTTAAATTCATATTCCAGCACAAGAAAAAAGCTTTCTCCCGAGATGGTAATTTCCAAGTTCTGCCCAAAAATTTCAGTTTAGTTTTCAAACTATAATCTGTCAAAGAAAAGACAAGGTAAGTTCATTGTAAACACACAGGAATGAGACCTATGGTGGCCTACGGTACCCCAATTTCCTGTGCCAGATTCTGATCAGGAAGAATTTTGGTGCAAAGGCAAAGCTGTCCCTGTAGCAGGCCGTGGAGGCCCATAAAGTTGTGCCAGGTCAAGGCTCCCGCATTTTCTAGACAATCAGCTCACTGATGGCAAAGTCCTTGTATTCATTTCTGTTAGAGGCTGAGACAACCCCAGGGCCATAGTGTGGCTGGAAGGATTAGGTCAACTGAAAAATCCAGTGACCTCATCAGGATTTGAACATATGAACTTCTGGCTTGTAGTGTAGTGCCTCCACCAACTATGTTACTGCGTGCACTGGCCATAAAGCCTAGCATCAAAAATTATATACATGTCAACTCACCCCTCAACCCTCACTTGAAGAGCCTTTTGGACAGCCAGTGAAGCTATAGTTTTTTGTGGTTGTTTACGTACTTGGGATACAGCATCTGCTACAGACAACAGATGTCTGTCTTCTCCATTTCCTTGTTCCATGGGTATAATGTGTACAGCTCCTTGATACAAGTACACCTAAAGCACGACAAAAATTACAACATATTCTTGATATAACAGTTGTTAATAATATACACAAAACTGACAGGTTTATTCCTAGGTACATAATATGTTTCCGTGAAGTCTGTAGACAATGTTCTGTCACTGTATTCACATTTTCTTCTAATATTTGGTGAATATGAAAGATCTGATAATTAAAATGCACATGCAAAGTACAATGTCTACCTACAATTCAAAAAGTACATCCATAAATATAACCTCTGAAGTTATTCAAAATACATAATAAATTCATAAAAAACATGTATTATATTAAGAGAAAATTTCAAATTCATATTTTTCCCACTCAGATACACGAGCCAGGTTTACTGACTCAGTGTAGGGACTAGACTATTGGCAGGATAGTCAATGAATCCGGGATCAATTCCCAGCAAAATTACAACATTTTTCTCTTTTCTACAGACTGGCTCTGGGGCCCACCCAACCACCAACCAAATTGGTACCATGGTTCTCTACTTGAGAATAAAATTGACAATGGGAGAACCTGACCATTCACTCCATCTAAGTCTATAGTTAAGAATGTATGGAGCTATACCTCTATTCCCCTACATGCCTTCAAGTTGTGGGGCTCAATTAAGAATAGATACAAGGTTACCTTTACACACATTAGTCAGTGGTTTATGATTACAGGAGGATCACATCTGTCATAACTCAGTAATTATAGGAGAAGCTGTAAAGAATATATTTTTTTCAATGGTACTTCCAGCCTATTTAGGGCCCTGGCCTCTTACTTAGTTCTGTAATCATTTCACAGACAGTAGGCCTCCTTGGACAAGTGATCAGCCCACCACAAGGCCACTACCTACACACAGAACAACAAAAACACAGAATAAATGCATACACACACCAAACATCCATGCTCTGAGTGGGATTCGAACCCACAATCCCAGCATTCGAGAGGGCAAAGACAGTTCATGCCTTAGACTGCACGGCCACTGTGATCAGCTGTACAGAATAAAAAGAAAAAAAAAACTTGGAGGTGGTGTACTCCATGATGTAGTAAACAAAATTCCCAACAATATTCCTTAAATTTTAATATTAAGCTTATTTAAAAATGGGAATAATGAAATATAAATCAGCAAAAATGTCCCATCATGAATTTCAATAAAACCTGTGGAAAGGGCAACTTAAAAGGGTGTAGTTAGCTACACCACATGGGTTGCAAAAAAAAAATACTACAAATGATCTACCTTGTGACAGAAATATAATTATAATATAATATAATTGCAAATTTTGCAATATCTTTAATGGTGAAGTAGGGGCAGAACTGAATGTTATTAACATCTGTGTTTAATTCTGTTAATACAAAAGTGGAAAAATCCATTTATGGCCGTATACAAACCAGACTTTCTTATAAACCAATATGGCTGAAAATCTGATTTACCTGATGAATTCTAACGAAGATGTCCCTTACAAAACTTAACAAAATGTATGAAATGGTTAATGGTGCACATGGAAAAGCCCATTTATGGCTTTATATAAGCTGAGCTTTATTATTAATCAATATGGCAGAAACCTGGAACTGTCAACTTCTCATGAAAGTCTTCCATGTTAAATTTCAACACAACCTGTAGAATGGTTCATGAATCAGGGTAAAGTACATTTATGGCCTTACATAAATTTGGCTTTACTATAGATCAGCATGGCTGAAAAATAAACTGCCCAACAAATTCTAATGGATGTCTCATTTAAACCCTAATATTAGGTTACAGATAGAAAAGACACCAAGCACAGACATATCAGACATCCACAATCACATCTCCAGGCTTCTTACTGGTTAGAGCTACTATATCTGTAATGTCTCTAAATGAAATTCAACTTTATGATGGGATAATTTTAGGCATTTCTAATATAGAACACTTATAAAAAGTGGAAACATGGTAATGCCACAGGTAGGCCAGGTACTCATTGAGCCTTACCCCTTGTCCTTTGCATCAGTTCTAGGAACTCAGTTCCAGAAGAGGTAAAGGTGGAAGTTGTACTTGTGTATTCAGTTCAAGAGTTTATTGTTTTCTTTATATCCAATGATGTACTAGCTCCACGTATTTTTAATTTTGGCACTGGATGGAGATGAGTGGTCGGCTCTATGCCCTGGCTGCTTTACCCTTGGTACCCATCGGATATGTGGCTAGGTGGGTCACAGAGTCAGTCTGGAAGTGGTGCTGAAAAAACAATCTTTGCTCCCACCAGGAACAGAACCCAGATTTCCAGTCATCAAACCACTAGCCTAGTTTCTATACTGACTGAGCTGCACTGGCTCTATTCAAGGAATATTACAACCATCAAATTCATCAAATATTTTGTTATGACAGAAAAATTTCTTGTTTGCAGCTTGTTATCCAATAATAACATGAAAAAGGTACCAACCCTTTGTTCACAAGTTTGTGGATTGGCCCACTCTGGGAGATACTCTGCAGCTTCAATAAGCAAGAACTCACCATCTGAATCAGTAACTCTGCAAATGAGAATCAACACAGTGAAGTGGAGCATTGATTTCTGAATGAGATCTAACTTCAGGTAGCTCAGTCACATTCCTCTGTGACAGTTCAAATCACCATGGCACAGTCACCATTTGTTACACTGAATGTAAGCTTACAAATTCCCCATATTTTGAAGAAAACACAAAAATAATTGTAAAAGAACATTCACCAATTGCTCATATAAATACAGCCCAACAGTAGTCTCTAATGCCTCTGGTAGATGGGGGAAGCATCGAGATACTGCTGAGCCAGTAGAGGCCAAACTCGCTGGCTGAGTCGGGACTGATGGCATGCACCAGTACCGGTAGGGAATAGAGACTGGTAGAATATCACAGGGGGACGCACAATGGACCAATATCTGGTCTAAGTGCATGGGGAAACCCACCCTCTCCAATAACAACAACAACAACAACAACAACAACAACAACAACAACTGATGTTAGATGTGTTGACAGAGTTTGTTTCCAAAAATGTCCCAATGAAACTTCAACAGATTTCATGCTAGTGTCCAGTACAGTAATAGTATTGTCACGTGATGGGTGTATAATGCAACAAATAACTTCAAGCCTTACTGGATATAGCGAATTTTATTTCACATTCGCTCTTACAATCACACAATTTACAAGCTCAACATTACTGCCATTGGCAGTATCACAAATACTGTACGCAATTAACTGGTGACTGACTCGTAACTAGATAACTTGAGAACTCGAGAACTGTCTTTGGCGGCTGCTAAACTTTAACTCGTTCACTGCTGACTGGAGAACTGTCTTTGGGCGCTGATACACTTTAACTAACTCCGGCAGCTGTGTAGTTCCCTTATATAGTCACAGCGCCCGCCTGTTACGCAATGGGTACCCCTGTTGCCTGTTACCTGTGTCACAGCTGTGTTACGTGTTACCTCACCGTGGGGAGTAACGACAGCGCTACGATGCCGCCACGTACCGCTGGGGAGGGAGGGTGTCCTCCATTGCGCAACACGTCATAGTATAATGAATCAACCAACAGTCACAGAACCATTGGGGAATAGGCAATAATAAGTGAATGGCATACAAAATTACTCTTGCTGATCTCCCTTCTCTGACAGGAAGCTGAAATTTTCTTTCAATTATTACAGAAATGTTGTTCTGTGCAAAAGTATTTACTGAGTACACGGTTTTGTGAATTTGCTTATATGAAGGGAAATAACTGTCATTTAAATTCTCTCATACATGGAAAAAAAGCCAAAAATTGATGTGGCAATGAAAGTATTAACTGTTTGAAAAATTAAGACTGACTTGCACCTTTTAAAGATGGCTGAACTTTCAGTGAAAATTATGCATGACAAGGTCACACATCAACATCATACATGAGGAATTAGTCTTATTCATAAATGATAAGCTGTGAAATTCATCAGAAGTTTGTATATTCTTCGGCAGTCTTAGCAAAATTTGTTCCACAAACCACAACAATAATGTCTTACTCAGAACTGTGTATAGAAATTCTTGACTAAGCACAACAGTCTTAATGAAGAGTTTCATAACTTGTACTCTTCTCCAAGTATAATTAGAACGATCAAGTTAAGGAGGATGAGGTGGGCGGGGCATGTCGCACAAATGGGGGAGAAGAAGAATGCATATAGGATATTGGTGGGAAAGCCAGAAGGAAAGAGACCACTGGGAAGACCAAGGTGTAGGTGGGTGGACAATATTAAAATGGATCTTAAGAGAGATAGGATGGGATGGTATGGATTGGATTGATCTGCCTAGGATAGGGACAGTGGAGGGATCTTGTGAACATGGTAATGAACCTTCAGGTTCCATATAATGCTGGGAAATCCTTGAGTAGCTGCAGAATTGGCGGTTCCTCAAGAAGGGCTCAGCTCCATGAGTAAGTAAGTATGCACGACCATCTACTCGTTGCCCACCCACAGTATTAGCCGAGTTTGTACCAAGTGATTTTTTCCTGGTCAACAAACTGTACAGGACTGTCAACAGAATGAGATTTCTGAAATGGCAGGAATGATACAAAACACAGTCTGGGAATAAGATCTAAAAGTTTGTGATGATGGTAAATTGTTACAATTAATATGTTGCTGGATATTATCCATCATCTTGTCTGTTTTAAAAAAAAACCGCCTACTATCAAAAACACAACGTTTCGGGAACTGGAATCTGTCCCCATCTTCAGGTAAAACCTACTCAGTTGGGTCCAATAGACAGAGCTAGCCCCTATCTTCGGACAACTATGCCAGTTTCAGAAGGGGTTCATAAAACAAGCACAATGATAGCTTCAATATTTCTTAGCTCTCACAGATGGTTTGTGTTGTGCTTGTTTTATGAACCCCTTCTGAAACTGGCATAGTTGTCCGAAGATAGGGGCTAGCTCTGTCTATTGGACCCAACTGAGTAGGTTTTACCTGAAGACGGGGACAGATTCCAGTTCCCGAAATGTTGTGTTTTTGATAGAAACTAGACTTTTTTTTTATTTTGAGAACAGAAAAAATGCTGGATAATGTCCAGCAACATATTAATTGTAACAGTCTGGGAAACTAACACAGTCCTACCAGAGGTTGCACCAAAAAACAGTATTACAGCTGGGAGACACTAAACATAATCAGGAGAAGGCTGATTAGATGGTATTAAATTTGAGTAACTGTTTTAGCCATTAATTTGTCCTAAAATTAATTCCAGAGTTTTCTGATATGACACATACAGTTGACTGGTTTCTCTAAGGTTATGAATTCCAAAGGAAACTTCAAACCTGACAGAATGCAACAAATTATACAGCAAATACCACAAAAACAATTGTTTTAGTGGTATAGTACAAAAATTTCTTAATGACCAAAATGATGACAGCAATAAAATACATTCCCGTGAAAGAGCCAAATATGTGACATCTGAGATTCTCACAGTGGCGAACACAATGATTACTTTCTTCAGGGATGTGATGCTATGCAGTCTGCACTTTGAAGAAACCTGCTGCCTCCACTTTCAGGAGATGGTCACACCACTGAAGACAGTAATTTTCAGAGCAAAAGATGACTATAAATGAATGTATCAAATTTTTATGGAGAAACCAGTCAACAGAAAAAGCAGAGGGGGTTAAAGATGAATGTAAGTGAATAAGTCTTTGTTAATGACAGTGATTTGACAAATTACTTTAGGATGAAATCAATCTATGAAGAGGGAAAATTAAAAGCTTACCTTGCCACCAAGCCATTAATTTCTTTTGTTAACTGCAGCAGCAGAAAGACAACGAACCATTCATCTTCTATGTCATCCCCATAGTGTAAACTGCCATATAAATGTTGTGGCAGTGGACCTACCAAAATAAAGTACAGTTTAAAGCTGCATCATGTTTCAGTCCACATTAACGTTTTCAAGATCAGAATTGATAGAGGTTAGATTTACTTTATTTTATTTATACTATAAAATAATTACTGGGCAGTCAAAGAGGATGAAAATGAGAGACAGATATTCAAGCAACAATACATGACAATGTAAGATTTGAGGCTTTCATGGCGGTGACTATGAAGAAAGCAGTCTTCTGGGATTTGGCACCTTGTATATGTGGTGTTAACCGACGTTTCGGAGGAACGTATCGCCTCCATCTTCAGGGTAGAAGAAAAAATATAAGAAATCGCAAACGAAGAGACCGTGAGAACCGCGGTTCTCACCCTGAAGATGGAGGCGATGCGATACGTTCCTCCGAAACGTCGGTTAACACCACATATACACGGTGCCAAATCCCAGAAGACTGCTTTCCTCAATACATGACAAATTCATCCTCTCATTTCATGACCAATTTTTAGGCAATTTTTAACCTGTTTCTATCCTAGCTGTATAACTCTCAAATAGTACAAGAAATGCAAATGCCATAATCAACAAAACATCAGAATTGGATAGAATTATCAGTTACTCATCGTGGATCCACAACAGTGCAACTGAATACAAACAAAGCCATATATAACACAAACATTTAGAAACAGCACACTTCACACTTAGAGGCAAGTCCTTTACAAAGGAAAAGATAACACAAGCTATCAGAGGCATACAGCAGAACAGTGCTAAAATGTAAGGTGTAAAACAATCCTACTAGAATCCTCACCAGAAGATTAGTCAATGGAAGCACTTAATACAACTCTGTGTTCAACTTCAGCAAGAAAAGTCAACAATTCACACAACCAACAATTTATTGCATAACACAAAAAAGCTTTATGATACTAAAGAAAAATTTTACTCTGTATTCGTAAGTTGCCCTTTCCTTTTGATTTTCTGAACAAAGGCCTTTGACAAGACAGGAAGGAATAAGTGGTGCAGAAAACCTGCTCACCCCCATATACATTAATATTCATATACATTATAGCCAAATATCCATCTGTCCATCCCATCCTGTTTCTGCCACATGGAGAACTGCAGAAAAGAAATGCTAAATATAACAAACGTTCCTTTGGGGAGCCATGTGCAGGAAAACTGCTAATTTCACTGTTATATAAATGGCTTTGAATCTAAGTCAACTTTTTTCCCCACTCTTTCCCCACAAGAAAAAAGTTGGGACCGTGGTAACAATGAACTTACTTTCATTGAATCCATGGTAGTGAAATGTGTACTGAAAGTCACAATATTGCACACATTTGAGCCAAAGAACCTGCAGATGTTAAATAAGAGCCACCAGGGACAACAAAAATATTCCTCGAATTGCAGTGTAGATTTTTCCTCAGAGATATGTCAAACATCTGTCCTAGTATCTTACAATGGTTTTCCCATATGCAGCATTACAGAAAAAATGGTAAATATAAATAAATAAAAAAATATTTCTCTTGGTGTGAAAACCCAGGAAAATTACTTATTTTTTTCTGTTTAGAAAATCAAGCATTCGGACGTCCAGAAAGTTCTACTTTCTTTCTCCCAAAGTGTGCTTCATAGAAAACAAGCAGTTTTGGGATGAATTAAATGCCCACTTTCCTTTGATGTGACATGGACTGCACAAAAAATGATGTTTCCAATATGTGTACTCCTTGCTGCAGGAATGTGTTTTTCTAGCCAGTGCCTAGCACTGATAGGGGGCATCCAGGAGTTGAGGGGACACTCAGACAGGTGGACAGTCAGCAACTTGTCAAACTAAGTGCTCACTTCACTTCACCCCAATGTATTAGGTAGATATTCAAACAGACAATACTGTCTCCCTCTGAGACAGAGGAGGAGGTTCGCTGCTCTGTTCAGTCAAGCGCCTACAGTGAAAGGCTGAACCCTCCTCTTGTCGAAGAGGGGACCCCATTTCTCAAACATCTAAATGTCTAGGGAGAACAAAAATCTTTGGGCGTTACACTTAGCATTCTCTCACTGGTCCAATCCAATGCATTATGTAGATGATCAACACAGACAATTTTCAGTCTCCATCCAAGGGAGAGGAGAAGGGTGTCCGCTACTGTGCTCAGAGTACCTACAGATAGGCCTTTCCCTCCTGCTGCCAAAGAGGAGGCCCCACTGCCCAGCAGCGATGGGGAGTAGAGAATAGACACAGATAGGAAGATCACATAAGCCTACTTTAGGAAAGTATACTAAAAATGGTAGATACAAGGAATGTTAACCATTCAGTCCAGAATCTTTTGTCATCTTGTCTGCTGCCTAAAAACATAATAATTAGAATATACAAAACTATAATTTTGCCTGTGGTTATGTAAGGGTGAAAAACTTGGCGGAACACAGGCTGTGGATGTTTGAGAACAGGGTGTTGAGCAGAACATTCGGACAGAAGAGAGATGACGTGATGGGAGACTGGAGAAAACTACATCATAAGGAGCTTCATAATTTGTACTTTATGCCATATATAATCAGAATGATCAAGTCAAGGAGGATGAGATGGGTGGCATGCATGTGGCACGTAACATGAATTGGGGAGAAGAGAAATGCCTATACGATGTTGGTGGGAAAGCCAGAAGGAAAGAAACCACTAGAAAGGCCAAGATGTAAGTGGGTGGACAATATTAAAATGGATCTTAAGAAAGACAGGATGGGATGGTATGGACTGGATCTATCTAGCTCAGGATAGGGATCAGTGGACAGCTCTTGTGAACACGGTAATGAAACTTCAGGTTATATAAAATGCTGGGAAGTTCTTTAGAAGCTGCACAATTGGCAGCTTCTCAAGAACGGCTCAGCTCCATGAGTGCTGATGACAAGAAATGTTAACTCTTGATGAGTTTTCTTCAGAGGAAGAAAAGTTATTGTACCTCAATAATGAGACAGAATGCCCAAAACACTAATATGGCATATGTACACTCTTAAACATCTCACATCATGAATACATTCACATTTGTGCCATTTAAAAAAAAAAGTTCATTCTGCATGGGAACACGGAACATATATGAAATTTTTGAAAAACTGCTGTGAAAGATCTGGTGAAATAATCATGGTTTGCACTACATTGTGGCATATGGCTTTGTTTTGTGATTACTTACTTAGGTGTTCAAGTTGTTCTATATAACATATTAAAATTTTATGAATGTGGAATTCCAAAGCCAGTTGTTCTATTTTAATCCAGAAATAGGATTTTCTTCCTACGATACTTAACATCAGAATTGAGTTTCAAAGGTCACAAAAATGGCACATGTTTGGTTCAGAATATAGAGGCATTAAATGCAAGTAACCATCAAAACAACAAAAACTGTTTCTGCAATTTCAGACGTGTTACTTAGAAACCACAGTAAGGCGAGACACTTGACAACATGAACATAATTCTGTTACTGACAAGATACAGACTGTCTGGGAGAATCTAATGGAAAATATGTAGCAGTAATGGAAGAGATATAAGCAGCACATCTGAAGTGGATGCTCCATCTACCAAAGTACACACTTTATGTCTGAAGTATGAACTTGCAAAGGTAACCATTATTCATATCATAATTTGCAATATTAGCCAGTTAACAAAATAATACATTTTTATTCTTCATGTAACCATTAGAAGACTACTGGTGTACAAAGAAATCCCATTGTCCCTCTCAAGAGAACTGATAACATTATCTTGTAAGTAGGAATAACTGAACATCATTCTAACTTCTTTTAATAGTTGATCATCCTACCTGTCAATGACTTTCGTTCATTAATTAAGTTATTATATCTACCACAAACATCCCAACTTTCTTGGAACAGAGGAAATTCAACCAACTATGATATCTACCAATGATTTATATAAAAGATTAGGAACATAACGAAGCTGTCGAAACTGAACCAAAATCATGAATATTATAAACATGTGCAACTATAAACAATACTTATTTAACGACGATTCTTCGGCTTCAGCAACTGTAAATGAAATGCATCCAGTTCTAAAACTCGGATTATTATTTCTCTGAAACCAATGGTGTTTTTAAATACATACTAAATTACTTATTAAGTTGTCAGTTGATATAAATTACAAAAATTGCATACCTCTGCCATTCTCCACTGAAGACAATGACAACAATGGTGCAGTAACACTGAAGGAATCTTTATGCCATATATAATTTTGACTGTATTTACGGACTACGGACTCCACATTAGACAATGCTACCTTCACGTCCTGTTGTCTTTCTTCATTCGCATTAATAGTGTCTTCAGTCTCAACGGGAAATAAATAATACTCAACAAAATCTTCTTCCCTCATACTTTCAAGTATACCGTCCATACTCAAACAAAAGAATGAATCATCTGAGAGTTAGCTCATAGCCAAGAAACATATAACCCTGGCAGTAACATTTATTCACAAAAAGTAGACTTGTATTTACTTTTTCAAATCTACGGCTTTATACTTATATAATTGAATGAGTTTTCAATGGGAACATTTCTGTATGTTAATTGACTGACGCAGTATAAATATGGCTCCGAGTCGGAATCTTGACAGTAGATGGGTTCGTAGATATCGGGCATTTTTCATCGTAGGTAGTGTAATATTAAGTATCCAAGTCTTCCTTGCGTACAGATTCTTTCCAATTGACGCTGAAGGTGATGAGTCTTCTCAGGAGCATCGAGATCTTTCAGGGAAAGGAGTAAATGTAGAGGTTAGTATTCTACTACGCTGTGTTTGTACCGGGCCCCAATACTTAATTAGAGGGCGGTACTTACGACAAATTGTAATAGTGCTAGACCAACACGGTTTCATTAGGAAAAATATTAATTTATTTTTGCGTCATTCAGCCAAATCCATGGTATAGAAGTTATACTTCATTATAATTTAAAATTTATTTCACCTTTCAGGTTGTAAATGAGGATCTGAATGGTGGAGTTTCATCAAGAAGATTTAAAGAAAATTATTTAGTAGTAGACGATGAAGACAGTCCAAGCAATAGCAATCCAGCAAATGGTTTATACATTAGAAACAAAGTTCCTCCTGATAAATCGGACTTCGTGCTGAGGAGCAATGGGGGTGCCATAGAGAAAGTGCCTAAGTTTAGTAGTAAGGATGGAGGATCTCTTGGACTAAATCGTTCTAGTTTAAGATTAGAAGAATTAGATTTTGTGCCTGTGTGTGATATCGTAGCTAAAGAAGCAATATCTGCTATTCACCGTGCCAAGACACAACTCTGCAAACAGAAACTGTCAAACATCACGTGCCTTATACAGCAAAGGCAGCTGTACCCTCACCACCTTCCCAACTCATGCCCATCACCAGGTAATAATGGAAACTTACATGACATCTATCTATCTGTCTCGCTATGGCCCTACAGTCCTTTTGTTGGAACTTCGCCACTTTTCAGTTTCTTAATGCTATACACAGTCAGTAGAACTCTTTTGTTGTGGAATCAGCCCTTCACAAGGCTGTTACCTAGACACAGAACACCACAAACAGAATAGACACACACACACACAGACATCCATGCTTTGAGTGGGATTCAAACTTGCAATCCCAGAAGTCGAATGGGGCAAAGACATTTCATTCCCTGGAACGTGCGGCCACAGTGATCAGCCGTACATTACATAATTGATCAAAATATAAATATTGAATTTGAATCAGAATTAGTTTTGTCATCAACCTTTTATATATCATATTGCTTTGAATATAAGTGACCCTTGAATTTATGACGCATCCAGTTTTTTATTGTGGGTTTCAGGAAAAAATAGAAAGGCACACTTTCCTCGAATTTGAGATGCACCTTAATTTTTCAACAGAAAAAATGTGTAAAATTGGTATCTTATGTTCAATGTAATATGGTACTTTACATTTACTGTACAAAGATCTTCCCTGTAGGGAAATTTAGAATTTCTTTAATGATCTGCATAATGGGAAAACACACTGGTGTTACTCATATGCACTGATATTCCATACATTCTGCATTTATAATGTTTGCTTTTGAATGTGTGTTCTTATTTAAATTTTCTTAAAATTCATAACAGCATTGTATATTGGTAAGAACTCACTCTAATTATTGTTGAAAATTCTAGATACAGGAGTACCATTACTTGTTTACTATATTCTGGTGTTTTAAATAATTAAGATCCACGATATATTAATTATAATGAGCGGGGGCATGACAACTTGCTGTATTCAGAAGCTAGTACCTGCAGACACTGACTTAATGAGATCCAAACTTGACTTTCATATGCTCATTCTTTTCTTATAATGTTGGTCTCATGAAGGGACTAGCATCAGAAGCTCAAGATGAGCAACATTGTTATGGGCTTGACCAATTCAGTGCACAAAATTTGTGTCAATGTACTAATTATAATTATTGGTGCCCCAACATGTTGCTTGAGGTGGATGAATGTTCATGTACTGGGTATAGAAACCAGAGGGGACAAGTTTTACTACAGTAATATATGTTCTGATGCATATGTCATCAGACCATCTATTTGTAGTCCCAGTCTGTGCTGGACGAATATTATACAGAAATGAGTATAATGATACAATGTGAATGGCAGAATATTATGGCTACATCGTCTCAAGGTTATCCATTCATTCCATTCACTCTGTAGATTCACCTGCCAATGGTTCATACCCGATTAATTGAATCCCTATCATCAAAAGCAAAATTACAGGACATGAAGCAGTGGGGAGCTCACTGACATGTTGGGCTTATACTTATGTGAGTTGGTTTGATGTGACAATAAGCTTCCAACGGGAAGAACTCTTATGGCATGACGTGTGGGCTATACACTCACGCTCATATTTGAGGACTTGAACCACAGTTGAAAAGTCTGCAGCTTGAGGTTGCAGTCAATCAAAATTATCAATGCTGAGTGTGCAGTTTCAATAATGGGTTAAAACCACTGAGAATTCCATGGACTTGATTTCAATTGATAGTTTGTCATTTTTCCAAGAGTTATGGACCACTGCAGTCCTAATTTGTGATGGTAGATGAGGATGCTGTCATCTGTTTATGTCCACTTGTGGGGTCTATGGGGAGAGTGAAGAAGTAGGAATTCATGTCTTCTTGGAGCTTCCCTTGGGCCAGCTTTTCAGAACTCTCACTCTCATGGATTTACAACTGTGAAAAGTGTGAAGGTTTCTAGTAGTGAGCTATGCGTATGAGTATGAAGGGTGAGCCATAAAACCGGCCCTTGCACTGCGACCTTCAGTGATCTATTGTGCTTCCCCTTTGGATTAATCCTACACTTTGAATGAAATGTAGAACTTTATTTATGGGGGCGACATAAAAGTCACTTAGTTCAATGAAGAACTGACCCAGGTGGCGATATCTTAGGTTAGCTATAGCCCCACAATCACATAAGATGTGTGTGGCTGATTCATCTTCTTGTAGGCACCTTTCACAAGTTAGGTCATCTGTCAGTCCCAGTTTGAAAAGGTGTCCATTTAGGTGTCAGTGTCCAGTAAGTAAGCCTAGTAGTGAACTAACTTGTTCGCTTAGTTTATTTTGACCTCAGTAAATTACAGTTTAAAAACTACTGAAATCAGTGATACATGTTTCATGTTGAATGGATTTTTGTCTTATAGAAATGTTTTAACAACATCCAGCTTTATATAATACAAAATCAGAAAAGTGTTGTAACAAGATTTGGAGAATTAAGGTTATGATGCTCTCATAACATATGCTGGTTTCCAAGCCAGAAGGATGCACCAAAAAATTACAGAACATGAAATAGAAATGTTTTAACAACATCCAGCTTTATATAATACAAAATCAGAAAAGTGTTGTAACAAGATTTGGAGAATTAAGGTTATGATGCTCTCATAACATATGCTGGTTTCCAAGCCAGAAGGATGCACCAAAAAATTACAGAACATGTGAGGATGTATCTGAAAAGAATTATGGAATGTTGAAAAATCATTTAGAAGTTTCTTTGGAACCATATTTGTGCTACTTTGAATTACTTTTGTTGACAAAAAGATCAGGAGGACATGCTAGTTACCAGCATTAAAAGCAAATTGTTACTTGAAGAGCAGGTGGAAGATGAGCCAGAAACTTGAGTACATGGCAGATCAACAAACAGAGCAATGAGTAAGCTTAAGAATTCAATTATGAACATTTTCATATCTGTTTCTTACATATCGGTGTTTAAGGCAAATAATTTAATTGTTTCAAGCTTTACTCTTTTGTACCATAATATTTTGCCATTCAAGCTTTCCTGCTCCATTAAAGAAATTGCAATACTTTTGCATATTGTTCTTAGCTTATTCTTTTGCTGTCCTATGTGATCTACATGTAAAGGAATAAGTACTCCATTCCCACCATTCTAACAATTTCCAGCTTCCATTTCATGAGCTATTCTACTGGCTCCATTAAAAGACTTCAGTTATGCTAGTTCTTCTCTGAACGTTGGGTGAAGCACATACATAAAATACAGTGATGCTTTCAGAATTTATAGCCAGGCTGATGTAAAACTGTCAAAAGTCTGATCTGCAGCCAGGGCCAAGAATAATGTACTGTATATTTTTAATATTCTGCAGAATGTGTTATTCTGTAATAATGGTGTAATGAATATTTTGACACAAAATTGTGTACAGATATCTATTCTAGTTACATAGTAGTGACACAGCCAAGTGGAGGGGTGTGGTGTCATCGAGTGTTCAGTGTTTTGTTAGGGGGTCTATGGCCACAAAAAGTTTGAGAATCACTGGTCTAAATCGTAAAGCTGACAAACCAAAAATATTTTTGGCAATATTGGTTGATCTTATTAATAATTAGTAATTAAATACTTTTTCTCATGCATTACAGTTTTTTGGGAGTAAGGCTTCAAAATGCAGAGATAAATCCGTATCACCAATTATCACAAAGTTATCATTCTCATGGATTTCTTCATTATTGGGAATATTTTAATTGGTCATGAAGTGATATCCATTCCAGTACACCATCACACATGGTTCTGTGCATCGACATAAGTAAACTTGTAGTTAGGATTGGCCAGTGCTGTTAAAATAATGCTGTAGAATGTGTCTAACCTGAATTGGGTGATGGCACAGTTCTTACATGTTTGCTATACATAGCACATCCACAGTTAATAAACTACTAATGATTCTTAAATCATATTATTATTATCATTTATTATCATTCAACAATCCATACATACAGGTATTACAATCATTTGGATAAGGAAATTGTCAGTTTTACATCTAATTCTTGTGCATATCTTTACAGTATACTCGTACACTGTACCACCCTAATATAAGGGGTTTGTTGTCTGAATAATACAGTGCGTACAATCAAGTGCGCGCCGCGGCTGCAATTTGCCATGAGTCATACCACCGCAGAACGGATGCAGTCGCGGGGAGGAGCTGCANCTTAAATGAGTTAAAATTTTCCCTTTGTCTTATTTGACTGGGGACCTTATTATACCAACTAATTCCCACACATATCGCACTCCTCTTAAAAAGAGCTGTATTACAGTGGTGTACATGAAAATTTAATTTTCTTCATGTGTTATATTTATGAATGTCCGAATTTATTGCCATAAAAGCCTTGTATTTTTTGATAAAGCATGTCACCTCCAATATATATGGAGAAGGCATTGTTAAAACATTGTAATCTTTAAAAATTTGTCTACATGATGTGCAACTACTAACATACAGTTACTAATTTCCAATATTCGTTTGTTTGAGGGAACTGCAAAAATAAGGATAACGGCAATGTATTATGACACATCAGTTATTTAAAAAAAATCAGTCAAGCCCGAAAAGAGATCATCTGTACTCTTACTATGCAGGCAATGAAGGAATATCCGGACATTGTACACTAAAACACAGCCAGATGAAATGTGACTGCTCACTGCATGCTGGTTTCTTGCTTGGCTTCCTTTTTGACCCTGAAGATGGAAGCAATTTATTCTTCTGAGAAGCTGGTTGACTTTCACTGGACTACACAGCATTATATCCTAGAGGACAGAGCACTTCAAAATGGATTAATATTTTCTGCAGCCTTGCTGTGGCTTTTATGTCCTCTTATCTTGCAGAATTTGTTTTTCTGTTCTCATAGTGTTTGCCTTAAACATCCAAAGGCCATTATAAGATCAGGGCAACAAAATTGAATTTAAGAAAGAGATCAATTAATTTTTATTACAGCAAGGTTCCAATTGACTCTCTAATGACATACAAGTCAGTTGTAGACTTGTAGCTTATTTATATGACCCAGTCCTGTCTGAAACACATTTGGTCTTGTGAATGAAATTCTAATATTATTGTATTTATTACTGAGGCTTGTCTTTGTGTGTGTCTTATTATATTTCTAGGTTTCACTGCAGGAAAATCTTTAGGTTGCTACAGAGATGAAAAGACTTTCCGGTTGCTTTCTGGATATTATGCAAACCTCAAAACTACAAACTCACCAAAACACTGCATCAACATGTGCCTTCAGTCAGGATATCCTTATGCTGGTGTACAATACTCGTAAGTGTATGAATTCAGTGTTTCTCTATTGTGTGATGGAATGTTGTTCATTTGTGTAATAAAGTTATATTAAGAAGTTATAAGTCAAGAAGTTAAGGAAGATAGTTAGTTATTGGAGAGGGTGGGTTTCCCCATGCACTTAGACTGGTATTGGTCCATTGTGCTTCACTCTATGATATTCTACCAGTCTCTATACTCTGCCGATACTGGTGCTTACCATCAGCCCCGATCAAGCCAGCGAGTTCGGCCTCTACTGGCTTAGTGGTATCTACAATACTTCCCCCATCTATCAGAGGCATTAGAGACTACTGTTGAGTGGGAAATGTCCTTGAATTTAGCTCAGTGACCTCCTTAGGAGATATGAGGTTCTTTTACGTGCCGTAAAGCTACGATACAGGACCCATGGCTTAAAGTCCCTCCCGGAGGACTTGTTCCCTGAATTTTTCCACCCTTAAAAATTCCATGACCTCCGCCGGGTTTGAACCCACGTACTACGAGTCATGAGGTGGGAACGTTACCTCTAGACTACGGAGGCTGCTAGTTAAGGAAGATAGTAAAGATGCGTGTTGTGTCAGTATAGGAAAACCTATCACCATTTACATTAATGAATTTCACAGTAGACATCCCTTTTGAGATAGAACAGCCCTCATCCTGATTAGGAGTTGCAGTGGGACTCATGTTTATCTTTTCTCCATATTGATTTTTACCATTCTTGAGTGCCATGTGTAATGTTCTGTTACTGTCCTTACCTCTCAGTGAGACTTCAAGCCTCACAGGTTGGTCGCCACTTTATGTAACTGTCCACTTCGTTGGGCCCCTTACGTCTGGCGTCACTTTTATAACTGTTGTCACTCACTCAGTGATGTTCAAGCCCCACAAGTTGGTCGCCACTTATAACTCGCCATCACGTTCGCCCCTTTGTTGTCTGCCCTTTTATCTGCCGCTTCCTTGTTGCTGTCTGGTTCAGGTTAGGGTGTGGGATTACTCTGAATTTGGATTTTTATGGGCGCCAGTGGACTTGGGTGAAATCCACGAATTTGGAACGAGGAAAACAAGGGGGGGATATGGATAGGTGGGCATTTGGGGTTCTGACTGCTCAGACGGTAGGACGAGATTCTGTCTCAGGACGACTTCTGGGCCTTGCTCACACAAGGAGAGAGAAAACACTTAAAACACACGCTTCACCCACTGTTGCTTTTTATTATAGATGTGAACTAGAATTACACATTACACGGCTGTAGCACTTTGAATTTGTACACCGGACTCGGCCAACACCAATTTAACGTCCGGGAGGTTACTCCTGTTACTCCCTTTTGGCTACTGACTCCTCTTATTCCCTTTTTGCGACTAACCCCTGTTACTCACTGTTGATGACTCACTCCTGCTATTTGCTTCTGATGACTGACTGCTCTGGAGAGGCAGATGTCCTGACGGTTCCGGGAATGCCTGGTATCCTATCCTCTGAAATTTTGCTGATTGGCTGAACCTAAAATTTGGTTGTTACCATTCCGCCAATCCCTAACAAGATCCATGTTAATTTGGGCCTAAGTACAACACGCTCCTTCTGACAGCTCTCAAATAAATGAAGGTACACTAATGATCGCTCGGTACACCTCTCTGAAAATTATTGCGACTCGTATCTGTCAAGTCTCAAATTTTCAAAGACTCGCACCATCGAAGTTAAGCATTGAAATTCCCAGAAAACACAGCGGGATACTTCCTGCTCCATTCTGGGGGTTTCAAGTGACCTGCAGCTTGCTTGTCCCTCAGAAAGACCAGATGTTGTCCTTGGCGTCTGCTGGTGCTGGGGTCAATTCTGTATCATCTTTTGTTAACAGTAGTACAGTTCGTTTACATGTAGTCCATTGTAATTAAGAATGTAAATGAAAAACATTGTGGAGGTTCCTGCATGGTGCAGTTACAGTTCTGTAGTCACCTGTTTTAGCTTCTCAGTGGGCCCCTTCTGCATGCTAAATGCCCAGTACATCATCCCCATATTCACCATGACATTCACATTTTTGGGTCATGCTACATCCATTTGTGTTTATCATAATAGTCCCTCCTCTTCTTCTAGGTATATCTGTCACTTAGAAATTAAGGTCCTGTAAATTTATTAAACAACTCTTGTCTTGTCATCAGGAATCTTTCCTGTCTTTCTTCTACTGTCCCATGGTTTCTGCAAGATTTCCAACTTGTGTGTCTGAACTGGGAACTACAAACTAGAGTTGTGTGGGCTATTCTCAGTGACCTCTGTCTCAAGGTCTAAATGTGGAATCCAGAACTCAAGTCATGTACATCCACATAATGCTCCATTCATGGTTCAAACAGCTTACAAATGCCAACAGTTATTGGACTGTTCGTTTTCCTGTGCTGTTCTGACTTATACCTGCTGGTGGGAGCTGCACTGTAATCATTAGGGAACCACATGAAACCACACAGACCACATAGACAATTCCCATTGTACAGTGTAAGACTGAAAGAACTGCTAACATGAATTCTAGGGTACTACTGTAAAAATGCTGGCTCCACATTTTTTAACATTCAGACTAGCCTTTACTGACAAAAAATGTGCAACATTAATCCATTCTACAAGCAGAAAACCATGGATGCAGTTTGTGGCAATTTGAAATAATGCATCCCAGAGAACAGAGCAATCTTGATGGAGGTCTGTATTCAAAATCAAGCATAGATGCTGTTGATTACCAAGTTCTGAGGTTCTTTTCCTGAGCATGTCGAGAGACCTACCTCTCACAGTTCCTTCGTTGGGTCACAAGGAATGTCCCCTTGGATGGCATGTCTGGCAAGGAGGTATGAGGTGGTATCAGAAAGTTCCCAGACTGTTATTGTTGTAACTGCCTCGATGAAAGAAGATGAGAGGAGAGGCCAAGGTCACACTTCAAAAGTCTACTGCATCAGTCTGCTACATGACACTGCACTGTGAACAAGTACTGTTTTTACAAGAATGCTTTTTTGACTTCATGTTTTGTTTCATCTGAGAATGGATGACAAAATCAAGCAACATGTTGCATCAAGTTTTGTGTGAAGCTTAGTAAATCTGCTACTGAAACCCTTGGAATGCTTCCTGAGGATTTTGGAGAACGTTCTTTAAGCTGGACAGCAGTTTTTGAGTGACACTAATGTTTCAAGGCCGATGAAGTGTCAGTTGAAGATGACAGACATTCAGGGTGACACTAGCACAATAACAGAAAATGTTGAAAATTTTGAGAATTCATCAACAGAGACCATCACTGAACAGTCCATGAGCTCACAGTCTCCGCTGGGATCAGTTATGGAGTTTGCCAGAAGTTCTTGACAGAAAATTTGAACATGCGCCGCATTGCTCCTTCATCATGTCAACATGCCAGCCAAGACATCCCTGGAATCTGCAGAGTCTGTGACTAACAACAACATGGTTATCATTTCCCATCCTCCTTACTCACCGGACTTAGCCCCCTGTGATTTTGCTTTGTTTCCCAAATTGAAAATGGAACTGAAGGGATGACATTTTGAAACAGTGTCTGACATGGAAAGGGAATCGCAAGCAGTACTTGACAGCATTGAGGAAAATGGCTTCCACAGTGCTTTTGAAGCATGGAAAAATGGTGGAATCGCTGTATACGTTCCCAAGGAAACTATTTTGAAGGAGATGCCAGCCAAAATTCAGTAAGTTAAGCTAGCATTTTTTTGACCTAGTCCAGGAACATTTTTGATAGCACCTTGTGCAGTCTGCTTACATTGATTTTCCATTTGGAAGGCCTACACATTAATCGAGATGAAGGTTAATAGATAATTCCCCCATCTTACTGTCTTTCTGACTTTTTATGTCCCTTCTTGCCAGCATTATCTATGTTAAGTATGTCCATGAGAGAGAAATTTGTGTTCACACACCTTTCAATCAGTCACATTCACTTAACACGTGGACATTTTTTCATAATGATACAGCACACACTAGTCCACAAAGTGATGCTCTTCTTACTGTTTCCCATATTATTACTGAATTCTTGTCTTATAATTAAGAACATCATGCATTTCATTTCCATATCACGTTGCATGACATCCTTGGCAATGGTCACTGTAACATTCTTGTATTCATGTACAATGTAGGTCTTGACAGATCTGTTTAATGCATGCTGTTTTATGTAATTTTTATGTTTGGTCCTTCTGTGCTACAGAAATACATATATCTGTGGTACTGTATTAGCACAGTTTTATAAGGTCTTAATTACAGGCCCCTGTGCACCCTCATAATGTACTACTGATGTGAGAGTAGCCTGTCGGTTTTATTTATGATTTTACCGTCCAACCATGCACATGCCATGTATTAATTTTAGCATTTATTTGGTTGTGGATCTATATATGGAAATTAAACAGGCACAGATGGCCTTACATGGTGATATGCAACTAAATCCACATCTGCAGCATCCACCAAGCTTCCAAAGAAGCCTGATAAGGATGTTAGTGTGTAAACTTTGTATCAAGTTTGCTTGCATGCAAGCGCATCAGTATTGAGTCATTCTGTGAAGGAATATCTGAATGAAATTCAGTTTTTTAAACATTTGTGTTTCTGCAGTTGTAAAATTGTTATATACACATTGTTTATATATTGTAAATAGAACAGTATTCTGTAGTGAACAAAAATGTTACCTCTATCACTTAAAAAATTACATTATTTAAGATTCTGGAAGTATTTTCAAACCTGTAATAATCTTCTCAAGAGATTACCTTTGTCAACTTTGACATGACTGATTGTCCAAGAAGATTCTAGATTACAATACAGAGGTTATTTAAACAGGCCAGCTTTGCAGTATGATAATTTAGTAATAATCTGTTTCTTTTCCCACCAAGGATAAATTCCATCGTGTGATCTTGCTGCCTGCCAATACTCACTTTGTCAGTCTAATTTTACCATATTCAATGATTGGAGCTTTGGCCAAAGAATTTATATTTCTTGTTTGGAAAATTACTGTCCTTTTAAAAATGCAGTAACTTTCCTATGACCAGATATTCAGGATTGTGAGTTTGATATGTGGGTGTAATTCATCTTTCTTTTATAAGAGATTGTAATGAATAGTAATCATCTCATATATTTTAGAACTGAATGTTTCTGTGGGAATGAGGAACCTCCGTCCGCATCACGCCGCCCTGACTCATCTTGTAACATGAAGTGCCCAGCTGACCCCAGAGAAGCATGTGGTGGTTACTTCACTATCAATGTCTATGAAACAGGAATTGCAAGTAAGTAGTAATTTACTGTGACAGGGAGAGGTTACAAAACTACAAAGGTGTGTAAAAAAATACNCAGTTCCTTTTTGGTAGTGATACTAATTTGTGGTTTAGTTTCATCAGTGCAGATTTTTCAATTGCCCTGGATATTCTATATATCTGCACTTTAACCTCAACATATGTTGGTGTTAATGGCCATGCACAGAACATGCGTGAGTATGAGCCATGTTTATATTCACTGATAATGAAATCGGAACCAAAACAAAACAACCAAATAGGTAGGTCCGGCAGTAATATTCTAGACTTAGATTTTCACTGTTTTTCCCAGTCCCTCCAGGTAAATTCCAGGATAGTACCGCAATTATGTGGTGCCCACTTCTTGCCATAACCTTTTCATGTCATCGTTCATGAATCGCTGTCTCATCCAGCACTATGTAGTCTGATACTGTATCATTAAGTCACCGACTCACTAACCGACAGAATTATTTAAGAACCTGGCATTAATATTGCCATCAAAAAAGGTAATACAAATTGAGACATAACCAGTTCTAATGCTAATACAAAACTAATAATATAAAGGAGAGAACTCCGTGTCTGAACAAAACCTAGCAGCAAACCACAGTCTCTGTAAACATTGGTATATTGGCTAAGGTGTAGGAAAGAGAGGTGCATGCATGTCAGCATGTTACCGCCAATGCCACCATGGTCAGCTCATGCAACAATATAATCACATTGATTACCTCCTCCCTCTGTCCTCACTACAAACCCCACCCCCTTCCCCCAGTAATTGCGTTCCTACCACATCCCTTGCAGCATATACCAGTTTTCCTTCCAAACAGTACTTGATCAATACCTACATGAGTATAAATAGAAAAACTAAGCCAATAATACATAAAAGTTTTCTTAATGCTAATGACAGTTTCAAGTTTTTAGTGATCTGTGGTGTTTACAGTTTCCAGCCAACATCTATATTGTGTACACAGTCTGCACATATACAAAAACTCATAATGGCAAATCCTAGAGAACCAAGCAAGAAATGGCTTTGAACAAATTGAGTAAGAATTATGTCCTCTGGTCTCCTCATTAAGTGACTTTTATATATCATTATTTTGTGCCAGTTTTACTAATTTTTATTCAGTTAATTTTATATTTGTGGGTAATTGTTATTGCATAATAAATACCTGACACAGAAGTGGATCTGTTAGGCAAATGACATACTTGCTAGATATAGGTTCCGTCATAATAGAAAAGTTTATGCATATGTTCAATATTTAAGGACCTCAGGATGGCTTAAATTTGTTGAAATACATCACCTTTCTTTTATAACCTAATGAGACAGTGTACATTGTGTGACAGAATTTTTTATATATCTCTGTTGATTGTTGCAACACTATACAATCACCCAGCATGAATTCTGGACCTGTCCCAAACTTACTGAAGTTCAAATATTTTGTAAAGATTCTGTGGGTGAAGACACTTTCCAGCAGTGAACCGTGACAGCTTCGCACAGAGCTATAAACAACATACGAACATATCACTCTTAACCTTTATCGGACGGGCTTTTAAATTGCCGGTAGCCCCTGTATGGCCGGGATTTAAATCGCCTTTATTGAGGATCTTTGCAAACCTTGAGAAAAAAATACATATTTTCCGTTCTATGCAACATAGAAATATGAACTAAAAAGAATCTGAAATACAAGAGAATTTTCTACATATATGTAAAAGATCACGTTTTAAAAATGAAAATTAAATCCCCTGTCTGTGGTTTTCCATCGCGAAGCTATCGGCAAAAATTAAAAATTCCATAAAAATTGATAGCAGCATGCCAGAATTATGCAGTTTTGGTCTCCCCTGTTCTGGTTACATTCCACACCATGCCAGTGACGCGGGGTCTAGGCCACTGAGTGTTATGAGAGGAGNTATAGTAGGATTTATATTATATTTTTTCATATGGTTATCATCTAATTTCATGAAACCTATATGCAAGCATCATATCTACTTTGTGGATAATATTCAAGGGTTATTGTATTAATAGCTATGTTTCTTTTATTATAGAATTTACGCCTCAAGTGCCAAGAGAAGTTGCAGAGTCTGAAGAACCTCCAGTGAGAATTGCCTTCCTTTTGACTCTGAACGGACGAGCATTACGTCAAGTGCGACGGCTCATCAAAGTCTTATTTCACAGGGACCATTTCTTCTACATTCATGTTGATGCTGTGAGTATTTGGCACACATCAGATTTGTATCCTTCTGGCTTGCATGTAGTCCAACCATTTATTTACTCTTTCCATTAAGTTTTGTCCTTCTTTATTTCTAAGTTCAAATTCACTATTTTAACAGCTGATGGCTCTTATTGTTGGTTCTTTAGATTTCCAAGGTGAGGTTAGGGTGTTTTTGCTTTATATCAGTGTGAAACCCTTATTGTGGGCTTTTACAAAACATTACTATGCTCCATTTACTGAGGGAATTATAGTGTGTTATTTTCAGTTTGTGATATAGATCATTATGTCGTAATTGGGAATTTACTAGATTCTGTTGCCAGCACATATCTGGTATTCATATGCTGCTGGGAAATTCATGCATATTTACACAGGGCTTTACTTCTGCGAGGTTGACTATGCAAGGTGTAACACACCCTGTCAAAACAGTTTTATATCTCCACAAATTTAGATTTCACCCTAATTTCACTCCATTTTTAAGTCCTGACAATGGAAATTTACCCATTTTTAAGTTTACAGCATTCTATTCAGAACACTTGAAGAAACACCATGCCATTGGACTCGTGTTTAAGGATTGTTCCAGTAAACTAGGCACATTTTTGCATATGAAAGTTTTTGAACCTCGGAGGAGAAAGATGTACATACGAGGGGGTACCCAAAAGAAACCGAACTTATTTTTTTTTTAAACTTATTTATTCAAATTTTAAGCACAAACCTTCAATCCCCTTCAAAGTACTCTCCACTTACACTAATACACTTGTCTAGTCTTTTATTCCATTTTTCAAAACATTGTCTAAATTCATCTTTTGAGATGCTTGACAGCGCCTCCGTCGTTTTTTCCTTCACCTCAGCAACATCAGCAAAACGCTTTCCTTTCATGTCTCTTTTCATTCGAGGAAACAAAAAAAAAGTCGCACGGGGCAAGGTCGGGTGAGTATGGAGGGTGAGGAACAGGGGTCATACCATTTTTGGTCAAGAATTGTCATACAGACAGGGCTGTGTGAGCAGGGGCATTGTCATGATGGAAAAACCAGTCACCCGACTGCCACAAATCTGGCCACTGAGCTCCAAGTCACTCCCGACAGCTCCACAATTTCTTCAATGGTCCGTCGTCGATCTTCCTTGATGATTTCACGAATTTTTTCAACATTTTCATGTGTTCGGGCCGTGGAAGGACGACCAGAACGAGGTTTGTCATCAATTGACATTTCACCATTTTTGAAATGGGAAAACCACTCAAACACTTGAGTTTTCCCCATAGCATCGTCCTTGTACGCCGTTTTTAACATTTCAAGAGTTTCTGTTCCACTTTTCCCAAGCAAAAAGCAGAATTTCACCGCCGCACGCTGTTCACGAAAATCAACCATTGCAAAAACGACGATCACACAAAACAGTTGTCACTATAAACTCTGCTGAAACTAGTCCTTACCTTCTGAAGCAATGGTAGTCGGCTTATCGACTCAGGAATGTTAGCTCTACGCGCTCATAGTGGCAAAACGCGGTACTACAAACGCTCTGCCCACATAAAAATTAGTTCGGTTTCTTTTGGGTACCCCATCGTAGTGACAGCTCAAGAAAAAAAGAAATACAAGACTTTCTGTGACTGCTTAAAGAAATTATATGGTATGTTTATGTGTGTTTGCATTTACATTGTAATTATATTCAGACATGTGTATTTTAAGTGGCTTGCCAAAGATGAAATAAAGCAGTGGACATATTTATATTGCATCATTTTTATTTCCCTGATTTTACATTTCCTCAATTTATGTTTATTTTAGTTGGTCCCTTCAAAAATATGAAATCAGGATTTTGCTGTATATGAGGGCAGATAATGTTTGATAAGGATACATTCTGCACAATTATGCTTTATACTAGTAAGCATTCTGGTTTGCTTTCTTGCCATAATTTTATCTTACATTTATGTAGCATGTACAGGTATTCCTTATTTTATTGTAATAGAAGTAAAACAATGTAATGATGAATAATATGATAAAGTCAATACAGGTCAGCAGAAATATAAAATGTGAAACCAATTTTATGTTTTGGCTCCTGCAAAATAAAGAACTTGGACATGCTGCCAGAGGTAAGAACAAAAGTTGGAGTTACTATTCTGGGCAAGCGGCCTCCGTAGTCTAGAGGTAACATTCCCACCTCATGACTCGTAGTACGCGGGTTCAAATACCCGGCGGAGGTTGTCGAATTTTTAAGGGTGGAAAAATTCAGGGAACAAGTCCTCTGCGAGGGACTTTAAGCCGTGGGTCCCGTGTCGTAGATTTACGGCACGTAAAAGAACCTCGTTTCTCTAGGAGACCTCTGAGCAAAATTAGGCAACATTTCCCGCCCAAGTAGTTTCCAATTCCTCAGGTAGATGGGGAAAGTATTAGGTACCACTGCCAGAGGAGGGGGGACCTCTCTGACAGAAAGGGACTAACTATTAGATACCACTACCAGAGGAGGTTGGAACCTTGCTGGCAGAAAGGGGCTGATAGTAAGCACCAGTACCGGTAGGGTATGGAGACAGTAGAAATTAAAGGGGGACACACAATGGACCACTAACCGGTCTAAGTGCATGGGGAAACCCACCCCCTCAGTACGGAATACGAATACTATTCTGGGCTCACAGCTGTGGCCATGGTTGCATTAGTAACAGAAAGCAAGGGGCTGGAGTTTCATTAATTTCCTACCTGTCCTTATCACCTGCAACACATATCAGACTTCTCAAATATGGTCACAGACACCAGACCGTAACAGTATTTGTAGGTTTTGCCCATGAAGTATACAAGTCGTAATGATGGTACTGCAGTAGAAATTATAATAACTTCTAGAGCAGTTGTTCATGCAGCTTCAGTTATTTGTCCTCCATGAATTTAAGCAGACAGAGAAGATATGAAAAATAAACTAACATAAATATGAAAAACTTGATGCCCAGCAACTCAAGTGGTGTCTTTAATTTCTGTTTAGTCCAATTCATGGTTTTGTGTGTGAGAATGTATGAATCTAGAGATGATGTACTAGGGAAATAATTAAATTATTTAACATGAATTTTTGTAGTTTGTGTCCATTACCTGATACAGTTTGAATCATTAAATTATTGAGTTTGAGGTGGACATAGCATGACATAAAAATAAAGAACTTTATGCCCAACAATTAAAGCAAAATCCTCTTGCCAATAACATTCATCAGAGGCATTAAATTTGTATTTGCTTCATCTGAATGTATAAATCTAAGAAAGATCATTTAAAAGGAAATCAGTGAAATTACTTAAAGAAGAGCATTGTAGTTTGTGTTCTATACCTGATATAGTTATAAATATAAACAAATGAGGTTATGGACACAGCATGTAGATTGAATAAAGTGCGTAAGAAGTTGTACAAAATGTTAGTTGGAAAATGTAATAATAACACACCACATGAGAGCTGTACGTTCAGGTAGGATTATGTTGCTGTGAAAGTCATGAAACAAACACATGGGAAAGTTCAGGGTTGGGTCTTCTGGTGGGCTTTTACATTTTTTTAAGAGAGGGGTTTTACTTCAGAAGGTTTCATGCTCGGTACATGTAAAAGTTATTTTTTTACCTTTTGATATATACTGTCTTATTTCTGTAATTCTCTGACTTATGCAAATTATGTTGATAGATTCTAAATAGAATGAAGCACTTCATTCTAAGGGACTGAATTTATTGAGATACTGCTATACAACTTAAAATGTAATCATTTTAAGAACTGTAATGTTTACACAGTAAAAATGTATTGTGTAAAAAATAAAAATCAGTGCTAGATGTAGTCCATCAAAATGGTCAGGTACCAAAATTTAGAGGTACAGTTTTGGATTTGGAATTGGACTAAACTTACCAAAGATTTGCTTACTGCCATGGACAATGAAGACAATGTCTGTTCAGTTTGCGCACACAAACACATAGTGTTTTCTTCCCACAAATAACACTCCTTGTACTAGAAGTCACAGGCAGTGTGCTTTACTTTTTAAGTTCTTAACAGAAGAAAATCCTTCAGAATATAAGAAATAACATCTCTAGGAAAGTCACAAGAGAAATCAAGATTTCAGTTCTAAATTTATAACTTCACGATTCCAGCTCTTGTTCATTGGACTCTTGCATATGTCTCCTAATTGGAAAGAATTATTAGTCACTTCCAACCTCAGGTATCAAGTGACATAATTATTATTTATTAACGAAATGGTTATTGTTTTTCTGAAAAGTTTGTTACCAGCTACTATACCTGTTAATCTGTCAATTCATGCACACTGTGTTTCTACCTCCTAACATGGTAGATTGTAGTATTATATTATGATCCTTGGCTAATTTTAGAGTAGAAATGTCACATTTTGTGACATGTAACATGTAATTTTCTTTGGTATCTTGGCAGAGACAAGATTATTTGTACCGTGAGTTGTTGGTTCTTGAACGCAGCCTTCCAAATATTCGCCTTGCTCGCCATCGCTACGCCACCATCTGGGGAGGAGCCTCACTATTGCAGATGTTGCTTGCATCTATGAATGAGCTGCTGGAGTTAGGTTGGGACTGGGACTTTGTCATTAATCTTAGCGAGTCTGATTTCCCAGTGAAGTGAGTAAATATTGTTGTACACTCTACTTATGTTTTAAAACTTACAAAAGGTGTGTCAAATTTGTCTTTAACCCTTTCACTAGTTATGATAGAACATTCCATCATATTCCAACAATAACATAATGGGTATGATATACCATTACATACCCTTGCAATCTTACGTAGCTCCTGGATATGATAAGCTGGAACATTACTGTTGTAAAAGTTGGAATTTCATAGTTTAGATGTCAGCACTGAGGAGGTGACACAGCTTGATACCTGCCAACTATCCAGTTTTTCTTCATTGCATGTGCTCAGGTGACATTTGATATCGTGCCATGTAGATTCAAGCTTAAGCATCTAAATAAGGGCATTTTTGGACTTTAATAGATTCTCAGCAATATGATGCACAAACAGTATAACATTAGTTTGTGGTAGGATCATTATGACATTTTTAAATACTGAATATTTTACACTGTAAAATCTCAACTAATATGCAGGAAAACCAAAACTAAGATGTAAAAAGTACTTATAAGATCAGTGCTATCTTATGCCTCTGAGATCTGACCGCTGTCAAGATCAGATGAAAGACTGTTAAGTGTATTTGAAAGGAGGATCTTGAGATATATCTTTGGACCAGTGGAAGAAAATGGAATATGGAGGGAGAGGTATAACCATGAGCTATACAAACTATTTAATGAACCAGACATTATTGGATTTATAAAGGTGAAAAGGCTTGAATGGGCTGGACACATAATATGTCCTACTGAGAATAGAATGATTAAGAAAATATTTAATACTAAACCAGAAGGAAATAGGAAAGTGGGAAGACCAAGATTGAGATGGGAAGAATGTGTGTGGCAGGACATAAGAATTTTGGGTGTAAAGAACTGGAGGAATGTAGCATCGAATGGAGAAGAATGGTGAGCAATCCTGAGGAAGGCCAGGGCTCACAAAGGGCTGTTGTGCCAGTGATGATGATGATGAAATTTGTATAACTGAGTAGGATAAACATTGAGTTTATTTGAATAATGAGTTGCTTTTTTATGTAGTAGTAACTGAGAAGTAAAAGTAATGTCATGTTACAGATTTAGTGATATTAAAGTAAAATATGCTTGAGTCACATTGCGAAACTTGGTTGGCCAACTCATGGCATACTTGCTGCATAGGGCCCATCACCTGGATTTGTGCAGCCTGTGAGAGGTCTTTCTGTTCCCCAAAATGTATGTCATTGGTGTTCTTCCCCTTTATAAGGTGGTGAATAATCTTGCCAAATAGAAATTTACAGACAATACTGATTTGTGGTATATAACATTAAAATATATTAACACTTCGCGGACTGGTGATTTAAATATTTAAATCATCCTGGGGACCGGCGTTTTTAAACCTACTACCCTAAGGCCCCCCGTACACACACAGTTTGGCCTTCCGATCGACCTTACAGGCAAAACTGTGACAGTTTACCCCATCCCTTTCCTCCCCATACACGCGCAGATAAAGCGGCAGGCTTCATGCCACAATCACGGTCTTCCAGCCTATAATGTTGAGTCACACACGTCACGTGCTATGGTCCTGCAGGCAGAACTGACCGACTGACGGGTTTCCCACAGGCCAACAGTCCAAATGATTGGCCGGCCGGCCATACCACACATGTCAGTTTTGCCTTTCAGTCTTCAACTGTGCAGGCCGAACTGGAGGCCAAACTGTGTGTGTATGGGGGGCCTAACTTGTGCGCTGTTCACTTTAAAAATTAATATAAAATCTCCTAATTAATTTTATGAACTAAAATTTTTGGAGAAGACTTACCAGAGCTCATAGAAGTGCTTCAGAGTGTGATATTTCTGGAAACATTCCCCTCTGTGAAGAGGCATGACGCAGATCTTGCAGACATAGGAAGTCTGGCTTTGCTTCTTGTGCACAGCGCACACACAGCACTGCCTAGAAGGATACTTCCTCATCGATTGTTCGCTCATCACAATTTTCACGAGGGTATGTTTCCGCATATCACCCGAGAGTCGCCCAGGGGGCTCCATATGAGGCCTCTGTGGAGTGGGAGTAGATGGTCCCGGCCATACTACATCTGTGTCTGACGCAGGTTCTGCCGCCACCATGAGGTCTGTAGCCCCGGCTTTTGCCACATTCATGAGAAATGCCTTGTATTTCAAAGTTGAATTTTCGTTTAGCTCTTTGAAAACCAAAAATGAATTGAAAAGGGCACAATTTATAAGCCACAAGCCAACTTTCTTCGTCCATTTTACTGTTTTCGTAGGAAGGGAATAATAGGCCAAATATTGGTCGGCTCTATCAACTCCCTTCATGAACATATTGTACTGAGAAATACAAAGAGGCTTCTTCTTCACTTGCCCGTGTTGTCTTTGAACATCGACCATGCTCGAATTGTGAATAGTGGAAATCATATTCACAACACGAGTATCCCTCCAGGACTGAAGAAGAATGTCGCCCTTCCTCCTGAATGTGGTGTCACCACGTTTCAGGGATTTACATTCCTCTTTCAGATCTGGAGGAAGGCCTCTGTTCACCCTAATTGTACCACAAATACGTACTTTCCTTGAAAGAGGTATTCTGCAGTTGCCACACTGTTATAAAAATTATCTTGATAAACGTGATAATTTTGATCCAGATAGGGATCCAAAATGTAAACAATAGTTTCTTGCAATTTCTTGCCTTCACCGGAATAAATTTCTAAATTTCCAATATAGCCCGAAGTGCTTTCCGTGACTACATGAACAAGTAGGCCATACTTTGTGAGTTTCCCAGGATTATACGTTCGAAAACGAAGCCTTCCTCTCCAAGGAATCACAGATTCGTCCAAAGACAGTTGCTGCTCTGGCTTATAAACTGTCTGAAATTTCTCAACAAAAAAGTCTAATAAGGGCTGAATTTTGAAAAGCCTGCCCGTTGATTGTGGTTGCAGTTCATTATTATTGAAATGCAAACACCAACATATCTGTTCAAATCTCTTACGACTCATGAGTTTGCCGAAAATGGGAATTTCTAAAAATGGATCAATGGACCAATAGTCTTTCAAATTATCCCTCTTTGTAAACCCCATTAGAATGATTATTGACAAAAAATTGTTCATTTCTGCTGAAGTGACATCCACCCACTTCAACACCTTATAGATACTGTCGTACGCCTCACGGTGTTGGAGATAGTATCTATTGGTCTCCTGACACAACATGTCAAAGAAACTATCTCCAAAAAACAGTTCAGCTACTTCAGACACTTGCGTAGGGTCTGATGGCATTTGTCGCACCCCTGGATCACCAGTAAACTTTCCCAAAGTGGGTGTTTTGTCCACTTTACCCCATGTGACTGTCCCCGCACTTGCACTTGTGACTTGCACTTTCATCAGAGCTCTCACTGTCACTTTCACTTTCTCTTCTGGTCACAATATTTTGGGGGCCCCTATCACTGCCACTGACACTGCCCTCGCTATCAGAAGATGAAGCAGTTGGCAAGTCAGATAACTCATTGGAGATCAAATCACAGATTTCTTCTTCTCCAAGAGCTCGCGCGGCCTTCAACTGCTTTAATCTCTGAGCCATGTTGACACTGAGAATATCTTGCCTCACACATAGAAGCTTCAACTTGAACAAAGGGACTTTTCTTTAGAGTGAGAGTGGAATAGAGAGTGGTCAGGTTGCTGACTCGGAAACCAAACATTCCGATGGTCAGCTATGCAGTACTTTTACAAACACGTGGCCACCAAAGCGAGGAATAGTGTGTTGCAACATAACGTGTCCTAAAAGCATAATAGGCGACCGGTCTGCCACGTTTAAAACCCAAGCGCCTAGGCCTAGGCGTCCAGTCTGCGAAGTGTTAAACATAAATAGGGTCTTTGAACCTTATGTGTCCAATTCATATTCATATTCTTGTGCTCCATAAAGCTGACTGTTGCAGATCTTTGTATCAGTGTATTGTAATTGAATTCAGGCAATGCTTGCTACCATTCAGTCCAGAAGCTTTTGTCTTATCATCTGTCTAAAAGCATAAAAATCAGAATATACACAACTATAATATTATATCTCAGCATCCTGTTGCACTCTATACGATAAATGATACACACTCCGTCCCAAGTGCAAACAATATATATTATATGTCTTTGATCTTGTTCTTTTCTACACTACATGTTTCGGCCTCTATCGGCCATCATCAGGTGTATACTCTTAACGTTGCTGCCACACTGAAACCCAGTCTAAAATTTAACATTTAAAAAACACATTGTTATTTTTGTCATATTATCAACATCTACCTCGTTGATATGTGTCTGGTATGTAGATTATATTGCACANTTCTGTATGGGTGTGAAACTTGGTCTCTGACATTAAGGGAGGAACATAGACTGAGGGTGTTTGAGAACGGTGTTTAGGAGAATATTTGTGCCAAAGAGAGATGAAGTGACAGGAGGTTGGAGAAAATTGCACGGTGAGGAGCTTCATAACTTGTACTCTTCTCCAGGTATAATTAGAATGATCAAGTAAAGGAGAACGGGATTGGCAGGGCATGCAGCACGAATTTGGCAGAAGAGAAATGCCTATAGGATGTTTGTGGGAAAGCCAGAAGGAAAGAGGTCACTAGGAAGACCAAGACATAGGTGGGTGGACAGTGTTAAAATTGATCTTAGAGAGGCAGGGTGGGATGGTATAGATTGGATTGATCTGGCTCGGGATAGGGACCAGTGGAGGGCCTTTGTGAACATGGTAATGAACCTTTGGGTTCCATAAAATTCTAGGAAGTTCTTCTATATACTCGTATATTGTAAATTCTATTCTTTATAATGTGGTGTGTATATTGGTACCTAATGTAAACTGTGGCCCAAAGCACAGTGCAGGTCCCCAGTGGTTTGAAGTTGGACAGCCCTGTTAGAAAGTAGATATGTCTTCCAGAATGACAGTAGTTTGAAGAATGTTTTTTAAAGGTTTGGTATGTATGTATTTCTTAAATACCTGGCTATTTTTTGGAAAGTAGATAGTATGAGCAGGAATAATTTCATGTATTCCATTTACAGGACCAATAATCAACTAGTGGATTTCCTAACAGCAAACAAAGGACGGAACTTTGTGAAGTCACATGGACGAGAAGTTCAACGCTTCATCCAGAAACAGGGTTTGGACAAAACCTTTATTGAATGTGATGCCCATATGTGGCGGACAGGCGATCGCCGTTTACCATGGGGTATACAAATGGATGGTGGCAGTGACTGGGTGGCCCTCTCAAGGCCATTTGTTGCTTATGTTGCAACTGCTGTTCAAGATTCTCATGCTCAAAAGGATGTTTTAGTGGAAGGGCTCAACACAGTGTTTAAATATACCTTATTGCCTGCTGAAGTAAGTATCTAGTTCTTCAGTATTCTTCCACTTACTACTCTTACTCTTATGTTAATAATTAGTGACATGACTTGGCAAGTTATTTTTTGTATCTCTCTGTTATTTTATCACTATACGTATTTCCCCCCCTTTCCCCCCATTAAATTTTTGCAACACTTTTGTTTCAGAATTACCTTAATTTCATTCAAGAAATTGATTCATGTAAAGTTGATATTATTATTTCTATATTGTAGCATCCTGTTGTGTTGGTTCAATTGGTTAACTTAACCTATTCTCTGTATTCATCTTGCCAGTGATGATGTTTGATTGTGTACAAGGTGCGACAGTTTAATTCCTGGAATGGCCCTGTGAAAGTAAAATTTGCTTACCTGTGCACTAGCAGCTGCTGTCGCCTTCGAAATACTCTTCTTATGAAGCTATGCAGTTCATGAGACAGCGGTGCCACTTTCGGAAATAGTCTTGGAAACTGTTTTCTGGTATACCTCACAGTAATTTTGTCACATTGCATTGGGTGTCAGGAATGTTGGCAAATCTTTGTCACACAAGGGCATTTTTTTTAATTTCATAAAGAACCAAAAATTGCAGGGGCCCAAATCAGGTGAATAAGGTTTATGGTCCATTTTTATAGTGGATTCTTGGTCAGGAACTCACAAACTCTTAACCTTTAAGTGACGGCCCTTTAAATTCCAGTAATGGCAGCGGGGCGGATTTGATTTAAATACCCGCAATTTTAAAGCAATAAAAACTGTAATTCTTTCCTAAAATTGATGTGGTTTCTA